GTTTAAAACCATCTTCATCTCACGAACTACCACAATAAAAATTAAATAATACAAAATTAAAGATATAACTTTGGCAATATTTAATAACCACAATTTCCATGAAAAAATATTGCTCTTTAATCTATAGAAACAGTGTTTACTATCTCATAAACTGGAACTACTCACTATGATGCTACACCCAAGATCTGTATTCGACTGTCGTCTACTCCACACTGAAGTCATCCTCTGCAAATTAGAGTAATGCATTAGATACTATAATATACTGCAAACTTCTGCTTTTAATCGCTTTGCAAACTATATCTAACTTCTGGACTCATCTTTCGAATACTGGAGGAATTGTACATTAAAGTCAGCCACTGGATACTAGAATAATAGTAGACAATAGAATCTACTACTAGATTTAGCTTGTAATCACTTTGGAAACTATGCCTAACTTCTGGAATCACCTACTGAATCAACCAGAATCAACCAGAATCAACAGCTGTATACCGAATTATCTACTAGATACTAAAACCAACAACTACAACACCGCTCAAAAGTGTTTTATATTTTTGTTGTATTTGTGTAACTTTTTTCCAAACAAAAATTTTTACAAACAAAATAATTTATCAAAATAACGCAAAATGACAAATTCAATAATCGTGCAAAACACCAGATATTTCTAAAAACTTTTTTCTGTGAACACAAGCTTAATACTTATTGTTAGTGCGGTATCCTTTATTGTCGATGACAACCTTGCATCTACGTATGGAATCGATCAAAGAGTCTATGGTCGCCTGATAGATGTTCGCCTGCAACTGCCGGAACTTTGCATCGGCGGATGTGACCCAGTTGGCGACGTCCCTGGAACGATATTTCGAGTCGTTGTTTTGTTGGAACACTCAACCCCAAACCATGTTTTTGCGTGCTCGGGGAATCAGGTTATTCTCTAGAATACCCATTATGTCCGGAATGCGGACGAGGGGAACCATCCCGATGACTCTGAAGCACCCCCACACCATGATCCTGCCATCGTCGTGCTTCATGGTGGGCAATTGGTACTTGGATCGAATCGGGTGCAGAGGGGCGCCGTATCCACGATATCCCATCTATTCCGAACATCAGGAACTTGCTTTCCCAGATGTCCTACACCCACTGCTGTCGGGTAGAGTTGAAGTGATCCTTTACCCACTCTACGCGTGCCTTCCTATTCTTGGTTTACACAAACGGTTTCTTCACCGGTCGCCCAATGAGTCCAGGAGCATTCAAACTTCTCTTGATCGTCGCTACAGATGGCTGGCAGTACCCAGCGTCCTATAATTCACGACGTTTTTGTCCAAACACTCCCTGAGTTCAGCAGTTCTTAAGAACTCTGAATACAGCAGACTGAGTGATCAAAACTGCGCTGTGTCATCTTCTGACGACGGCCTTCTGCAATAGTCTTCTGCATCGCATGTTCTTTCGTTTTCTTTTGATTTTTGCAAAAATCGGTTTTTCACCTCAAATTTTGTGGTTATTTTGTTAACCACAAAAAAGTTATGCCAAATTTTTCAAAATATGGTACTCTTTTGAGCGATACTATAGATCCTAGTTCTAATCACTATGGATACTTAATCTAACTTCTGGACACTGGAACCAATCATTACGGACATAGTACCAAACAACGTGTTACTAGAATCATCCGCTGTACAGTGGATTCAAAAATTGATACGTAGTGAACTCAGTATCTATAACATTTAATCACTACAAACCATGTTAAATCTCTGAAATGAATTGATAATGCAATTCAGATAGATACTGAACTTAGATATAGGTAGATACTGAAAGCAATTACTGTATCTTGGATCTAATCACAATTGATAGTGTAATCTAACAAATTGATGCTGGAATCATCCACCGAATGCTAGAATCAACAACTGATACTAATATATTTAGTATTAATAGCTTCTATATGTTAAAAGCAATGTTAAATCTCCAATTTTAATCAATCACTCAATTCTGGAAAGAACCACTGGATGTTGGATTTAATTACGACGGGTACTGTATCTGACTTCTCGATACTGGAACCAATGACTATGGAATAATCCGCAGGAATCAATGATTAAGTATTGGAATTATCTAGTAGATATTTGGATCGTCTACGGGATACTACAATCAACAACTGAGTACTGGATCTAAATGAACTGTTTCATCCGAAGTTGCTTGCCCAATTAGCCCACTTTTCAGCGGTTAATTTGGTTTAAAAAAACGTCAATTAACAACAATACGTATACATTTATTTCATGTCCTACACTGATGTTATTCAAATCGAAGCTGTTGGATTTCGTTTCATTACCATACCCAATTAGCTAAATTGTTTTTTTAACATTCATAAGCTAAGGACATAACAATTATCAAATCATGGTCCATACGACCAACAGCGAGATGTATCTAAGATGTATACCTAATTTATCACGTAATTAGGTGTGGAAAGATAGTTCAAAAGTTCTGCATTCGAAACGTTTTTGTATATATTAACATATCATTTCAAAGTCTAGGCACGAAACTTTTGGGTTAATTGTTTAATTATTACTATTTATGTTCGACCCAGCTACATTCATAGTTTTCTCATACGAAATAAATGTTTTGTACTTCTTTATCTTAATTATTCAATCAAAACTCTCATATTTATGTGAATTGCTTTGTTGGGTTTTGTTCCATCTTATACCTTTTTATAAATCAATAAAATTTTGACTGAAAGTACAAATTTTTTATTCAATATCACTAGATCACCCGGTATAGCTATGTTATGTATAACATGACAGAAAAGATGTAATAATTCATCAACTGAGGAAGATATAAATACTCTTTTGGTTAAAACAGAATTTTATCGACATTACTCGACGTGTACTCATTCTTTTTTTATTTTTTCGTTAATCCAATGATTCTTCAATATTGTATTAGTCCTCAACCGGGTCGTAATGGCTGGAGCACTTGACGTTGATTAATGGCGTTTAATCCTTTCGGCGGTTGAGGGAGAGAGACCAGATCAATTTTAAAGGTTTTTACACAGCCCAGCTGAGCTCTTCCCATCGATCCGTGAAACCGACCCGTGGGGGGGTGGCTTGTTGGCGAAGCCCCACATTTAGTTGACCGGCAAATTTATGGCTACGCAATATTCCGAAACCGAGCGTGTGTATGTAGGTCGAATTATCAGGTCGTGTCAGGTGTGCACCCGCCTTAAATTATTACCGTTATTACTCATGAATTAATACATACCCCGCCTGAAAAAAAACTTTTAGAATCAATAATAATAATAATAAATCAGTGAGTTTTTTTCGATGTTTGTAAATACTATTAATAGATTGACGTGAACAAGTTATGCTCTATTTTTTCTATTTGCATGTTTGCTTGCTGTTTTTTTAATGGTAATATACGTTTAATTGTCAGGGTAAAACAACAGTTTTATGTTGGCGTAAAAGTAATTACACATTTAAAGTTAACCGCATAATTATCTTCGTGCATCGTTGTGTTGAAGTCGTAAAGCAGCAGTTTCCAAGACACAAAAAACTGTTTGGTGTCAATTAATACATTCTTGAGATAAAAAGTTAACAAAAAAATGTATAAATAAATATGTAGTAATAATTCTTTGATTATATATAATATGGATTGAGCTAACTGAATATATCTACTAACAAAAATGTTGCTCAAGGTGAATAGACGCAGATGGAAAGCGATAATGTGAAAGTGTAACAAAGATAGATATATTATATGTCAGTACGCTTCTATATCTATCTCACTTCTATCAGTACACCCATTATATGGCAGTACGCTTCTATATCTATCTCACTTCTATCAGTACACCCATTATATGGCAGTACGCTTCTATGTCTATCTCAGTTCGATCACCTTGCGCAAGCTATCTCTCTCGTTGGCTCAATCCATATTATATATAATCAAAGTAATAATTATAAATTTTTATCTAGGAGAAAAAAAATTAATCAATAAACGTTTATACCTCTCTTTTCTAACTTTTGACGCAGTCGTCACCACATCACCTGGTAAATAATCCATACCATGTAGAAACTTTATGCAGTTAAACATACAAAATTAATGGCCATCTCATCGTTGAACTCCTTGTTCAATGTGTTTTACTAAATTATGAACCACGTCAGAACGTGCTAACTAAATCGATACACTGTTAGAACAGGTGTTTTTCTACCAAACAACATTTCTTTTCATAAATCACTTAGATAATAAATTTAATGTTTTCATTAAAAAATCACTTAGCTGCTCATTAAAAAAAATCAGTTTCAAAACTGTAATTAACATAAAGCAGACAATATCAATTTCAATAATGACGTCACTAAATCGATTATTTCAAAAAGATCGTGTTAACAAAGTGGAACGTCGTTGTTCGACGTGTTTGCAGCGAGTTTCAGTTAGTTTCAGTCGTCATAGTCACAAGAGTGTGCGTTTTATATTGAGTTCAGTAATCAGGACTAATTGAGTTTTCAAATACAACTGTGTTTATTAACGGTAATTATTATTTTTTTCTACACTACTTTTTTATTTTTTTACTTGAAATTGTATATCAATAGATTAATGTTAAACAAATAGAACAACTAAGCGATAACAACCAAGGACAGTAGAATCTAACTACTAGATTCTACTGTCTTTGGATAACAACACATTATGTTGTATCTTTGTTGATAATAATCTTAATAAAATAATAACAAAAATGATAATGACTATATATGACGATAATAAATAAAATAATGACTTACATTATTATTTCTTGAATTATTTATATTTTTGAAAATAATATGTTAGGTCATTAAATGTTTTAGTGAGGATAATTTATGCATGATAAAAATGTTATATCTCCTTTTATCTCAACGTGAGTAATAAATCAAGTTGATAATGGTTATCATTTTTGAAAGTGCGAATTATTCATTAAAAAATCTCGTGGCAAGTTAATAAAAAAAGTTATTGATTTGTTACTGTAAAATGTCTTTAAATTATTATTTTTCTTTTTTCAGTTGATAATGTCATCGTCATGTGACAATGTCAAAATTTTGCAACGTTTTCAAGCCCATACCAGTGATATAACAAGTTGCGACTTTGCTCCCAACTTTACCTTAGTGACAGGGTCAAGGTAAGATGTAATCTAAAATTAATTAGATCTTTCTAAAAGTGGTCTAAATTTAGATATGTATGTACAATATTATTAATTCTCGAGTTATCTGGGTTTATTATGCTTTTTGGAAAGTGTGCATCCATTTAATCAATATAAAAATAATGTCAAAAATAATCTAGAATAAGAGATCTCCTACTGTTTAATACTATAATAGATGACATAATTAGACAAATAAAAACACAAAAATTGGTTATAAAGAGATACCAGTGCTAGCAGCGAAGAATGAGGACGACTTACAGAGATTATTGTAACAGCTTAATACAACTGCGAAGAGATTTAGCATCAGCAGTAATTGCTTAGGAAGCAATTATGTGCAAATTGGAAATCGGCAATCAAATTACAGCAGGGTTATTAAATGATACATTATTATTTGGAGAAATAAGTACATAAGAAGAGATACATGCAAAACTTAGAGATGTTTGGAAACAAGCGAAATAAAAATAGTAAGAAAAATAACTGTTTTGACAACGAATATTGATGATAGCTTGACATAAGTCACTGGTAGGAAGAAGGAGTATTGGACGCCCATGAAAAAAAATGGAATGACTACTTGTAGATGGATGAAAGAAAAAGAGACAAAAGTGCTTAATATATGAAAAAGACAACTCTGGAGACTCAATTTTGGTCGTTTTAAAGTTTTCCAATATCTCAAAATGACAATCCTTGAGGTAATTATGTCGGGAAGAGAAAAACGTTTCAAGGACTCAATTACCCATCAACATTTCATCTTTAAGTTACTCATTCTCGCTTTTTAGGCCTTGAAGGGGTTTATTCATTCTATACTTTGACACTTTATTTCCGGGTTATACTCAAGTAGGTATACAAGACTCGTCTCCGGTAACGGCACGTTCCAGGAAATAAAGATCATTCACCACTGATTTCATAATGTGAATACAGTTGTCTCTTCTCTGATTTGCTCTTGCGAAAAAATGTTTGAAAAAGTTATGCAAACAACTTTTTCTCAGTCTAAACTCATTAATGATGTAATAAATACAAGTATAAAATAAAATAAGTGACCTGACAAAAAGAGCAAATGTCTCAAAATCTTAAATCAATCTTAAATGTAAAAGAATGTTGTCTCACTTAAACCATGAGAGCTCTACGATTAATCCGCAATCACCAAACGTTTGATTTCTAAACGTTTGATCGTTATTTGTAAAACAATCTGAGCAGCTAGTACGTTAAAGCTAGTGTCCAGTGCGCGCCATTCTCAGTATAGACTGAGACTTTAAATTTAATGCGTTTGTATCTAGAATTTGCTTTTAAAAATTCGATGAAATGTTAAGGAACCATTACAGGGTCGATGTTATGTAGCGATAAGAAATTAAAAAGTGATGCACCTGGATTCTTAATTACTGTTAGCTTTGAAGCTAAGATATCTTTGGAATCTAATCAAAATTTGAGGATTCCAGATGAAACTGTGGATACTCGAAAGTATTCTAAAGAGAGGCAAAATAAAAAAGTCTTATTCCATTAATATTTATGAAATGTGTGTTATAGTTAAGTCTAAATCTATTGTATCCATACCACTGAGGACGTAAGTGTCATATACACTGAATAAAGATGTTTCGCTGTAACAGTGTGCAGTCCAAAGGCGAGGATATAGGACTAAATAATCTGATGTCACCAGCATTTATAAGTACTTCAAGAAATGAAAATATTTTAATACTGAAAAGCTATCGTTTGAGATACCGGAAGGCGCAATAAAATCAATTTGAAGCTATTCCAGTAAATAGCTCTTGACCGAACGATCAATTTGTAAATAAGTTCTTAGAGTTTAGGTAGCAACGACATAGTCTATATGACTAGTATGACCTGTAGATTACAATGGCTTCCAAATATATGAAGTAATAACAGTCTAGATCCACCGATTATATCATGTTCATAACGTATTCATTCTGTTTATAGATATAACAGTGAGTGCCTACTAGCACTTTACTTAGTAACTCATAAAACTTCTTATAACTACGTCTGAACTCTTTTGTTAACATAACTTTAACTAATGGTAGTAATATTTATAATTTTGTTGATATTGTTATGTTTTGATTTTTACATTATGATCATAGTATTCTTTGTAAATGTTTCGGGGGTGGGCATAATAGCTCTTAAATTTCTAAGGGTGTATTACGAAACTCAAGTAACCACAAATAAGGATCATTATTGGAATATTCTGCTTTGTTCAACAAGTTTTTCCTTGTTTGAACATGTCTTTCTGCCATACCGTTAGATCTAGCATAATGATTGAATTTATGACATTTATTACACTTTCGCCCAAAAGTTGGCCATTTCTTCGCTGGATGCTTGTTTTCATAACTTTTGCAAGCGCTTTGTTTCATTTCTCCCATTTTGAAACCTTTTATCACTTCTCTTTCTTTCTTTATTTTGCACACCATACTTTCCTCGTCTAGTTTCTTGGATTGCAGTTCTGCTAGTTCTGATGCTTTGCAAATTCTAATAATAGCGAATAACTTTATTATTCCTGAGTCCACATACTATTCTATCTCTAATTAATCCATCTTTCAAGTTTTCGAAATTACAGTCTTTGCTTAATTTCTTTAAATTTGTGATGAAACTACCAAAGCTTTCACCTTCTCTGTGTACTCTAGAATTGAATATGTGTCTATTTACCGTTTCATTAGCCTTTGGTGTGAAGTATTTCTCCAACTACATTAAAACTTTTCCAATCTTTTCTCTTTTCTTCATTGACTTCTAATGTACCATAAATTTCTTGGACTTCTTCTCCAATCGTGTGTAGGAGTATAGCAACTTTTCTTTGCCTCGTTGTAATACTTTATATATCGTATCGTATCGTATCGTACTTTCATCGATTCCAGACGTTGACATGTGTACAATACACTTTTTCGTTTTTCCATCTTCTGAAGTTACCAGCAATATCTTCTAACAAAAGTAACTTACAAAACTTCTTATAACTATGTCTGAACTGTATTGTTAACATAACCTTAACTAATGACAGTCATCGTTCTTCTGTCTCTTACTACTAGATGGCGTAACCATATATGACATCCGTCAAATTGTTTTCTAAATTTAAGCTAAGGCTATGATTTGGGAGAAAGGCTCAAAATCCATGCCAAGACACACCCAGACCATAATTCTTTTCTTATTCATATTATAACTTCTGTCAGACAAATAGATGGTTCTACTATATGTATCAATGAAGTATCAATGAAAGAGACAGGCAAACAACGAGCAACCCAACCCAACTCCAGCATTAGTGGCAACCACAACGATACAATGGCATGAACATCTTCATGGCATGAAATGTGTTATTTGGGCTGCCGTATTCGCACACGTCATAAGTAAAAAGAAAACCTTGGCAGAATGTTTGTTAGCAATCAGACAAGTATGCGGTAGACGGATAACGACATGTTCGTAATTTAGATCGTTTTTAGATTAATATAGGGTGCGGCAAAAATAACTCCCATATTTCAAAAGATTGATACAAAAAACCCAAATGTAGACATAATGGTTTCCTTTATTCCTTCTAGTAACGATGTTTGAAAACTTCTGCTTGCGAAAATACTTAGCGTAAGGGGGTGGCTCAACATGGGAACATCCCTTGCAAAATTTCGATCGGATTACGTGTTGTATGGATCATAGCTATATCCAGATGGAACTAGTAGTCTTCTACGTTATATTCTTTCTTGTATTAAGGCATATTTCCGTACTGAAAGCGATGGAGAGTGCTGTAGGGAAGTCCTGACTTTAGCGACGTTGTTTTGCCAATTTTGTAACGTTCGAGTGGGTTCCTCTTCAATGCTGATCTTACTCTTTCAGCTGAAATAATAATCGTTTTTCGGTCTGGAAACTTTTATTACAACGTAAACTAACCTACATTTCAATTGCCCTCTGCACAGCCTTGTTTGCTGGTATTAATTAAACATTTTACATTTTGTAATCTCGGAGAAATATGTTGAATTAATAATGATTTTATATATATCTTTACTTTTTGTTTTACTTTTAATCATTTTAAATTTGAATTTTATTTTAAGCGATAAGACAGTAAAAATATGGGAATGGTTACCGGGATCAGGCTACAAAGAAAAAATTTTCTCGCCATTACGCGGTCACAAGTACGGCGTAACATGTGTCAAAGTTTCACCACAAGGGTCGATGCTGGCAACGGCTTCAATAGACGGTTCGGCTGTCCTTTGGAACTTACATTCCGGCACCAAAATATATACCATGGTCCAGATGAACGGCGATCCGATTCGAGTTTGTAGGTAAATAGAAGCTCTCCCTTAAAAATTGTAGTTTTTGAAATTGATGGGATTTTATTTTTTTTCACCTCTTTTTATACAGGTTTGCTCCTGACAGTTCCATTTTGGCCACTGCGGGTGATAACGGTGCCATTTGCTTTTGGGATTTAATACATCGCAGTTTAATCCGGTAAATAAATTTAAAAAAATCAAAATCGTCAAAAAAATTTTTTAATTTTTAGAACTGTTTTTCAACATGAAGGAACCACGCAAGGATTGGCGTTTACTTCAGACTCTCAATGGCTTATTAGCGGGTGTAGTTTAGAAATTTTGAATGTTTGGTCCATGCAGGATATCGGTGACACAACTAAAGACGATGTTTGTAATCCTGTAGCGTCTCAAGATAATGCGCATGATTTAGGTATTTTATGTATCGATGTTTCACCGCACATAGAACACGAAGGTATATTTATTTTTTTTAAATAATTTTGTTAATTTGCATTATTTCCCCCCATTTTAGAATCCAACCCCTTTATAAAACACTACACTTTAGCATCTAGTGGAAATAGCGATAGAATCAACACGTGGCGAATAACGACATGTTCTTCAGCAAAATTTAAATCTGACACGAACGTTTCTGTTACAATTGAAAAATTAAACGAGCTAATTGGTCATTCCTCCGCAGTGACTTTTGTAAAATACAACCATACAGGGGCCTTATTAGCATCGTCAAGTCTTGATAAAGTGATTAAGATATGGAACTCAGCAGGAACATGTTTGCGCGCCCTTCAAGGTCACACCCGATACATTAACTGTGTTTGCTTCTCGAGGGATTCAAGGTTAATCGCTTCAGGTAATCAAACAAATTTAAAAATAAAAAGTTTTTACTTTCAAATTTTTTTTAGGTTCTAATGATAAAAACATCAATGTTTGGGATACCGAAGGACAATTTAACATCAATTCGGAGTTGGTGAAGAGTTATACTCATTTGATACCCTTCATTCAAAACGGCGTTCAAGAAAGTCAAGTTATTAGAAACGATGAAGAAATTAGGGAAAGTAGCGTTATGTTATTGGAGAAATTTAGTGATTTAGCTGAAGCTGCCATTAATTCTTGTTGTTTTTATGGCAATGATTTACTTGCCATAGGTTCAAGGTAACTGCTTAAAATAATGTTGATTTGACGTATTAATTTTTTTTTCTTTGATTTAGTGATAAAATTATTAGAATATTTAAAGTAACCACTGGGGATGGTTTTTTAGAAGAAGTTGAATATTCCCCAATGGAAGGTCATTCCTACTCAGTCAATTACGTGGAGTTTTCACAAGATGGTACTCAATTAGCTTCTGCTTCTTTAGATGGATCGGCTTCAATTTGGAATTCCCAGGTGATATTATATGAAAGAGTAGAGGTCGACAAATTTAAACAAATTTTTGTCAACCTTATTCGTTAGTTTTATTCTATTTTTGAAATATTATTAGACGGGTGAAATTTTGAATACAATCCCTGATAACACTTTGGGAGTAAGAATATCCAGGTTTTCACCTGATGGAAGTAGATTATTAACAGCTGGAGATGATGAAAAAGCTACCATTTGGAATTGTGGAAATATGGAGAAAGTTGGGTATGAAATTATTTAACTCATCTAATAACTTAAGGAAACATAAAAATTTATTCTTAGAGAATTAGAAGGTCACTTAGATGCTGTTACCGCAGCTTGTTATTCCCCTGACGGAAAAATTATAGCCACAGCTTCTAGTAATGGAGATTTTCGATTATGGAATGGAACGGTTAATATTTACGTTCAAGATGACGCCCACGACTTGGGGATACAATCGTGCGATTTTTCACCTAATTACGAACCTTTATCAAATGGATTTTCAAACGATGCTAAAAATTATCTTTTGGGAACGTGTGGAAATGATAGTTTGGTGAAATTGTGGAGTATATCAATGAAACTTGTAAAAAAATTAAATTTTAATACAGTAAAACCTCGGTATAACGGAATTCGGATACTTCTTCTTCTCCTCATCCTTATGCCTGATGGCGTCGGATAAATCTTTTTGCTATTCCTCTCCTTCCGGTTCCTGGCTAATTCCTTTATATCTGCTAGAGTCTTCCCTCTCTTCTTCCTAATTTCTGCTACTCTTTCTTTCCACTTCTTCCTAGGTCTTTCCCTCTTGTTCTTATCGTCTTAATTCGGATACAACAGACAAAATATTCTTAACACGTTGACTGCCATGTGGCTGGACGTATGTGCCATAAGTAAAGTTGCTGTAGACGCCGCGTGGTACAGATGTTGTACCTCTGGCAGTTTTTGACAAAATATGGTACTGGTCCAGGAAACCCAAAATTTAAATAGAGTATAGAACTAGACTTAGAACCATACGGGTTTAGCCATACGTCTCTCAAGACGGCTGAAGAAACCCGAATGTTTCTAGTTGTATGTGCAAATTAAAAATTTTTCAAATAACAGACTTTTGGTTATAACGAACTCTCCTTTCTCCGCATTAATTCGTTATATCGAGGTTTTACAGTAATGACGTATTTAATAATCTCTTCTTTTAGAATGTTAATGTTGCTTATTTGAAAGAATTGAAAGTAAAATGTTGGAAAACTCTGCAAGGACACGGTGGAAGTGTAATTTACGTTAGATTTGCAACTACCGGTGAAATTTTATGTTCAACAGCAACAGATAGACAAGCTAGAATTTGGGCGGTCTATTCTGGCGAATGTTTGCACGTTTTAGATCACGATTCAATAGTTACAACATGTTCTTTTAACGAAAATTGTTCAATGTTAGCAGTTGGTTGTCTTGATAAAACTTTATGGCTGTGGAAATTACCTCAACAACTGGTACAATTTTCCTCATCAATATCCTAAAACACCATCAACCTCACTTTGTTTTTATAGGTATTCCAAACTGCTGTAGCAAATAAAATAAAAATCCGTACAAAATCCGTTGTTGATTGGACTACTTCAGACATTTTAAAATGGTTGGAAGATCTAGGTCTTCAAGACCTCAAAGATTACATTGCTAACACCACTTTAGACGGCCAAAAACTACTAACAGTTCCAGAAGAAGACGTTTGTGTCGCTTTGGATCTAAAAGGAGACCAAGCGGCACGATTAATAAGAGAAATTAAATGGCTAAAACAAATGGATTTAGAAGATCCGAGTATATGGAATAAATCCAACGTTCCCATTGAATTTTTATGTCCAATTACTCACGAAGTAATGCGCGAACCTGTTAAAATTTCTGACGGATTTACGTACGAAAAACGAGCCATCACAGAATGGTTTATGGCGGGAAAATTCACCAGTCCCATGACAAATGCTGTTTTAACAAACACCGATTATTCGTTAAATATCGAATTAAGAAATTCGATTTATTCGTATTTATGCGATAGTCATGAAAATGAAGAATAAAAATTTATTGAAATATTAGTAATAAAGTAGAGCATTCCTTTTTAATTCAGGAATTATATTATATTATAGCGTTTTGATTGAAAGTTGGGTTTTTCAATCGAAGATTACTCTTTTTTGCCATTATGTTATGTGGTTAAAAAAAGCGATATAATGGTTTAAATGTTTTTAAGTGCCCTTGCACTTTATGTGTTAAAGTAAATGATTGAATTTTAAACGTCTATATTGGAGTAATATGAGTAAAATGTTTTGTGAATTGCTTTAATCTATTAACAAGTCTGTTTGCGTCGTAACAAGGAGATACAAAGATAAATCCCGGTATAATCTGGGATTAAAGTAAATTTTAATAAACAGGCGTTTAACACTAATCGGTTTATTTTTACACATTAGTCGTATACAGAGTGGCCCAAATTCAAGTTATGCCACAAATTTCGATCTCATTTTTGAAAATGTCTCCCAAAACCTGAAAGTTTCGTAAAGGTTATTGTTTATTGTAGGTGTAACATTGTGATTTAGATATTATTATGAAGCCTTAACTAAAACAATATTTAATAAAGTATATACAAAATTTGCACAGCAATCGAATTTGAACCACTCAGTATATAACACAATAGTATTATATATTTATAACACGTTTTATTCATTTATGAGAATTGTTAGTACCTTGGGACATTGACTTGTAGAAAACGTATAGGTAGGTAGTCTTTTCTACAGCTTATGTTAATGTAATCACTCTCCATTAGATATATTTTATATCATTAGGAAGCACAAATGCTACTTGTTTGGGGTATTCAGATATATTAGAGACATTAATTTAAGTAATATAACTTAATTTCTTTCCAGGATCCATTTTATGCCGCCTATGTTGTAACAGATGAATTATTTATTTTTGTTCTTGAGGTTTTCGTTTCAAATTACAATTTCTGACAAACTCTGACTTAGTTTGGGATTATCCTCTACAAACTAAGGTTGATACATTATTTAATTTTGAATTGGGTGCTAAACACTTATACGTAATTTCAGCTATTGCACATTCTCACCTTTCAATTTATCAAGCCAATTGAGAGCAACTACTTACAAACCTTGCTGGTCTTTACTCTTGATTCTGATTAAATCTTCCCTATACATTTTATTGCTTGCCTTCTTTTCAAAAACATTTCTTTTAATGACAACATTCATAATGCTTCATTTTGCTCTGTTATCTTCTTTTCTGGTATGTTCAAACTCGACATCTGCCACAAGATATATTTTTTTGTTGCATATACATCAGGTTGAAATTAATAATTGAGAAACACGTTGAATACCAATTACATTGAAAAAATCACACTTGAGGTATAATAATTCATTCTATACAGAATTTTAATATGTTTATGGTATAATTTCAGTTTTTAACTTACCAATGATGTAGGTATCTTATAAATTTTTTTACGTGTATTTAAGCGATGAAGTTGTAGATATGCGATTTCTTTCACACCTTATAGGTACGGCTAACAGATCATTCAAATATATCGATTTTTCTTTACCGAATCATAAGCCACCTTATAAAAACCCAAAGGTAATTTTAATTCTAAATTTGAAATAAAAGGAGCTACGCCCTTTAGAATTAACACGGCATATATTAATTACTTTAAATGTCCCAAGGTACAAACCATACAGTACTTCTCCATACAATTATCATATACAAGGTGATTAACCATTAACAAGTTGCGTGCGGTCAATAACGTGGTTAATTCCGCTGACCGTCTCCCGCCCTCGCCAATTAAGACGTTCGTGTGATACATGTCTTCTGGTCTCCACGCAGTTAATTAATGGTTAAAGTAAAAGTAGTATGCCAAATGACAATTTAGTACTTTGAATACAGTGGGAAATGAAAACATATAATTTTTAAAATAGCTTAATACCATGGTGCTATGAATTCGCATACGAATGGAAAACGCGTCCGACGACTTATCTCTGCGATATCTTATGTTAGCTTATATTTGCCCTGTACTATTCAGCGGAGACTCAAAATCTAAAATTTTAAAATTAATAGCTTACAGCGTATTTGCTAGTTCAGATTAGCACGTTACAGAGTTTCGGTAATAAAACTTTTCTAAAAGTATTGGGTTGCATTGCTGTCTTGTGCTGTTCAATGGGAATCAAAAACCTGAAAATGCTAAATTATCGGCTTCCAAAGTATTAGCAACGCAGATTTAAACGAAATAACCGATTGGCATTGAAATTTTTGGGTAGCTGTGGGTTGCGTTCCTTGCGATTTCGTACTGATTTGCTAACAATCTGAAACAGAAAAAAATTATTGAATTAACATATAATTATTCGAAAGTATAGCAACTTGAACTCGCCAAAATTCTTAGTATTTCCAATGAAAATGTTCTTATTGTTTAAAGATGCGTATTGATATACAGGATGGTTCAGTTTTTAATCGGGAAACTTTATTAGAATGAATAAAAATTGAACCACCCTGTATACATTGTGTGTTTTCATAGATCAATTATGCAATGCACAAACTTCGAAGTTAAAAATACCGATTTCTCACTTAAATATCTCATTATTCTTATCTCTGCGAACCAGCTATCTATGAAACGAACTTCTATTTACATTACAGGCACTAAATAAACGAAATGCAGTGTAGAACCTCAAAATTTAATATAGTAATAATCTAGAAATTGATCGAAATTTATATATCAATACAAAATATTAAGGAGTTGAAAGAAGTCGAGAAATGTTGAAATGATACGTTCCGTTGATATCAAATACTTTAATTTCCCTATGCTTTTCGCGGGTGATTGTATCTATGTGTACGAATTTTAAACCTCTTTCCTAGAACAGTAGACAAAATAACCTTATAACTCAGTTTTTTCTCGAAACAGTAAGGTCACCTAAATCAAACAATCTACCTAGAATGGCTGAATAGAGATTAGTCGAGAACTATTCGTTATTATGACATTCTAGGAAAGGTAAACTAATAAGTCATAACATAATTACAATTCAAAGTAATGTTTTGCGTAATATATCTGCACCAGTATGTCTTTGTTTCAGTTGTATAATTAGCTTTCTTCCAACAAGCGTTTCAAATTGATTGGAAACTCTTCATTTTAGTTTAATGGCCGATTGTAATAACGTGTTTGTTAATTATATCTTTAATTTAATTAACATATAAACAATTATTTATACGTTGTGGAATATCTTGAAAACGGTTCATTTTACATATTGAATCTATGGACAAAAGTAATTCTTGGAAGACTATTTAAGAACGTTCAACAAAAGAAATGCAGGCACATCGGGTGACCTGGGTCGTCAGAAATACATTTGGAAAGATGTCTAAAGAGGTTTCGGCCTTTCTCCATTTTACAAGTGATAATAGAGTAAGGCACAAAAAACAAGAGTTCTTGGAACTGTTTATGTCAGCATGTCCAGAATATCAAACACCATACTAACCAGGTTTTAAAGACTTCATTGGATGAATTGTTTTAAAATGTAGCAGGTAAAACTAAATTAGCATAAAAGCTAATAGCATACAATTGTGTATTCATAAGTGTAATAAGTGTGGCAGAAAAAGTCAAAATGACTTTTATTTACGGAGAAAGTGAAATTAAAAGTAGTAATTAAGTAGTAAAATTATTGTCACTTATACCAAGGACCACTTATACATTATTTTCAACACAGAATGTAATATATTTTGTCTTTTTTTGTTTGTCTGTCATTTGTAAATCAGTAATATTATAAAAGTATTAAAATACAATTTAAGAAAAAACTTTTATAATTTAATAATCAAAACGTGATAAAAATACAATGAAATGGCAGAACAATAAATCCCTTTTTTTAATTACTAAATTATTTGAAGGAAATGCAGCAACAAACTATAAACAATTACTAAACGTTGCTCAACAAGTAGGTATTAATTTAATTAATATTTATAAGTTGTTCAAAATGCCGCCCATTTTCTCTTCTACAAGCATTAATGCGCTATATAAAAGATCTTGAGGTATCTCTTAACATGTACATCGTATTTTCTCTAAAGTCGTAAATTATATGGAAAAATAATTGCATATTTCATTACTTACATATTTTTAAATCTCATAAAGCACCAAGTCGCATTAAAATCTGGTATATGGCAGTAAAATTATTCTACATTATAAAATATTAATCAAATAATAAAAGGAAGAACAAAAAAGATTGATAAAAATAGGCAGAATATAATATTAACACGTTGACTGTCGCAATAGTCACTAAAAATCTATCCATTCTGGCCGGAACAATTTTAAAATTAAATAATAAGAATCAACTGGTGCTTCTCGTGGCTGTTGTGGAAATTTTGCCGTGCATCAAGTTACGCTTCTCATGGCAGTCAACGTGTTAAGTACAATACGCATATTTTATTACACATTATTCTTTAAATTCTAAATATCAGGAAAACTACTAAAGACAGATATGTGACATACTTATCATTTATTAAAGGTAACTTGATGGGCAATTCAACTAGCACACAATATACAGTATGTTCTATTTAAAAAACTTATGAAACTTTGACTATGAAGCTTTATGAACACGATGTATAGCGTATCTAATATCTTTGGATACTATCATTTATCTACTGGCTTTGACTATTATGTAACATAATTTCAAGGCAAAATTGGAAAAAATACATCGTTTTTAAAAGATTCATTTTGGAAAAATAACTGGATATCTTAAAAACTATGAACGCTATGAGTTAGTAACATATACGGCTGTATAAAGAAGTTTATATTCTATTCATAATATGATAAAATATACAGGATGTTCCATTTATAAAAATCTACATACTCTTCGTTACGCCTAAATGGAACATCCCTGTATAAGTGAAAATAATTTTACGTAATAGAAAGTGGCGAGTCAAATAACTTTTATAGAAAACAGTTTTTTCTTTCTCAAACGATTTAGCAACTATCGTCCGCCGGGATACTAATAACTCATCCCCTGTATAATATTTATTTGTTGCCAAGCAGCTTTTATGCTCATTTAGTTTTACTTGGTATACCTATTTTAAAACAATTCATCCAATAAAGTGTTTGAAAGCGATATTCTGGAAATGCTGACTTAAGTAGTTCCACGAACTCTTATTTTTTTTTATGCTTTATTCTATTATATTAAAAGGTTGGAACCTTTTAGACCTCTATCCCAAGGTATTTCCGACGCCCCGATGTACCTTTTCTGTATTTTTGTTGTCTTTGTTGAGGTTCTGAATTTACTTTAGTCCTTAGATTCAGATTTTGGAATCAAAAATATAGCATGCCACTTAAAAAATTGGTCGCCACCTTCATATTACCCTCAAAATAAGATCAAGATCAAAAATGTTATCGTCATATGGTTTCCCCCTTCATCCAGAACATTTTTTATTTGGATAATTTTAGAGCAGCCACAAAGTAGTATGTAGAAATTTGTATTTATTATCCGATTTCGACTTTTTTTTTTGAATTGTAGACCATAAAAAACTGTACCTTCGGACAAAGAGTCATGTTGTTCTTAGAAAAGCCAAGGCCTACTATTTCACTTTTTAGGTGCTAAAAATGAAGAAATCATATTAGGAAATTTTTTAGAAAAAATCTGAGTTCTTGGATTATACCAAGATTCATCAAAAATGGTTAGAAACTAAAACCGTTGCAGATAATTGAAAAATATCATTTTTTTATGAATTTATTTGATTTGATCTAGTAAACCATGACAAAAAAGTTAATAAAACACAGACAATAATACAAAAACTTTATCTACGGCTGCTTGGATAAGTCATCATTACCGCACTCATTTGAGGTGATTTGAGTTACATAATGAAGTTCATTACCGCACTGGTTTCATTACGTAACGCATTTTTAGCCTAATTAGAACAGACTTAATTTATTGTAACGAGCAACAATACAAAAGAAAAAGTGCTATCTACTTACAGAGAAACAATACTATTTATTATAAACATTAATTGTTATGTTTTTACATTTCTAAATACTTATTCAAGATGAGTAAACATGTTGTTGAAACTGACAATTTAAAATTGTCAACAATCATTTCAAAATATTTTTATCAATGTCAAATAGACTTTTCTAAAGAAATTGATTTTTTAGTAATTTTTAGCAGTCGTAGATAAATAAAATGCTGTATATCACACGTGGGCTAGAGCATAATTACAGTACTCGTGTGATTACAGGACTCGGTCTACGACATCGTCGTGCAATTCTCCACACTCGTACTGTAATTATGTTTCTAGCCCTCTTGTAATATAAATAACTATTACATTTGTTACAGATGAAATTAATTGATAAAAAATTATATTTCTCAATTATCTGAACTGTCTTCATTTGTAACCATTTTTGATGAAATTTGGTATATGCCCATTTCAAACGGCGCTTAATGCAGTGGTGTACTCAGATTTTTTGTAAAAAATTTCCTAATATGATTTCTTCATTTTTTGCACCTAAAAAGTGAAATAGTAGGCCTTGGTTTTTTAAAAAAAAATGTGACTCTTTGACCTAAGGTACAGTTTCTTACGCTCTACAATTAAAAAAAAAAATTGTCATAATCGGGTAATAAATAGTTTCTTTGTCATTCGCGGCGGTAATGAAAGCTCTAACAGTACTCAAACGGGTGCTGTAGTGAGCATCCGATGCTGTAATGAGATTTTAGTAACATTTTATGGAACCAGTTCAAGTTGGTGACATTGGGTCATTAATTTTTCTAGTTGTCAATGTGACAATTTTTGTCTATGGATGTTTAAACACGTTCTTAGCATCGAATACAAAGTCCACAATGATGAGGACATTGAACATTGAGCAATTTCTCTTATTTTGGGAGGTGTATATGAAACATTTTTTTCAGGTGAATACATTTTGTGTTTTGACAGTTTCTAATTGTCAATTAAAATTTCTATTTTCAAGTGTTACGATGTTACCAACTGCTACATACCTATTTCCCTACATTGAAAAATTTATTTTATTTTTCTTAAAAAAATAGCATAAAAACACGTTTCATAAGACTTAAAGCACTCATTCATTAAAAAACTCGTGGTTTCGCCACTCGTTTTTCAACTTGAATTCGTGCATTTCAAGCGTCTTACGAAACTTGTTTTTTAATATACTATTACGAGGGTGCTCCGCTTTCAAATGGGTCACACTGTATATGTAGCCCGATTTTAATTCGGTTTAAAAAAAAAACTCCAAGAAAAGACATAGTGAAGAGGGCGAAAGATCAATATTCAAGAAAATAAGATTTCCCATAACTGTAACATATATTTTTTATTACAACAAAGCCTTACTCTTTCATATGATTTGATATTCAACACACTGTGTTCATTTGGCAAATTACTTTTTAATCACCTTGTATTACAAGATCAAGCAAAATTTAATTTTCATTCCTTATAACTTTATCAATTTAGAAATAATCAATACATTTAATTAACAATTTTGTAGAATTAAGCCACAAATTGTGACCAAATTTATCAATTGTTGAACGTATTTAAATTTTATGTTTAAATGTTACATATTTTCCAATTACTTTTTATTTAGACATAGTTTAATATCGTTAAGACTGTCGTACACAATGAGTGCCTTTTAAAACATAAAATGTTTTACACAATTTAATTGTTGTTAATAAATTATACAAAAAAAAAATTGTATCTTGGATTTTATGGACCAAATAAAAACAATACAAATTATTTGGAATAGTTTTTTTTATATTGTATTCTTAAACATTACAAAATGACACCAATACTTAAAGATAATAATAACAGCAAACGTTAATCATTTTTAAGTTGATAGTATCCAAAAATAAACGAAGTCATCAATGTAATTAAAATTAAAAAAAATTATTATCATCCTTATTTAGACCCTTGCTTCATTCGTCTTTGCGATCTCTTTTGAGATGGATTTTTACCGCCAAACTTTCCTTCCTTCCTCATCGCTTGTAACTTCATATTTTTCGCTTTTATCTCTTTTTTGGCATCTTCGCCCTTCTTTTTTCCACCTTGCGTGTATTGAACGTTTATTTTCCTACCGTTAATAAACGTGTTATGAAGACCTAAAGCTTTTTGATAAGAATCTTCATTCTTAACCTCTACATATGCAAATCCTTTAGGTTTCTTTGTTTTTGGATCTGTAACTATGCGGATATCATGAATTTCGCCAACTTTCTCAAAATGATCCATCAATTGCTGTTTTTCTATATCGTAAGGTAGATTTCCTACAAAAACGACATAACGAGATTTTCCTTTTTGTTGAGACTTATTATTTGGAGAAGTTTGTTTTGTCGGTGTTGGTTTTTCCTCCTCATCATCCTCTTCCTCACTTTCATCATCTTCATCATCCTCTTCATCGTCATCATCTTCTTCAGAGTCTTCACCTTCTAAAGATAGGAATTCTTGGGAAGTGTTTGCAGTGGAATCTTCCATATCAGAATCTTCTTCTTCTTCGGCATCATTTTCATCAGATTCTTCTTTAGTTACTGCAGCTTTTTTAGATTTTTGTGACGCATTCTGTTTGAAATTAAATAATACAAATTAATTTTAGCAAATTGATCATGGTTTTAATTACTTACTTTAGTTTTTTGATTCTTTCCTTTTGGGGAAACCTTCTTTCCGGTTGATGTTTCTACTGGAATCCCGCATAATCTTAAAATACCTTCCAACTTTCTTAACTTCCTCCTAGCATTGTTAGTTATTGTATCCCTCGATTTAATTGCTTCTATCTTATTTTTAACAGACTGAATACGATCTGCGTCACCTTTTTGCATCTCGCCAATAATTTTACCAAGAGAATGTCGACTCATTTGCCTTTTTTGCTTATTCCTTAATCGTTTACGTTGCGCGCTATTCATTACCTTCCCTCCATTTTCTTCCGCACCCTCTTTTTTACCATCTAAATTTGCGGTACCACCGAATGCCAGCTTCTTTTTCTTCCCATCGGCATCCCCATTTTCTTTCGGGGCTTTCCTTTTCATCATCTTTTTCTTGTCGTTTTGCGCAGCAACTGATTCTGTTGGACTCTTTTGACCTTTCGTCTGATTTTTCTTACCTTCACCGCCAAATTTACGTTTTCTGTCTACTTTATTCTGCATATTTAACGCGTGGTTAACTATTTTCAAAAACTATGAATCAAAAACGTGGTTTTATAACCGCACGTGTTCGGGATGTATGAAACGTGCTGATAGCGTGTTCGAAAAGAAGTTGAAAAGGAGGTTAGTTTGCGGAAGTGTCATGGAGGGGGAGCGATAATACCAACATAAATTTAGAAAATATCTAAAATGAATCGATTTTTATAAACATTCACACAAAATAATGTTAAAATGAACATAAAAAGATCCAAATTGTTTAATTATTCGTAATAAATGAGATTTTATCCATAAATCAATTTGAAACATCCTTTTAATAATAACATAAAAAATAACTAAATTGACCTTGAGAAATACTTTATTGAGAAAACTTAAAAATACATATAAATAACGACTTTAATCATCTTAAATGAGTGAAATACTTGTGTAACTATGGCAATACATATTTTAATAAACGAAAAATCATTAATTAGTTCCCGTTGATCCGAAGCCACCTTCACCTCGAACGGTATCTTGAAGTTCCTAAACAAACAAAATCAAAAAATGTCAGTTATTGATTATTGAGGTTATGTTAACTTACATTTACGTCAACTTCAATGAGTTCGGGGTACAAAATCTTCTCGCAAATAAGTTGGGCAATCCTATCCCCTTTCTTTACTTCAAACGGCATGTTAGAATGATTAAATAGGACCACTTTTAAAACCCCGCGGTAATCTTCATCGATCACACCAGCTAAAATAAACCAAGTTTTAAAGAATATTTTAGTATTAATTTAGGTATTACCTCCAACATCGATGAAATTCTTGGCAGCTAAGCCCGATCGGGGGGCAATTCTGCCGTAACACCCTTTGGGTAATTCAATTTTTAATCCCAAATCAACAATTTCCTTTCCATGCGGTTGAATAACGTAATCTGCTGCGCTTCTTAAATCGTATCCTGCCGCTTTGAGGGAACCTTTTGTAGGGGCGTAGGCTTCAGGGATGACTTTGGTGAATTTTAAGATGCTTTTTCCAACGTTACCACCCGTCATTTTGGAGTTATTACTTGCAGAAAGCTTATCGAAAAGATGGTTGGTGTAGAACTGGCCGGTTTCGCGCTAAAATGAGGTTTTATATAAAATTAGGTTACCCGCCAATTTTAACGGAAATGCTTTTAGCGGGAATATAGGTTATAAAATAGTTGTCCAAAACAACGATTTTAATTAAAAAATCTTTTATCTTTGATATAAATCTTATATATATCTTATCTATGTGTTATTGTAAATTTAATATTAATGTGGTAGCCCAAAAAAAAAAAAAAAATGGCTTGGAACAAAAAGAGAGGAAAATATCAAGAGCAAATATGAGAAATAACGAGTAAGAAGAAGAAAAACAAATCATCATAAGTCAAACAAGCCACTTTGGAGGAATGAGGAGAATAGGATACAACTTTTACAGTTAGGAGAGCTGGTTGTAATTGGTGGTCATCTGTTTTTGTAATAATAATATATATCTTTATTGCCCAACAAAGTACCAATTACAGGACAATATTATATTATACAGAAATACAAACTTACATTAACACAAGAATCAATTAAACATTAAGCGAAAACATTGTAATCGTCTCGTCTCAGATTTACACATTCTCTGTTGTGGGCCTGCACGTTGGTTCTACTATTCTTCAAATAGAAGACACAGCTGTATCCGGTAGCGTGGCTGGGTACACTGAAGTTGATGCAACCATGCTGGGGCCAGCTTTATAATAAATCTAACGTCGAGATTATCCTTTCGAGTGTCAAGCGAAGAAAAATAGTTACGTAACAAAGATTGGTATTCAGTCCAACGAACCGGAGAAGGTCCATCCACGCGAAAGGAAAGGTACTTTAAAAAACCTTTAATGAATTCTCTCCATTAGAAGACGATGCAGGATATAATGCGGTGACTATATAACAGAACCACACTCCAGTCTCGGCGGAACAAGCGCTCAAAAAAGCGATATGTATACCGCAGAATCCGGGAATAAACGTGAACTACACAGCATAAAGCCAAGCATCCTCGCAGCACAAGAAGCGACATCCTCTATGTACGGTATAAACGATAGTCTGCTATGCTATCAAAAGTTACTCCCAGATCTTTGACAGAAGTCAACTTAAGCATGGAGATTCCACCTATACAGTAGGCTTAATGTTGTTAAATACCCGGGTATTTATTTTCAAGGGTAAATTTCTAGAAAGATATATACCCGGAGGTATTTACCCAAGATATATAGGGTATTTAGAGGTATCTATAAAATTTAATTTAAATTGAGTTGATGGCAGTTTCGCAAGCACTTCAAGAATGCAGAGTCGATTATCAACCAAACTTATTTATAACATCTACAAGAATGCTACAATAACGGTAAAATTGCATGAAAGTACCGAACAGAGTAGAAAAGTACTGATTGTGAGTAAAACAATAATAATAATAATAATAGGACTTTATTTCCCACACGTACCACCCAGTTACAGGAAAAAAAAATTATTATAATACGCATTCGCGTAAAACTGATAGAACGGATACCACACAATTACCGCATACTCCAACCGCGATCTAATCAACGCAAAATACAATGTACATAAACATCTGATGGACAGACCCTTATAGTTCCGAACAATAAACCTGTAGAGCACTTACGTTCGGACATCAACGGTTGATTGGCCAAGTAATATGCACAGTCAATTGTTTAATTTTTTAGAAAATGTCATGGTAAAAGATTTAGAAATATTAAGTGATAAACGGTTGCTAAAGCACCAATGCTCAACACGAATCAGATTTTTTTGCAAGCTTTCACAATCGCTGAGTTCCCAACGGCCGAGAATAATTTCAAATCATCAGCAAATAGTAGCTTCTCACAATCCAAGATTTCGGCTACGTCATTAATAAAAGCCGGGAACAGTAATGGACCGAGGTTGGATCCATGGGGAACCCCTGAAGTTGGAGAAAATCCTCTGGAAGTGAAGCCGCCATAATTAACAAACTGCTGCTGACCTAGCAAATAAGATTTCATTAACGACAACAGCGGGGCACTTAATCCAAAGTAACTCAGCTTTTTTAATAAGATAAAGTGATCCAGCTGATCAAACGCCTTCCGAAAGTCGAGATACACAGCATCCTGCTCTCTAGCGTCGATTACATCAGCAACAAATTGGGCGAAGCATGTCAGATTGGTGACAGTGGATCGACCACAAACAAATCCGTGTTGGTGTGGGCTTATGTACTTATTTAAATGATATGAGATGTGCTTGAAAAGAACGCTTTCAAACGTCTTCGAGAAACCACACAGCAGCGATATAGGTCTGTAATTCACAATCTCAGCAGGGTTGCTCTTCTTCCCAAAATTGGACAGACGTATGACTCTTTCCATGACGACGGAAAGGTAGAAGTAGACAGGACCAGATTGAAAATCGAAAGCAATGGGGCGGCCACAATCGAAGCACAGTCCTTCAGTAAAAAGCTCGGTATGCCATCAACTCCAGCAGTAAGAGTATTCTTTGTACGCTTCAACGCATCCTCAACCTCCTCCAAGCTGAAGTTCTCCACTGACAAACAAAGACTATAATCGGGGAAATCAGACCCCACAAAAACAGGATCAGATTGAATATAAACGGACTCAAAATAATCAGCAAAAGCGTCCACAATACTTCGACCCGAACTGAACTCCAGATTTCCATTCGTCATAAGGCCTGGAATGCGAATGCCGCCCTTCCGTGGCCGAACATAGGCCCAACGAATTTAATTCAAACGAATTAAACGTGTCAAAAAATAGTTCAAATGCATCAAAAGTGACAGAAGGTGGTATATATAAAGCAAATACATATATTATTTTCCCACGTACACCCTGAATCTTGACTTCTACCACATCAATTACTGCTACCACTCTGGATAAATCAGAGAGATCAAGCTGACTTGCTTTTAGGGTGTTCTTAAGACAAATCAAAACGCCACCCCCCCTAGACAGGTCATGCGCAGCAAAATTACGATCCCTTCGAAACGTAATCCAATCATCGGAACAAAATTCAGCATTAAAAATATCATCGCATAGCCATGTCTCCGACAAGGCCACAACATCAAAACAAGACTCACACAATGAATTCAGAAGAGTAGGTGTCTTCGTACGAACACCTCTGACATTTTGGTAATAAGAAGACAAGACCTTATAACTGGATGGTATATTCAGTTTAAAATACTTTTTACGATTTTCGATTGTGAAAACAAGGCGATACACTGTTGAACCCAAATTGTTCATCACAATCCTCAGAGTGCATTTAAACAACTGGATTGGACCAAAAAGGCATAAACATTGATTGCAAATGCTTAAGTAATTTGCGCTACGCGGACGATATAGATCTTATATTGGATAGCCTTGGAGAGATTAAACTAATGCTGAACGACTTAAAGGAGGTATGTGCAAGAGTCGGGCTAAATATGAACATTGAGGATAATGAAATTGAAAGGGTTGACGGCTATGTATATCTTGGCTATGAGGTTCGTGTATCGAGAGATAATCAAACAAGCGAACTAAGCAGAAGGATCACACTCGTATGGGCAGCCTACGGGAAATATAGAGACTTCTTCATAAGGCATAAACTTTAACATTAATGGTAGCCACTGCCAGGAGGGTCCAAGTAACGCAAAGATAGATGGAGAGGTCGATCCTGGATTTAACTCTGAGGGACTATATACGAAATGAAGACCTATGAATAAAAACTGGCGTAAATGATGTGGTCAACATTGTGGCAAAGCTTAAGTGGAACTGGGCGGGTCATGTCGCACGAATGAAGAATGACCAGTGAACAAAACGGTTGCTTGAGTGGAGACCACGAGCGAACAAACGAAGTAGACGTCAAAAGAATGACCAACAATTGGATTCAAACAGCACAGAATAGGGGAGGTCTATGTCCAACAATGGACGCAGATGGCTGCTTGATGATAATAATTATAATAACTTGATCTAATCTAAATTACAACAGATTCGTCTAATGGTAATACGTCTTTGATTGTTGACAATTCCTCGTCTTCAACGTTCTCATCATCTTCCTCTTCATTTCTTTTGGAATCTGATATATTTTTACTGTTATCACTTTTATACCCACTGTTTGGACCGGCACCATAGACTGCAATGACGCATCATAGGCTAAACAGTATTCTGGGTTTGTGATGGCGGGGCGGGAAGGAGAAAGTGTTAGTAAGCTTGTGATAACTGTTGATGGTTATGTGAATAGAATAGCGTTTTATTTATTCATTCTTACTCTACAATTACATATACTAGACTAATCTTTTAAAACTTAATATTATTCGAATTAAACATAAACTAATTTGCATGGTCAACATTTTATCGAATGTCCCCAATTCTTCCGAATTGCACGTATCGATATTACGTCAATTTCGCAATCAACTCCTGTCTTGTATTCCATTACAACCTGAGTTTTATTAGTTACAATTAAAATGGTATTGAAGCAACTCTCTTTGCGTCACAAAGAAAAAAAATAACGACATAATAAATAAAAAACAAATTTATACATCATCAACCTTTCCAGATAAAAGAACTCTTTATTAAAATTTATGATTGCGGTTGTTTATCTGTTTGCATATAAATGCATCGCAAAAGAAAAATAACGAAACATCAACAGAATGTTGAACCTTAAAGTTATAATTTTAGTTTTTTCCTTAACCGTTTCGGAAAATTTTGCAAAATACGCCGTTTTAAGAATCAACGATGGATTAATAAAAGGTTCGACTTTAACGGATATCGATGGGAGATTTTTTTTTAGTTTTCAATCAATTCCTTTTGCTAAACCACCAATTGGAAAATTAAGATTTAAGGATCCAAAACCTGTTGAAAAGTGGAATGGAATTTTGGATGCAACAAAAGAAGCGCCCATTTGTTTTCAGAAAATACTTCTGTTAAATGAAGATTTTTATGGCCAAGAAGATTGTTTATATTTAAATGTTTACACGCCAAACGTAAGTAGACTTATTAAAAATAAATTGTATAAAAATAAAAATCTGTTGATTCCATCCAGTTAAGACCAAAATCTCTTTTACCTGTTCTCGTATTTATTCACGGAGGCTCTTTCATCGAAGGATCTGGAAGTTATAGTTCTTACGGACCAGAATTTATTGTTTCAAAAAATGTGATCCTCGTAACATTAAATTATCGCCTTGGAATGCTTGGTTTCACTAGCTTCAATAATCCGAAAGTTGATGTTCCCGGAAATGCTGGTCTCAAAGATCAAACTGCGGCTCTTCGATGGATTCAAGCTAATATTCGGTATTTTGGTGGAAATCCAAATTTGGTAACAATTTCGGGAGAAAGTGCCGGAAGTGTCAGCGTACATCTCCATGTTTTATCACCTCTATCGAATGGCAAATAAATTTTTTTTATCTCATTTCTAAATTCAAATTAGAAACTAGTTTAACTTAATTTAATTGATAGGTTTGTTTAAACGAGGTATTATGCAGAGTTCTTCTGCTTTGGCAGCATGGTGTAACGGAGAGATTAATAACGGAGTTTCATCTGCAAAATTTCTCGGGTTTGAAGGTAACGATCAACTGAGCATGTTGGAATATTTACAAAATGCTGATTTAGACCAATTAAAAGCTGCTTCTGAAAATACAACGTTTGTAAGTTTTAATTTAATTATTTAAGTTAATCACTAAACTTCTAATATTCGTAGTTGGTGAAAATCAATACTCCAGCAAGATTTAGTCCAGTTGTTGAATATAAATCAAAAAAAGCCTTTTTAACCGACGACCCCAGCAATATTTTAAGAAGAGGCAATTTTAATCGTGACGTAGAATTAATGATGGGAATGACAAATAGTGAAGGGACGGTTTTGGATGCTGTATTGATTTTATTGAATGGATTGTTTGAACCCTGGCCAACAAACGATTTTATACCGCATTATTTTAACGCAACTTCGAATGAAAAAATCGAAATTGAAAAAAAATTAGACGACTACTACAACACTCACGATTCTAATCCGGACAATCACATCGCTTTACAAACCGATTCTTATTTTACCTTCCCAATCTACGAAGCACTTTTCGCACACTTAAATTACAACCAAGACATATTCCTTTATTTGTTCGCGTCCACGTCGGAATTAAATACTCTCAAAAATAGTAACAATATAACAAGAAATTATAACGGTGCTTGTCACACTGATGATTTGTGGTATTTTTACACTCACTTAGAAACTCCACCTTCCGCATTTGCAAATGGTTCCATTGAAAATATGGCAATTCGGAATTCTGTGAGTTTGTTAACGAATTTTGTTAAATTTGGAAAACCAACGTTACCAGGAGATCCAGTTCAATGGGAGAAAGTTCGAAAAGGATCTATAAAGTATTTGAAAATTGATTTAAATCAGAATTATGTGGGGGAGATGTTTTTTGAGGAAAGAATGGATTTTTGGTGCAAGTTACATGAGGAATATAATCTACAACATTTTTGTCCTTTAATGTAAATTTATTTTGATTTAAAATAACTAAGGAAGCGTGAACTATGTTTTCCGCCTTCTTTATAAATGTTGCACCATAAAACTTTTGTATTTCTTGCATTGATTTCTTTGGACTTCAATCAGATTCGTTGGTGTTTGCTCAGCTTTTGGTTTATAATAATTCCTCTCAACTCTAGGAACAGGCACATTAGAAATTGGGGACCTGTTGCATCTACTACTTATGTTATAAGTCTAATTCCGTCTTGGTGTTAGTAATAAAGATGATAAGTTGTTATTATTCTTGGATAAGTATGATTACAATGTTGTCTATTTTTCATTAAAGGTAATAAATCTACACATTCCTATTCAACTTGATTCCTAAGACATCTCATCATATTTTACACATTGCCGTCGGAGTTCATCTTCTATTAATACAAATACAAGAAATCTCTTTCTAGATTTGTCGCGGGCTTGTGATAGAGTATCTAGCAAGGTAAGATTAGCACATAATGCCTAGCAGGTAGTAATAGATGATGAATAAGATATTTGATGATGTTCCAATCACAAGAGTGTCCTTCAGGGTTTCATCTTGAATACCTTCCTATTTGAATAACATTCCAGACTATTTGGGTAATAATATGAAGATTTTGCTGTATGCAGATGTGATCACTGCGAATAAGTTGTAACTTCAGCGTATGAAGTGGCTGCGTATTGGCTGTGTTTCAATAAAGACAAGACCGTACTGTTATGTTTGGTCTTGGACGAGGCTGTAAAAACACTCTGATAGATTGTAGGTTTAACAGTTAACACTCCTGGTTTGAGATTCGAGTATCATACTGATATTGGCAAAAAGATTTCCAGAAACATTTTCCTATGCCATAGACTTCTTAAAGCAGTGGTTGCAGAAACGGCTAAAACCTTTGTCCCCATTCACTCAATAATTAATTTTGTACTCCAATCCCCAGAATTTTCAGAGAAAACAGTACAGGTGCTAGAAGCTGAGATCCAAGCATTTCCAGAGAAAACCTGTACTGTTCTTTTTTTGGAAGCTGAGTACTAAGCTAAAAAGGAAGGTTAAGAGAGCTTGAGCGGACAATCCTATTCAACTTGATTCCTAAGACATCTCATCATATTTTACATATTGCCACTGGAATTCATCTTCTATTAATACAAATACAAGAATTGACTACAGAATGGCATCGCGGACCATAAATGATGAATCAGTCTTATTCAAACTAGCCACAGATTGTAATGATATTGGATATTCAAGTGTAAAAAGGAATATAATAAAATTATAAATAAATCTTACCTCAGAGTTGTTCATTCCTGTATTGTTTTGTTATACACTTCTATATAGAAATAGACACCATCTTCGCCAATTCCAGGTAAGAATCTTTGGACATCTGCAGAAAGCTATGAACTTGATGAACTCATTAGATATATAAAAGTTTTATAACAGTGAATTCAGAGGATTTTTAGGAGTTAAGATAAATGTATGTGTTGTTATAAATCACCTCATTTGTACTTATTAACGACTATATATTTAAAAAAAGAGATACATGAATTTGGTAATGCAAAACTGTATCTATACAGTCGAAGGAGACATCTACAGAATGGCTCCAAATAGTCGAATGATTAATCTCTTTTCGCGCAATGTTATACAACTATTTGTAGTTACTCTGTATAATAAAAATTAGCTGTGATATCAAAATCCGATCGCGTTTTCGCATCTTATTTTATAAAAGAAACGAAGTACAAGAAGACAGAATCTACTGGATTGATTAGAAACTTAATATTAAAACAAAAATTACAATTATAAATATATACAGTATACAATTATTTGGTATAAAATACGATGGTAAAGACACAAAAACGCAACTGAATTAAAGATTGTTTAAAGTCCAATTTTTCCAAATTCTTTAAGAATTTTTTAGTTACTAATTTCTGAGCAACATCAAATAAGATAATTAATAAGTTGAAGACACTTGGAAATAGTGGACTTTAAGCTTAAATAGGGCAAACAACAAAAATTAATATAATGAATAGAAATTGATGATTGAGGCCGATTCTACAAATCTATAGCTACCAAAAAATAACTTGAAACGCTGATTTTTTTCTACACTACCATATAATAAAGTGTATTTCTTTTTGGTTTTTTTAAAATGTATTATTCAAATAAGCAACTTGTTAAATTATTTTCGCAACGATAAATTTGTTGTTACTGTCGCAAAAAACTTTTAATTCAATAACTTTTATCTGCACGCAATCAATCTTACTCCTATAAAATCGATTAAATTTATAAAATTATTACGATTAAAAAGAAATGTCGAATAATTAAATTTACATGTCGTTTTTTTTATATCACCAAATAAGTTTTGATTATTATTTTTTATCATCACTATACACTATAAACATTTTGATAGAAACGACCTGCTCTATTTTTACATACTAATAATCCTGTTTTGTTCAAAGTTTTAATTTTGTTTCTTAAAATCTCAAAATATTTATAATTAATTATCCTTTTCATATGGCGTGATGTGATCAATATAAGCTTATTAAATTTTGACTGTTACTTTTACGAATTTATTAAAAGTAATGTAAAATATTTATTTTCAACATTTAAAAATATTTTAGAATTAAAATGATGCAAAAATTACAATGTCCTTATATATGAGTAATTATGGACTTAATGTTTAGGTACAAAATATCAGTAATAATGCCCATATGAATGTAGCAGTAATATAGAATACGTCCGAATTCAAAATCAACATTAAACGATTTTTCATAATAATAACTATGTAAATATGTATGTATAAAAAGCTTCATAAACATCAAAATGTCAAGATAATACTCCCAAAAGTAAAAAATTTGTAATATAATTGCACTTTGTATACCAAATACAACCCAATAAATGGTAATTCATCTTCGATATTAAGTTTTGAAATAATTTTATTTTCAATTTTCCAAATTCACAGCCAATTAGATTAAAAAAAAATAGTACAATTTTTAATTTTTCATAATCTTTAATATAAACCTGATTTTTACTAATTTTTGTAAAAAAAAAAAAAACAAGTTGTTGTACTTGTTATACTGTGCTTATAATTATCCAATACCATTTCATAAAAACAGTAAAAGACACACAAAAAGGATTTTGTTCTCAATAAGTATAACTTTTCCAAAATATACGTTACAAAAAACTTTTACACTCTTTTACAACTTTTTTTTTAGATTTTTCAAATCTTTTTATCACATCTCTTTCACTTTTAAAGGTTCATAAAATTGTAACCTTTACGTTTCGATTTAAATTCACCTTCCTTTGCAACACTAACAACGTCTATGCTACGAAATTTTATAATGATTGAAAAATTAAAATTATATATATGAGGGGTTTTTATCATCATTAAAAAGCTTTAAAATTAATTAACCCTTGAGTCTACAATTGTATAGTTAGTTGTGTCAAAATGAAAATGCTACAATAATGTAACAAATGTTATAGGTACATTTGTTACAAAGAAAAACTTATTGGGGCGTATGCGTAATGGTTTGATGATTTTCATGAAGTTGAAATACGATAAACCTGAAATTTTGTGGCACAATAACTATTGAGTTACGGTTTACTTATACTTAATATTTTAATAAGTATAAAAAGCTCTGTATTAGAAATAGTTTCACCAAACGCAGTGGATCATACACAAACAAGATCAAGATTATGAAAATCCATTATGGAAGGAATATGATCTTACAACAATTATACCTAGTTATCAGTTATTAACTAGTGTGGAGGAAGATCACTTTAGGGATTGCCATAAAGTGATAAATATTTGTATAACTGTTTTAGGGTCATTTTCATCAGGCTTTACATATTTAATTAATCAAACGAATAAGCGTTCTAAAAGGGCAAACTTTTCAATATAAGAGAAGCATAGCAAAAAATGCTTCGAACTTACCAATTAACTAATTACGTAATGACTAAAATTTATTAAAAGTATCTTAACAAAGGTGAAAGATATTATAAAAGCTTAATAGGATGCATTCCAAATAATTCAAAGATATTAGAATATTAGAAAAAGTTGATTGATGTGTGTCGAAATGACTCAAATTTATTAAAAGCATCTCTAAGATACTTAACAAGATTTTTAAAAGTGTTTCCATGATGCCAGGAAATAGAAAAAGTTGATTGGTATGTATCAAAATGATTCAAACCGCTTAAAAATATTTTCAGGATAATGAACAAACCCAAAAGACGTTATAAAAGTTAATAGGAATGTTTTCCAGAAAATTCAAAGATATTTGAATAATAGAAAAAGTTGATTGGTGTGTGTCGAAATGGCTCAAATCGCTTAAAAATACTTTCAAGATAATGAACAAACCCAAAAAAAGGTATAAAAGTTAATGCGAATGTTTTCCAGAAAATTCAAATATATTAAAATGAGGCAAAAGTTTATTGGTGTGTATCACAATTTTGCTGAAGGAGGATTGAAGCTTTTGAAATGATATGTTACCGAAGAATGTAGATAGATATTGAGATAGATATTGTTGGAAGGATACACTAATACCGAGCAAATGTAAAAACAATATGAAACAACACAAGTAAAAATACTAAACATGTCGATCTATGTCAAAGGAAAAGTAATGTTTCGTATTCTTGAAAATGTTCACAATATATTAGTATATCAAATGATAAGCATTCTTAGAAAAACAATTCGGTCATAACGAAACAAAATTATAAAACTTTGAAAATAAAAACGGGAGAGAAGAGAATTTATCTGCACAAAATCAAATACCAACTATCTTACAAATGGATGGATCCATGGAAATCAAATTCAAGTCAACTTACTGAACGAAATCACGCATTGAAACTGGTAGCGTAGAAATGCTGCTTAAGACTTTTGTATTGTGTAATGCACAAAAAGAGAAGAACGTCTGAAACTACTTCAATGTCAAAAAGATGATTCAAATGCTGAAACAGAGCGCTTTGTGATATTAATTTTACAAATAGCTTACATTTGGCATCATTCAAGTGCAGTTCTTGTAATATGTTTCTTTGCTGCAACCACAAATTTAATTGCATGTTGGAACACCGTAATACTTTATAAATATTATTTTTGCATGATTCTATAGTGACAAAAATCTCTTTAATAATAAAAAGGTCAAACAATCTTTGAGGATCATTTGAATAACAACGACTCTTACTTACACAAGGTTAAACGGATTTAACTTTTTCTATGAAAAGTACATACATACCCATACATGCTTGACTCATTACGAAATGCTAATATATTTGATTCTTAGCGTGCTATGACCTTTAAACACGTTATAAATATACATATATGACTTTTTACTACTTTGTCATTAATTTTGGACACCGCGTCCATACTTCAGACGTTATATTAGCAATTGTAGCATGCTTTGAATTTAAACGTTGAAATATGTTAGATAAGAAGCTCACATTGTTTTAGGAATATTTAAACCAGTCTTCACTTATGCCATGAAAAAATAACTTATAAAATACTACAAGAATATACATAGATACAAAGGCGTAAGAGGCAAAGGCTACAAATTGTACGTGGATTTGTGACAAATCAATTTGATCATAAAATGTCAGTATCAAAATGTTAATATCTTGAATGCATGTAGCTTTTTTTTAAATGATCTTAATCCATATACAGTGTGCAGCACAATTATGGAGTAAATTCAATAAAACGCTTATAAGCATTATTTTGCAAAAACGGCGAAACAAAATCAAAATAGACTGGTTTCGCCGTTTTTGCAAAATAATATTTATAAGGGTTTTATCGAATTTATTTCACAATTTTTCCGAACACTGTATGTGTCTAAACGTTCTTTTGAGTTTCTGTTTTGAAATATATATCAAGAAAGAAAAACCACAAAGATACCATGGAAAAAGTATTTAAAAGTTTTCGTCCAATATTGTTACATTGATTAATTAACATTTAATGTTTCCGTTGTGTTAAGTTGAGCTTCGTAAAACCGAGCAATTCGTATTTCAATGTATAATGTGTTATGTATTTGTTTTGGCTGAAATGCTATTTTAGGTAGTTTTTTGCACTGGAAGAAAACTGAGCAAAATTGCCGCCACCTAATTCATCAATTGATTTGTTTAACACATTAACTGTACAAATAATTCTTCAGATGAATATATTCCTGAGTCTGAAGGCTCAAATTCTTTAAATGAAATTATCTTTCAGCTAAAAAAAAAAATCGAAAATTGAATTTTTTACACTATATACATTTAATAAATTATTGAGGACATAAAAATGCTATTTGCAATTTTATATATTTTTAGATTACCTTTCAAGCGCTGTCAAGATGTGCGAGCTAGCAAAGAAGATCTAAGTCTTCGAGCTCCAGACACATTGATCAAAGTCTTAATGTAGTAACATTTTCTGAAGATACTATAGAAGCTGTAATCTCCAGATATTACATTCTAGATGAAATTGAAAGTGAAAATGAAGAACATAACTCAGAAGAAAATTATGGTTTGGTCGGCAGTTACAGGAAGCTTTTAAAAAAAATTAATTTGTTGGTTCATCCCGTTGAATATCAAAAGCTACAAATCATGGCTTGCCAATCCGACAAACACTATTGCCAATCTTTCGTCTCTATAGATGGAAAGATATAAATGCCCCCAAAAAAGTTACCACCTGTTAAGTAGTTCTAAGGTGGCAAGATAAGCGTGAAGTTATTTGTCTTAATATAAAACAAAGCAAATTACTCATTGATCTTTTAGATCAACTGAAAGCTTATTCATCTCCACTTAAAAAGGGAAAGCATTCAAGAGGCAGGTTGTGGAAGCCTTGTTAAGTGGTAGTGAAAATCCAGCAAAATCAATGAAAAGGAGCAATATATGTTGGAAGAAATACAATTAAAAGATTATAGCAGATTAGTCAACAGATGCAAGAACAAAGATAGCAAAACTGGAATAGAACAACTCAAAATATTATCTTCCGCAGTCATTAATTAAACTGTTGTTTAAAAAAGTTTATACACAGGGCTATGAGAGAGAAAAATACGCATACAAACAAAACATGGATAAGCACGAAAATGTCGCGTCTTTCACATTTTTGGTGTGTTTTAGAGTCATTTTAAATGAAGAATTATCATGGGAGCCACTAACTATAACTATGTACTCAAAGGGTTAAGTAATGTTATCATTGAAAATTAGTGTTTTTATATTAAAAATGACTAAAAATATTCGTGATATTTTGCTAGGTTTAATTGAAAAAAGAGGAAAAAGTGTTTTACTTCTAAATGTCAGGTAAAAAACACTATAAAAATTTATATGTCTATGTTATTATTATCGTTTAATTGTTATTATTACTTTATTATTATTTTTTTTTTGTCAATACTTGTATTATGAGATCAAGTTGTACAAAAATAGGTAGCTATGTTTTATTATTTTTTAATGTATCCTTTTTCGTCCTGTATAAATATATATTAAACAGACTACAGATGTGCTTTTTACCCAACAAGTTTTTATTTCTTTTTAAAAAACCTTATATTTATATTCATATCAATATAATAATATACTTTTCATATATATCCATATGTGTATAACAAAATTATAACGAAATTTAAGTTAATAAAAACAAATGCATGACATTTTTAAGTTAAAAAGATTAAAATTAAACAAAAAAATGTTTTTGTTGTTTGAGGTAATTCCTATCTCTTATATTTTCTTATAACATACTGGTAAAAATTCTTTAAAAATTTCTTTCTTTCATTTTCTCCATCTATAAAAATCGATCGAACTCAAAGATAAGCATCAAAATAAAACGCCCACCCAATAAAATAGGGGGCCAATGCAACGAAACAAACCATAAATAATAACATACAAATAACGTTAGCTTTTTTTCTTTTGAAGAAAAAAATCATCTATGACATTGAGGAGCAGGGTAATCTAGGTGAACCCATTTGGGTTAAAACGCGGTCGAGCCACTGTAATGGACCGTTTAGGTGAAGTTCGATCCAACAGGGCGTTGACGTTACCGTTTGTCGTCGATATTCAGCACCCCAACCTTTTACAAAAGACATACGAATCGTACACATTCTGGTTAGTTGGTAGACAGCTTCAAATCCTTGACTGACTGATTGTGAAAGAAGAGAAGCGAATTCTTGGTTGTTGAATATTTTGAGGTTACAACCTATTCATAAACAAAATAAATACTTTGAATGTTTTTTAAATGAAAATGACCTATTAAATATTTAAAGCATTTTTTGATATAGGCATAAATTGCAGTAAAAAATGTCACATTTTTGCATAAAACTGTTTATATCTCTTTATTGGTATGTTTTCTTACCTGGTGGGATTTTACAAACTGTAGCCGGATGCCAGCCATACCGTTGGTTGCAATTTGGAGATTGAACAAAGATGCTGGAATCACTAAGACATTCCGCAAATACTTCTCCACCTAAAAACCAATATTAGTAAGAAGTTATAAAATGAATTTATAGTGGGAATTAATAAAATTTACCTATGTAATATAACCGTACTCCTTTTCCAATATGTCTCCTGGTTTGTTCTACTACAGTATTCCTGTTAACATTTGATAACAACCCCAAACAAAACCTAAATATGAAAAAAATAATTTTAAACTTTTTGCTAAAATAGTATCATAACATGTTTATTACCTTTCAGAGTTACTAGGATCAGTAAAACCATCAACAGTTATCGATGGTTGACTTGCATGGAACGTTTCTCCAACCCGAGTATTCAATTCATAATAACTGATACTACACCAAAAAGCCGGCTCACAGTATAGTACCGGTTGAGCATCGACCGGGGGACTAGGAGTTAATCTCAAACCTAAAAATAAAATTTAAATTTATTTTATTATATTTTCCACCATCATTTACTTACTCATGTTATCGTTAGGATCAATTGGATCACCGTCTTCCGACATATAACCTGGCGGCGGTGTTTCAGTGGGTGGAGCCGCATTATGCGGGGATTCAAGCCCCGAAGGAACATTCGCGCATAAACTGACATCCATATAAGTAGGCGTATGTTGCATATGGAGTCCCAGCGGATTGGTTGTATTGTGTGGAAACGAAGTGTTTTCCGGTACTGAAGTATTTACGTCATCGAGAGAATGGGAAAAAATATTGTTTTCGTCGTTGATTAGATTATGTCTTGGAACAAGTATTGCTGGTAATGCTATTAAAACGAAATTGATAAAAAGAAGCGTAATCAGTCAATGTTTTTTGTGAGTCATTAAGGTAGATACCAAAAAAGTTTACAAATTTATACATAAATGGTGAAATATCTCACAACATTACAGTCATATCTTCAATAGAAGGTGGTGTAGGTTGTCTGTGTAATTCACACCTGATTTTTAAATATGATACCAAAAAGTTAGATAACCAGTATATTTTCTTTGTAATGTTTACTGTAATAGATACTTCTTTTTAATTAATTCTGCACAAATATGTATTACTGTAATTACAGATATAATTTTAAAATACATAAACATAAAAAACTTCTAATAGTCTTAATTAAAAAATATATAAGGGAAGAAATATAAAACAAGCACCATCTTTTATCATACAGCACAAATCATTGTACATGAATCATTTAATTTAATTTTTGAAATTATATTGGTCTCTAATAACAAATTGGTAATCCTAAAACTTCAATTTTTATGAAAGCTGATATAACTTTAAATTTAGCCAAATCTCTATTTCAACCCATTTTATCTTTTATATCTATATATATATATTATAAATATATAATATATTGACTGAAGGTTTATGATGAATGTCCTTGCTGATTTATTTTTGGAACATACAAAAAACCAACATTATAAATAATATTAATCTGTTAGGTAATACATATGCAAATGGTTCGCTATATTGATGACATATTTTGGTATTATTTCTTTAAATGAATATCATAAAAGTAAACGCTTCAAGAAGGATATAATAAGAAGGGCAATAAACTGGAAACCCATTTTGCACAATCAAAATTTGTATAAGAATTGAAACCTTCATAAAACAATACTGGTGTCTACTTCCCAAGAATGAATCATTGATTACATTATCAGAAAGATAAGATCAGTAAAATGATTTCTAGACTAGCTATTTCTAATTAACTATACACCGAAACTATTTAATGTACTGAAGATGATAACACCACTTAGAACTTAAGATTATTAAATCATTAAATCTAAACATATATTGTACCCTATTGAATCAATTTCCAATTAGCATGACTTTTGATCTTTTAATATAAATAAGTCATGTTGAAGTATCTTATTCCCACTCATACTATGTTATCATTACTATGTTAAAAAGCGTTGGACGCAATAAACCTCTCTACCACAAAACGGTCACAATCGTAATTTCCTTTCATGTCTTGTTATATTCTTCCTTTACTGCTTGCCCACTCTTCGTTCCATTAGCTTTCCCAAATGATGTTTCTTGGAATATTATCAAACAGTTTCTTCAGATCAATAAAAACTGCATTGACACTGAATTCGTTTCTTTTTCCCAAATTCACACTGCAGTCTTCAAATCGCGTATCTCTTTCTTTCAGCTTCTTTTCAAAGATATTTTATCTTTAACACTTTTTGTCAATTGATAATTTTGTCAGATTTGCAATGAGCATGCCAATAACTGTTACATGAACTTGTAACTTATATTAATTTCTGTATTTACATAAAGTTACAACCTTTATTTTAAGATGTTTTCAGGCTCTTAAGGCTCTTTCTAGCTAATAAGGTACTAATTATACATTTCTATTTATGGCACATCTTGGGTGTCTTTTACAGAAGTAGTTAATGTTAACATAACTCAATATTTGTGATTCTTCCGTATTTATTTCGCTTTTTTAGATATGGTAAGGTATGGTAGTATTCCTATTTCCACTCTTGCAATTTACATTTCCATCCAAACTTTACCATAGATATTGTCTTCCTGATTTAAATTCATTTCCAAATCCTGCTTGTAATGGTTTACACTCCCATTTTATATTCACAATCTCTTCAAAGTATTCTTCCTATCTATCAATCATCAGCTTCCTCACTTTATATTTTGACATTCCTATCTCTTATTTGATTCTCCTATTAATGATTTTCTTACTTCAAGTTATTAAAACTTTTATAAAATAGTTTTTGGTTTCTGTAATAGTCTGCTTCTAGTTTCTTAACAACTTTCTATTAAGGTTTTTACTTTATCCTGTTGTAACAATTATTTCACTATTTTTCTTTTATCATTATAATTTTTAATGTTTCACCCAGATGTTCTCCTTCACCCAGATTTATCTCACTATTTCTACATTCCATCATCATCTTTGATCTATGTTTAAAACTAACAAGCTTTTATTATTCTACATGTTTATCTCTCTATCCTTCCAATAGAATAATGGATGACATTCCCCATTCTATATTGTGATGATAGCCATTTGCTATTATTTCATCTTTCAGTATATAAATCTTTATTCTTTTCTTCCCATCTTTTATTTACAATTTTCTTTGTGATTTCAATTGAGCATGTAATGATATGAATATATTTCATTTCATCAACACTTAGTCAATTACAATATTTCTGATCTACTTCTAGTTTTTCTTGTATGTTTAAGAAATTCTTCATGTATCAAAAATGTTTTCCAAATTCATAATGTTGTCCAGTAAGTAATCTTCCTCAAGCTATTTCTTTTCACTTCCTTTGTTATAGCCCCTCTTCCTATATATATATATATCCATCTATAGATATGTATATATATCCATCCTTTCTCAAAATTTCTCTATTATTTCCTTGAGTTGCTAGTTTTTAATTGCTTGCTCTTTGTATTGCTACAACCTGCCATTTTTTAAATTATCATTTCTTGCTCATTCGTCATTATTATAACCGCTAGTTTTTATAAATAAAAATTTTATTATACCCATTTCTCTTATTCAGCTTGTATTTCTAAATCACTATATCCATCATTAATTTTTTGTATTTCTTTTCCACCATTTTCTCTCTCTCTCCTATGAATCATTCAATTCCATTAAAAACTTGTTTAGTTTAATCTTACGCCCTGTTTTTATCTTTACTCAGTCAAATTCTGCTTTGGGGTTACACTATTAGTGTCTGCTTTTCTTGATATTTCTTCATCAGCATCTTCATCTCCAAATCGCGTATCTATCGCTTTAAGTCTCTTTTCAAGTATATTTTGTCTTTAACACATTTTTTTAATTGATAATTCTGTCAGGTTTGCAATGAGTATGCCAATAACTGTTACATGAACTTGTAACTTATATTAATTTCTGTATTTACATACAGTTACTACCTTTATTAATTATATTAAGGTGTTTTTAGGCTCTTACAACATTGTTTCTCATATGCATAGGATCTAATAAGATACTATGCTACATCCATAGAACATCCAAGGACTATGACATATCCATATATTCATGGCACATCTTGGGTAATGTTGGCCTTTTACAGAAGTAGTTAATGGTACATGGTGTGTGACGTCGCATAAAACGTGTTAGCTTAACTCAATATTGTGATTCTTCTGTATTTACTGCAATTGGCTCACTTTTTTAGATATGGTAGTACTCCTATTTCTCACTCTTGGAATTTACCTTTCCAACAAAATTTTACCATTTTACCACAAAATTCATTTCCAAATCCTGTTTGTAATGGTTTTCACTCCCATTTCACTTCCATTATCAGCTTCCTCACTTAATGTTTTGACATTCCTATCTCTTATTAATGGTTTTCTTACTTCAAATTATTAAACCTTTTATAAAATAGTTTTTGGTTTCTGTATTAGTCTGCTTTGTCCTGTTATATCAATTATGTCACTATTTTTCTTTTGTATTATTTGTAGATATTTGCCATGTTGTTATTTAACATTTAAATATGTTAACCCAACCCATTTCTCCTTCAACCAGACTTATCTCACTACATCTACTTCTAATTTTTCATGTATATTTAAGAAACTCTTCATGTATGAAAAATATTTTCCAAATTCATAATGTTGTCCAGTAAGTAAACAGTCTTCCTCAAGCTATCTCTTTTCACTTCTTTTCTTATAGCACCTCTTCCACATACATATCCATCCTTTCTTAAAATTTCTCCATTATTCCCTTGAGTTGCAATTGTATTTCTAAATCACTCTATTCATCATTAATTTTTTGTATTCTTTTCCTATCATTACACTGACAGAAAGACAATCATTAATATAAATTTCATCATTTAATTCCATTAGAAACTTGTTTAGTTTAATATTTGCGTCTGCTTTTCTTGTCATTTCTTCATCAGCATCTCCATCTTCAAATTGCGTATCTATCTCCTTCAGCCTCTTTTCAAGTATATTTTGTCTTTAACACATTTTGTCAATTGATAATTCTATCAGATTTGCAATGAGCATGCCAATAACAGTTACATGAACTTGTAAGTTATATTAATTTCTGTATTTACATAAAGTTACAACCTTTATTAGTTATTTTAAGATGTTTTCAGGCTCTTACAACACATTTTCTTATACACACTTCTTGCTTTTTTCTTGGTTTTCCAGATGAAGTCAAATCATTTTCAATTTTTTTCAGGCGAAGAATTCATTCAGGAAGAATTGTTATCCACCCATAATTATAATTAAATCTAAACAACAAACATGGAAACAAAATATTTATTAAATAAAGAACTTGGTATCTATTTCCAAAAAGTAGGTATATAAAACATTAAATATCAAGGAAGTCTCAAAGCCCTAAATTGTTAATTGTGTCTTTTACTAGAAAGTAAAATAGTAAATAGTTCTCTCAGCACCTCTCAATGTTTTCCTTATGAAACCTCTTATGCTTTTTAATTGTATAAACTTATAAGATAAATCTTTTTAATGAATTTAACAGTATTGGTTCTGGTAGAAGTTCAAAAAATAGGTGATATCAATGCTTTTATCTAAATCTATTGAAACTGTTCTTCAATTCAATTGATAAATCCACAAGAATAAAAATATAGTTTAATTCCTTCAAATTACCCAAGTAATGTTGTACAAAAAACAGGGGTTTCACTGCAATTAATTCTGAGATACAAAATGTATTAAGATGTATTAAGTATGGTAAATTTGATTCATTACATTAATTTAAACACAATCTATATATTTACCTGGACTTTCAATTCTTGTATAATGATAAGGATTAATGCAGACTTCGTCCTTTTTTAAAGTATAAGCAAATTCGCAATGCTCAACGGCTCGTAATTCGTGATGAGATTGAAGCTCTGGCCAACGCCACAACCGGCAATAAATAACGTGAGGTAGTCCCTTTTTATGTGGTATATTTGATCCAATATCAGCAGCTGGTTTAACCCTACGAAATATTAAATTAAAAAGTTAAATCATTAAAACATAACCTCAAAGTTTGTATCTACATGGAAAGTCAGTAAAAGGATTTTACAAGGAGCTGTAAATATTGATAATTTTGTTGATAAGAGTGGATTGAAGGTCCAGCTCATGGAGTAGACACGTAGGGTAGGTCACAAACGAGACGAGAGGGGGGTGGGCGAACAACAAAATCTATAATTAGATCTAAAAGATTGTTGACCGTCTCGTAATATAAATAATAAATAACAATAAATTCGAAATCGTTTATCTTGTTGATTTACCTGGGTATTGTAACGCACTTTGTGTTATGATTTTGCGACGAAACGGCGCGTTCTAATTCTTCCAATGCGGTGGTTTTCTTTAATTTTTTCACTAAACTTTTGACGGCCTTTTCACACCATTTGTCATCAGCCTCGGGGCTCTTCTTCCACCCAAGCAAACGTTTGACAACTGGCGGCGTGAACATTCCTCGACTCGAAACTGAAAGCAGCTCACATCACAGCATACAAGAGGAATCACCGTGAATTCCACTGGTTTTTTTTCTCACTAGAAGACCCAAACACGTGCTTTTTTAGTAAGCTCACTTTCGAACGTTCGCCTCGCGTAAGTACAGATCTTACGTAAAGTTATTGCTTTCTCACTGCCATATTGCACTTTAACAAGAGGTCGTTTGTTATTTTTGCGGGGCGACTCTATCTGCGACGCGACGTCCCCCGGTCTTGTTATTTTTGCACGTTCGTTTAGGTGCGGGAACGCGTACGGCGTAGATTGACACTCACGCATGCGTGCCCCGAAAAACATAGACGTTTTCTTACTCTTCGCCTCGCACTGCCTCGGACTCGGATTCGGTCGATTTTTACTGATTTTACTCTCCCCCTTTTTCATGATTGTTATCAATTATTATTGTATCAGATAATCGAACTAAATAAAAATCTGCTGATACCAGTTTTATGATTATTATTATCTTTATAATGGAGACATGGGGAATTATTTCCGTATAGATACTAAATGTTATTTTGAAAATGATAAAATTATTTATGTTTATAGGCGGGAAAAAATTAATGTGAATTGGTTGAGTTTTGGCAAGAGAAGAAGAAAATCTGTTTCTCTTAGGAATAAGTTCTCTTAACCAGAAATTTTGCTTCTCGACTGTATACTCTTCTTCTTCTCCAGCTTCTGGACTCCCTTCTTGGCTGGACTAGACTAGATGGAACTATCTCCTTAGAAACTACTCAATCCGAACTACTTCTCTGAAGCCATCTCTAGTCTTGGAAACTCTTTACCAGACTCTAAGTCTTGATCGAATTCCCACTTAAAACTCACTGCTAACTCTCAGCTTCTTCCTCCAAACTTCCCCACTGAAATCCTCTCTTGGAACTCTAACTCTTCATATCTACCACGAACTGCGAACTCTTAGCCGGACCCTGCCGGACTCCAGTCTTGGAACTTCTTCACTCTACTCCAAATTGCAACTCACTGTCTGCTCTCTTCTTCCATCTGAGATTTTGACTGATCGATTCGAATTATAGTTGTTTTTGCTGTGAAGTAAAAGACAAAATTATTTGCTTGATTTGTAACACTACAGTCGGTGTCCCAAAATTATATAATATAAAACGTCGTTATATAAACGCTTGTCATAGAACTAAGTTTGGCCAGTATACGGGCATGGTTAATAGCTTATGTCTAAACTTCCAAAGGAAGAGAATGAATTTACTGCTCAAGCGTACTATCGGAGTTGATCGCAAAACACAAAATCATTTGTCGAATGTGAATTTATAAAAAAGCTTTTCAAAATATATCCTTGTCCCGGAACACTGTCTTTGAAAGAGTTACTGAGTTGTTGCCAATATAAGTGATTAGATAAAATGAAAATCAGACTCGCTGTTTTTCTTCGTGCTGTTGATAGAAATATCAACATTTATGAAGAATTACTGGAATTAATAGCATGATACAACAATTGGGGAGGATATTTTGAATGCTGTTTATGGAATTCTGCAAAAGTACAATTTAGATTTGTCAAAACTGTGCAACAGACGAAGCTCCGTCCATGACTGGAATAAATAATGGCTTAATTAAAATATTACAAAGATCAGAATAACGGGCACCAAGAAGTTTTATGCTCAAAAGTTTTCTGTGTTTTTACGTATTGTGTTTTACGTTTTGTGTTCTATAATTCTCGATCGGTTTTGAAAACCTAAAGAAGAAATACGCTCTTGCATAGAAGTGAAACGACAAAATGTCTGCTTATTATCCGACGTACCTTTTTTACAAGATCATCCATTTATGATAGATATCACAAAACACTTGTCGGACTTAAATCCGAAATTGCAAGGACCATGTCAGGTTATAACAGATATGCATGATCATGTGAAAGCTTTCAAGTGTAAGATGATGCTGTGAAAAGAACAGTTAGCTTTGGATGATCTGTCACATCCGTTGTTATTCCTATGTATAAAAGAGGTGGTGTTACAGAACTAACAAACTATAGGCTTATCTCTCTGACAGCATGCATATCAAAAATGATTGAAAAAGTTTAAAAAATCTGTTAGAAAAACTTTTTAACTTCCTGCAACATTATATCCAGTTGTCAGTACGGTTTTCGTCAAGGAAGGGGGTTTGATGATGTTTCTGCTGTATTCATCAAGAAAGTGGGTGATTAGATGCATCTACTCCCATTGTAGGAATATTTTTGGATTTGGCGAAGGCATTTGATACTGTGGCTCATAATATACTGATTGCCAAATTGAATTGGCAATCTGGTGTATATTCACTAATTCATACATTTGTGGGCGAAGAATTGTTACATTATGACACGGTTCTTCTGGTTTGCAGAGTTTCGTGGTATGATGCTGCTACTGCTGCTACTAGACATACGTCTTTTATTAAGTACATTATGTCCTTAAATCCCATAAAATCCTACTTTTTGACGTTCCAAACTTACAATTATCCACTATATCTCGAATGAGATTCGTATTTACAATAGAGATTGCTTAATCAGTGGTCATAATTGTTCTTGCTATTGTTGTATAAAACAGGTACTTGGAATTCATAGTGGATGCCAACTTTAAATGAAGTTTTCATATTGAGTTGAAAATTTGTTGTTTTTCTTCGTGCTGTTGATAGAGATATCAACGTTTATGAAGAATTACTGGAATTAGTGGCATGATACAACAACTGGGAAGGATATTTTGAATGCTGTTTATGGAATTCTGCAAAAGTACAATTTAGATTTGTCAAAACTGTGCAACAGACGAAACTCCGTCCATGACTGTAATAAATAATGGCTTAATTAAATTATTACAGACAAAGATCAAAAAACGGGCAGTGACAAACCAAATTTTCATCATGTTCATTGTATAATCACCAAGAAGTTTTATGCTCAAAACTTTTCTGTGTTTTTACGTGATTTAGAAAGTGAGTGCACAGGTTTACTTTATTATGTAGAAGTGCGATAGCTTTTGTGTTCTATGATTCTCGACCGGTTTTGAAAACTTAAAGAAGAAATACGCTCTTGCATAGAAGTGAAAGGACAAAATGTATTATCCGACGTACCTTTTTTACAAGATATGGTATAAGATATATTTTACCATAAATGGAAATATGGTGGACATCACAAAACACTTGTCAGACTTAAATACGAATTGCAAGGACCACGTCAAGTTATAACAGATATGCATGATCATGTGAAAGCTTTCAGTGTACGATGATGCTGTGAAAAAAACAGTTAGCAGTGGATAATCTGTCACATTTTCCGACTTGTAAGGCATATCAGGAAAGTACAAGTGTCCTAATATCATACAAAATGTACACAGAGAAAATGGGAAGCCGTCTGACAGAATTTGAAAACGGTTTCAGGATTTTAAGTCCCAAGAAAACAATTTTTCTTTATTTACTGCTCTTTTCACTATCGATATTGATAAAGTCAGACTCATTTAAAATAAAAATTTGATAGTGTTGGTGTTAGTATTCGAATTTTATAACTACTTGCCTGTTCAATACCAAGAAATCAGAAAATTTATCTGTAAAATTCTGTCAATGTTTGGAAGTACCTATAAGTGTGAAGGTTGTGTTAGGTTTTGCTGCTCACCTAGTATACGCACTCCATACTTTTGGCCTAAACCTAAATCTAAACAATTGTTTCCATTGGCCGAACTAAACCCGGACCACTGAAAACGTTCCGTACTAAACTAAAGTCGAGGAGACATCATACAGAGAATCCTTCTCAAAATAATGATACGAAGATCGAAAGACAAAAACAAAAAAATCGTCTACTTAACGGGTTAGATCTTGTTGACCTGTACCTATCTTTCAGACCACCTCTTTCTCAGGCGTCCCATTGATCGTCTTTCTCTTGGTTTATATTGCAGTGCTAATTTTGGTATTCTGTCATACTGCATTTTCTGCACGTGGTCCATCTATTTCTCTTTGTATTCTTTGATTCTCTCGTTAACTGCGAAAATTTCCAGTTTCTCTCTAATATTTTCGTTTTTGATATGATCCAATTTGTTACAGTCCTTGGTCGGTCTTAGAAACTTCATTTACACGGACTCTATCTTCTTTAGGTCTTTGAATCAATTTTGAGTGGGAATTAGGTCAAGGGTCAAAAATCGTCGGAGAGTTCCAAGAGCATAGATGGATACAGAGAAGTAGTTTGGTATAATGAGTAGTTTCTAAGGTGCCAGTTCCATCTAGTCCAGTGCAATCAAAGGAAGTCCAGAAACCAGAAAAGACGAAGAAGAATAGGGTCGAGAAGTGAGATTTCCGGTTCCTAAGAAGAAGTTGCAAAATGAAATTTGAAACAACATTAAAATTGTTATTATTGCCTGTCAACACTGACATTATTTGACATACATTTAATTGTCAATAATAACGTTGACAGTATTTATGAAGTTATTGAAAACATAAATAATTTAAGGGTCAATTTCTTGATGTGTATATTTTTACAAAAATTTATCGTTTTGGGGCGATAACTTCAACATTTGTTTTCTGATAATAGAGGGCTATTACAAATTTTTGAAAATGATCGGAACTTATGTTATGGTATGTTTAATTAATAATGTTTAATCTTACAACATAAAATTAAAGGTTTTGACTGATTCAGAAGATAGTTTGAATTTCCCAAACGACGGAAAATTTTGAAAATGACCAATGAAAGTGATCAGGATGAGCTTAGAGTAAAAAAAAGCACTACCTTAAAAGAAAACATTCTTATTAATTTATTTTCTTATTGCGTAGAGATTATTTAAAGCCATTTGTTTAGATGACATCGATAAGGTAAAACAGCATATCAACAAGAACCGCAGCATAGTGAATTTGGATCCTGATGGTATTACTTGCATGCATATAGCTACAAATTATGGAAGGTTAGGAAACATTTTTTCTTATTTTCTTTTATGAATTTATTTTATTTAACTCCTTTTATTCTTAGTTTGCAATCATTGGAATATATACTTTCTCTAAATCAAGCTCAAATTAATTTCAAAGACCCGTTGGGAGAGACGCCGTTACATTTAGCTGCCAGACAAAATATAAAGATAGCTCAATTGCTAATCAGAAAAGGGGCTGATGTTAATGCTCAAAATGTTTTAAAATCCACACCTTTACATAACGCTGTTATACATAAAAATATAGAATTCGCTCGGTTACTGCTGGAGAATGGGGCTAGAATTGATGCAAAGGATATCCATGGCAAAACGGCGTTACATAAGGCTGTAGCAAAAAAGAATGTAAACTTTGTACAGATGCTTTTACGTTACAATGCTTCCGTTAATATCCTCGATAATTTAAAATGCAATCCTTTGCATGTTTCCATTAGTCATAAAAACGATGAAATAGCAACGATTTTAATCGACTACGTCGATGAGTTCGATCGTACAAAAGACTCTATCAACTTGTTAATGTCTGCCATTTCTCAAAACATGCCAATCGCTTTAAAGATCCTCAATAAAATACAAAGAGCAGAATGGGAAAACATATTGGAATTGGAATTCATTGTTAAACCAATCTACTCTTGTTACATGTGCACAAATAATAGCTTAAAGTGGGTTCAGATTCTTTTGGCTAAACGCATTCCAATTAAATTAATGGATATTCAATATTTTTACGCCATTAAAAATTTTTGTGCGGAAATTGAAGCTATTTTGGCATCCGATGTGTATGTTATTTACGACAACAACTGTGGAGAATTTGTACAACGATTAATATTCAATTGTTGTAACAATGCAAAAGATTGCGATCCATATGAAAAAGATAAATTAAAACGTTATTTTGCTGAAAGAAAATGTGTTCCTAGTTTAATGCAAATTGTTCGGGATTATTGTCGAAAAATTATTTTCGATAATGATCGGAAAAATAATTTTAAAGCGCATCATATTATTATGGAAATGGATGTAATTAAAATAATTAAAGATATTTTGTTACTAAAAAGACCCATATATTTGTACTGTGATTAAATACATAATAAAAAATATGTACATAGTTGAAGCTATCTATAATTTTTTTAATATTTTTTTATTTGCCTAAAACAAGCTTAGACAGATACTATTTGTCATGTCCAATAGTATTTGCCTAGACATTTAATGATAAAACTGTAACGAACTACTGTTTGCCTAGGCAGACAGTATCTGACTAGGAAAAAGCTATCTACCTGAAATAACCATTTGCCTGCGACATATACAAGTTGAGTATTCATCTATGAACAGAGAATTGGGTGTGCTTTATTTCTTGGAAGCAAACGTATGTCGTGGTAGGATTATTCTCAAGATGCTGCAATCTGCAATAGCTGTTTTTCTTAATACCACGAAAGTTTTTGAGGTCGACTTGCATACAAAGTACGTATTGGATCGATATATCCTGTTTCCGATTTAATGGCTTATAGTTCATGGTAATAGAAACAAGTCAGGCTTATAAACGCGTAGTCTAATTAAGCTCATTTCTGAAATGATTAATTATTAATATTTACTAAAATCTACTTTATCTTCTTTGGGATCCCCCATATTCTTCGTGCTATTCTCGCCGGTATTCTGCGTATTCAATCAAATCCTCCATCGTTTGCAGTACCAGTTCAAAGTGCCCATTCACTTCTGGCTTGCACTGCCGCAAAACTTCTTTTCAGTCCGGCCACTATTTCCGTATCATTTGCAAATTGAAAGACATCGTAGCTGGAATATCGTGTACAAATATATTATATAGCAAAAAGTACTAGAAATATCTATCATTTTGATTAGGTTGGCTCCCAGATTTTCCTCGATCAGCAAACGTCTGATATCTTTTTTTTTGGGCAAGCTCCAAGGTTCGCTCCAAAATTCGCTGTCTGCTTCTACGTTCCTTGAATTCAAATGATTCTTCGAGGGAAGTTTTTTCCTTTTTGTTTCTTCGTGCAGTCACTGCAACAGAATTATTTCAGTAATCTTCGACAATCCGGTCAGGAGATTGATAGGTTTCTTGTTCCCGGACTGTTATACATCGGTGCTTTGCTTTAGTTTGCTGGCTTTGGCTGTAGCGGAAAAGTACCTTCATCGTGTGCAAGTAGTTCAGAAATCAATACTATGGATCTCATTATTTATGTCAAGCAGGTTTGCCAATGAAGCTCTGTTCGCGGAATTAAAAGCTCTAACAATTAAACACTTATATGTGAGGTACTGCTATCTGTAGATTTATCAGTCAAATCATCTTTATTCCATCAGATCTAATATATTGCAAAAATCAAATGTTCCTGTGGGTAGGAAGGCTGTAGGACAAGCTATTTTTTTTAGGGTTCCTCCAAAGGTATTTTTGTAACTAGTAAAGGATTTCATTTACGGTATTCTTCAGCGCTGTGTTCACTTTCTTCTGAATATAATAAGTTGTGATTCTAAATTACCCTCAAAAGTTCCGCTTTTTCCTGATAGTTAATTTGTCGGACTTTCTAGTGGCTTTTTGGGTTCTGGCTTCCTTTTTATGTTCTTCGGGAGCTTCCATAGGGATTGATTTAGGTCTTCTCCTCAAGCATTTTCTTAATTGTCTTCTGCAGCTGATTGTATACTTTGTTGTGTCGTAGATTCATCGTTTGACTTCATTTCTTTTTGTACTATTTTGCTTCTTTATTAATTTCGTCTCTTCCATAGATAAACGCAATTTGTTAATGGTGGCTTGGATTTATGAATTTATACCCTGTTCTTCCTCTATACCCTTAATGACGTATTCTTTATAAGAAAATTATGGCCAATGAATCTTAACCCTTAGAGTCTCTCAGGTTGAGCAGAATTAGCTCGGCGATCACTAAAAGGTAATCTGAACACAGTTAATTCTTCGTTTCAGCATTCATTACCTTTATCCCTTTTGTAATGAATATATCGTAATGAATATAAATATGTCACATTTCCTGGTTCCATGAAAAATTCAAAGCAATGAAGAAATACCGAGCAATAAGGATAAGTAAATCCGGAATCAGAACTTTTTTAAAGTCCAAAAACAACGTGTTAGTGATAGATACCTCATGGTATAACAGACAAGCAAGAAAATATCTTTTATCTACAACACGTAAAGCTGAAATGATGTAGTGGTTGCGATACAAAATCAAAATTGTATAATATTAGATCTTTTCATTAAAAGTAATTGTTATATTACATTATCAGTTATCGTATCCCTATTTTTTTAGATAAGATACGTCCATTGAATAATTCACAATGTAGTTTCAACTTTTGAAATGGATGAACTCAACGTAAAAAACATCGACCTTCTAAATAGCCATTCTTATTAATCCTCCTTTTTTATTATATAGGTATTATTTAAAGGTATTCGTGAAGATGACGTCAACATTATTAAAAAATATCTCAAGATTGACCACAACAAGGTGAATTTGGTCGATCAATTTGGTTGCAGTTGTGTGCATATAGCTGCTAAATACGAAAGGTTAGAAATGAAATACTTTACTTTTCTATTATTTTTTTTTAAATTTTTAGTTTAGAATCGTTGAAATATTTGCTGACTTTGAAAGAAACCGAAATTAATATTAAAAACAAGCTTGGGGAAACGCCGTTATTATATGCCCTTAAACATAATGATTCTGTTGAAATTATAGTTACTTTAATAAATAATAAATGTGATGTAACTTTAAGTGATAATAACCAAAATACTGCGTTGCATTTAGCCGCTTCGAAAAACATAAAAATTGGGCGATTATTAATCGAAAAGGGGGTGGATATCAACATGGAAGGTTTATATAAATCAACACCTTTACATTGTGCTGTGTTAGCTGGAAATGTTGAATTCGGTCGATTACTAATTGAAAATGGAGCTAACATCGATGCTAAAGATATTGATGGAAAAACGGCGCTGCACAAAGCCGTCTGGCAACAAAACGTCGAATTCGTGAAGATGCTTTTATATTACAATGCTTCCGTAAACATAACCGATAAATTCAAAAATAAACCCTTTAATATTGCTGTTAGTGTTAATAACAACGAAATAGCCACAATTTTAATTGATTACATTGAAGTATTTGGGGATGCAAAAGAATCCATGAAATTATTGGTATCTGCTATTTCTAAAAATATGCACATAGCGTTTAATATTGCCAACAAAATACAAATAGGAAATATCGAAAACGAGGATTTAATTATTTTTAAACCAATTTACTCTTGTTTTATGCGCACCAATGATAGTTTAAAATGGGTTCGAATACTATTGAGTAAACAAATTCCCATTAAATTATTTGATATTCAATGTTTTTATGATTTTAAAGGTTTTTGTGTGGAAATCGAACTTATTTTAGCATCAGATGTGTATGTTATTTTTGATAACTATTGCGGAGAATTTGTTCAGCGATTAGTGTTTAATTGTTATATAAATCAAAATGAATCTGATCAGAACGAAAAAAATAAATTGAAACATTATTTTGTCGAAAGAAAATGTGTGCCTAGTTTAATGCAAATTGCTCGAGATTATTGCCGAAAAATTATTTTTGATAATCAGCGCAAAAATAATTTTAAACCTCATCATATTATCATGGAAATGGATGTACCTAAAATAGTTAAAGATGTTTTATTATTAAAACGACCGATATATTTATTCTGTAAATGAGAAATAATAAAAATAATCTGTACCACAATTTACAATTTTTACAAATTTTAACGCATTGTTAAAACTTAAAGCAGTGAAACTCTTCTTTTACTCCTCCAACTGCTTGGAAAAGTTTCACTTCTTCACGTTCGTTTAGCAGTTCATTCATCATTGCTGGTTAAAAAACGAAGACACGCGCATCGGTTTATAATCTTTCGTTAACGCGTTAAAAAAGTGCGGAGTTTGGTCTTCAAGGTTTCAATTTTCGAAAACGATGTGACACTGTCACGGTCTGTCCGCGACTTCTAACTGTTCTCGAGGGACAATTTGTCACGCCAGCGACAAGACGACCAAACAAAATAGCACTCCCCCGAATGTCGTCGCAACCTCGTGCCTACTTCACCTCATCCGCGATTTCCTTATATTGTCATTCATAACATGTAGTTCGAAGTTTAAAGTTGTCTTCAGACTTTGATCATTTCAAAAGCCACAAATTGAAGATGACGTATGTTGTGGTTGTGATTGGTGTATTTTGTGGGTTTATACCGGTTTATGGATTGTCAGATGGAAGAATTGTTCAGGTAAAATATTTTAGCCAAGTAATGCCAAAATTATGTTGTAAGATGTTTATGAATTTAGAAAGTGTTTTTAAACGGAAATTTTGATTATGATCTTTTTGGATGTAGTATGCAATTAAGATTTAGAAATTTTTGATTGCAACAAGTTATATTTCAAAAACTTAAACTATTATAAAACTTGATGAACTTAATTGATGCGATAAGGTTCGTTTAAGTTACATTTTAGTTACTTAATATCCCATGAAATTTGGTAGAATATTGTTTTATAATAGATCCTAAAGTGTAACTGTACCAATATACATTATAGTGGACACTGTAAAATCGCTTATACACATCTCTCTTTTCCGCAACGTTCCGCCTGCTAAATTTAGGCCGTCACGCATCTTCGTATTGTTCCTATTTAAAAGGCGTAACATGAATGACCGATTCGGAATAATCGACATGTTCAGAACATTCTCAATAAATCAAACCATAACAAAGGAGATCACATTATCTTTTTAAGATCCAATGATTACCATAATAGACTTAATTAATTTATTTCGTTTTTGACAAATCAATTAAAGGTTTTAAAATTATTATGAGTTGGTGTTCTTGATTTTTGAATGATTTTTCATTAATCTTGTGTTATTATTCTTAAATTCTGTTAGATTTTGTCCCAGAAGTTTCTCTCCCCAGAAGAAAGCCAAAAACAAATAGATCGTTGATGACAAAAACTGACCAGATGCTTGATGATGTTAAAATCAACAATCTGAATTTAGCTTGACTCAGCAGATGATACCACTAACTTAATGCCACATAGCCAGAAGATCGTTTGTGATGTTGAAAAATAATTCTTGCTCATAACATTAACTCATTACAATTGAAGTTGGAAACCTTAATTGTAATCCGAAATGAAAGCAATCCGAAAATATGTTGTCCAAATATCTGCAGATCAAAATGTTATTAAAAGTCATGACGAGTTAATAACTAAAAAAAAAGTGATTTAAAATTTTTCAAAACTGAAATTTATCATCGAAGTAGTAAACTATGTGCAAAATTTAATTTGTTTACTTTTCTAAACTGAAAATGACACCTCAGAAAGTAGACGAAGAATCACCATAGGAGTTTTGTTAAAAACTGTTATTGTTACAAATCTAGATTGTTGACTTTTGGAACCCCGTCAAAAATGAGGTAACAATTCTAGTTTCATAGATCACACAATCTAAGATAGACAATTCTGGGAGAATTAAAATTCTTGGGTTGATAAAAAAGTTGTGTCAGTTATCTCTATATTTTTAATTTGTTTAAAATTTTTATTGTCCTTCTGTGAGTCCAAAAATTCTATCGCAGGAGAGATATATTTTATAGATATAAACTAAAATAATCATAACATTTGTGTAGGCATAAGTATTATTAGTTAAGATTCGGAATTAAATACATATTGGATAAGCTTATATTAAATTAGTTTAAGTTATAGACACTCGATACTCGTATCAGAATGCAGTGAAAAAACAATATCTCTAGTTTTAGTAGGGAAAGTAGAATAAATAGAGAGCGTGGAACAGTTAACTGAGATAATAGTAAAGAGAGGCCATAAGAAATAAACAAAGCTTAGGAAAAAATGAGTAGAAGCATGGTGACTAACACTCCAAAAGGGAAGGAAGAAGATAAATGAGGTAGTGGAGAAAAGGTAAAGTGCTAGAGACTCAATATAGGGAAGCTAAGTTTAGATATAAAGTTATGTATACAGTAATGAGAAGGAAAAGGAAGGATAAACGACAACTGAATTAATTGTCAACGGTATATTAGGTTACATTTGCTATCTACATAATATTCCTGTTTTAACCTTACATATTACACATTAAATGTATGCGCTGAAAAGATCAGAACTGTTCGGAACTACAGAACTCTTGAATCAAAATAGGCCCAATATGTATGCGCAGAAAGGTTCAGAACTGTTTGAATCTACAGAACTCTTGAACTAAAACAGACCTAATGTAAAATATAAGCAGGAGTTGTGACAGAAATTCTCAGAACGAAATTAGAGCAAACAGTGATTACACCAAATTGAAAATCAGGTTTTAAAAGAGGGACTATAGACAACATATTTGAAGGTTGATGTTGAACATAGAAAAACGAAAATTATGATATGTATTTTGCAATCCCCGAAAACTCCCTGCCAATTTGACCACATTCTTACGCCAGATTTTTTTCTACAAAGAAGATTGGGCCGATTTTGATGAATATCTAGCTGAGAGATGGTATGAATTGGAAAAGAATATTGAGTAGGGGAAGAGAGGTGAGATTGTGACAGACGTAGGTAAAGAGGGAAAAGCAAATGAGAGATACAAAGGAACAGTATTGTGGTGATAATTAATAAAGGCAACAATAAAGGATTTATGTAGATACAATATGTTGTCCTTTACTATAATAGGTTTGTATTCAACGTACTTGAAACATAAGGACAAGCAAGTCTCTGTATGCTATATGGAATTACGATCGCAGATCTTTGTAAAATCTTGAATTACCTGGCAACAGTTCCATAGGAAAAAATTATTTAATAAAAACCAGAACACTCTGATTAGACATAAATCTTCTCTGTTGTAGTTTCCGGGCATAGATATCATGACGGCTTACTCATGGATTGTGTGAATCCATGTGAACCCATTACTAGAGCAAGTTACTTAATCTTGGTGATAAAGTTAGAGAAATTTCAAGGAATTAGACATGATGGTCTAGAGCTATCAAAAGTTCAGATTACTCAGACTAGCTGAGCGTCATTTTCCAAGTAATTTTCTGCGTAGAATCATAATCCCAGCTTAGAATTGGACTATCACGTCAGGATTTTGAGATATCTGAGGTTATGTAGAGGAAAAAATAGCTTTTTTGGCCACTTTTGAAGTTATGTAGGGGACGCACAATATTTTATTGCTCTATTCTATCTACTATATCATTCAGTACTATTGTAATGATCAACTTATTTATGATGCCAGATTCCTCGAGAGAGGAGAAAAAGGCTTTTTTGGATTTTATATATAACTACGTTTATTTAATAATACTTATAACTCACATTTTCGTGTTAACGCATCGACGACTTATTCTATTCTTTTTCTACATGTTAATAAACCTATTTAACCTACTTACTAATATTGCTGACTTATCTAAAATACTAAGGTAAATGTACTCAACTCCAACACGTATTGCCATTTAATTTTTCAATAATAAAATGAATAACAACTCATGTGTCCAGTACACTATCCTTGTTCTTCAAAATGCGCTTGATTTGAAATTGAACAGTCCTGTACTATTCCTGACGTAGTGATCCAATTCTGAGCTCGGATTCTGATTCCACGCAGAAAATTACTTCGGAAATGATCGTCAGCCATCCAACAACAATCAACATCCCTTGTTTGCAGATTTGTGTTATCAGTCTAAGTAGTAACAAGATTCTTCTTGCGCGTCGTCATTGTTTTTTCGCAGTGTATCTAATAATGGCTAGTAAGAAATCTAATGTGTGTAATAATAAATAGTTCATGCAGTGAAAAAGAAGTTGTACTGGCCGCATTTTTAGTAGAAGATGAAAATAAAAAGCAAAAAGAGAGAAACATGAGGGTCCTTACCATAAATCAAAAAGGAAAATTTCATCACAACTTTTCTGCACTGGACGTGATACACTGGTCATCTCTTGACCAGTGTATCAAGTTTTTACAGAAGTTAGTGCAAGGTGAATTGAATTTGTGGTTGTTGTCGGGGTCACTTTTCGGGGTGTAGGAGTGATAGATAGTAGATTGCTTATAGTACAACCTGTTATAACGTACGCTGCTATAACGTATATCGGATGTAACGTTCGAGTATGTTCTTAAAATTCGTTTGTTGTTGCTATATACCGCACAAGTGTGCAAAATTTAGGGAAATTCCCGAAATCTCCGATCTTTGTTTGCTAGGCTCGTATCAGTTTTGTTCTTTGCTGATACAATTTAATCCTGCTTTATTAAAAGTAAAAGAAATTTAAATGTATCAAAGAGTGGTCCATATTTAACTATGATAGCTGTAGAGTTTAGAAAATTCCTGGATGGGTAAGATTTCCAATGAACAGTAAATTTAGTTGTTTTGTATCTGAGTGAGAAAGCTGATAACCATAATTTAATACTTAAGTTTATGTGATGATCATCATACAAAAAAACATTGAATCGCCAAATAAACATGGCGTAACTTAATGGTTTTAAAATAACCTTCCAAGAAATTATTTTATTTCAAATACTTCAACATTGTCCTTGAAAGCAATAACTAAATGATATAAAATTTGAATAATTTTAAATCCCAGGATGCTCTCTATAAAAAGCTAATTACACTTACCAACTTATATAACTCCTAGCCGTTATTTTTATAGTAATTTTTATAATAACAGCGATTATCACGGTCGTAAACATAATGATTATTGTCTTTCTAGGGCACCAACAACAATTTAGGTGAAGCTCTACAATTTTTACGAGAATATGATCTGGAAGCTTCGAATATGTGCTTTAGAGTAACTTTAGCCCAATGGAATTACGCCACAAATATGACTGATATTAATAAGCGAAAAATGGTAGATGAACAAACGTTAAGGGCAAAATTTGATAAAGTTTCTTGGAAAAGAGCAGTTGCGTTTGATTGGCCCCATCTTCCAGATCCCATGGCTCGAAGACAAATAAAATTTTTAGTTACGAAAGGAAGAGCAAGTTTATCCGATGAAAAATACAACGAAATTTATCATTTGATTTCCGAAATGAAAGATATTTACAATCACGTTAGGGTTTGCCCTTATAACAATTACGATTCGACTTTTTGCGATTTAACTCTCGAACCAGATGTGAAGAGATTGATGGCGCATTCAAGAAATCCCGTTGAGTTGTTGCATATTTGGAAAGAGTGGCACGATCGATCCGGACCGCAAATGAAAAATAAGTTCATGAGATACGTCCAATTGGCGAATCAAGCTGCTAGAATGGACGGATTTTTAGATGCAGGAGAACACATGAGGTTTATTTATGAAGATGATGACTTTGAATATGAAATAATGGATACATGGAATAAAATCCAACCGTTGTATAAAGAATTATTTACTTATGTACGAAGAAAATTATATGTTAGGTATGGTGGTCAAGCTATTAGAGAAGATGGACCGATTCCTGCCCATCTTTTAGGAAATATTTGGGGACAAGAGTGGAGTAATATTCAGGATATCGTATTACCTTATTCACAGGAGAAAGTTTTGGATGTTACAGATGAAATGTTGCGACAAGGTTTCACACCTTTAAGGTACTTTTAAGCTTAGGAAAATGTTGAGATTTAGTGAACGATGATTTTTTAGAATGTTTCAAATGGCAGAAGAATTTTATACTTCTCTTGGGCTTCGTCCTGTTTCAAATGAATTTTGGGCGAAATCTATGAAGGAAAGACCTAATAATAGAAAAGTCCAATGTACAGCAAGTGCTTGGGATTTTTGTAATCGAATCGATTTCAGGTTATATTAGCAACTATATTTTATTAAATGATTAAATAATAGTTTTGCGTTTTAGAATAAAGCAATGTACTGAAGTAAACATGGAAGATTTAATAAAGATTCATCACGAAATGGCACATATACAATATTACATGGAATATTCTGAACAACCTTTCGTTTATAGAGAAGGAGCAAACCCAGGATTTCACGAAGGAATTGCTAACGCTATGCAATTATCGGTTTCTAATCCATCTCATTTACACAGGGTTGGTCTTTTTAATAATAACACAGACACTTATGAATTAAACATGAATTTTTTGATGTTGATGGCTTTAAAAAAAGTTGCTTTCGCACCTTATGCACTCCTGGTCGATCAGGTAATTCATTTTATTTTATTAGTTTGTGTCTAATCGTATAATTTTGTATTATTTTTTTAATAGTGGAGATATAGCATATTTAAAAATGGTGTAAAATCAATGAATACAAATTGGTGGGAACTTCGTTTACTTTACCAAGGTATAATCCCACCAATACCAAGAACCGAAACTCATTTAGATCCAATCAGTAAGCGCCACATCGTTGCTGATGTTCCATACATCCAATATTACGTCGCTTTATTGTTGGAATTTCAAATTCATGATGCTCTATGCTCGGCTACTGGTCATACCGGACAATTACACACTTGCGATATCTATAGATCAAGAGAAGCTGGGAGAATTTTGAGTCAAGCTTTGCGAGTTGGTAAAGCTCGACATTGGAAAGATATTATTAGAATGTTGACGCGAGGACAAACGGACCAATTATCGCCGGATGCGATGTTGAAATATTTTCAACCGCTTCTGTTGTGGTTGAAAGTACAAAATCGAGATGAAACTGTGATTGGTTGGAATGCAAAAATCGAAGATACGGCGTTGTTTCAGCCTTTATTTTCAACTGCAAATGGATGTAAAGATGGAAATAAATTGAAATTTGGATATTCGTTACTAATAATGTTGATTGTTTGTATAGGTTTTGTTATATAGATATATTATTTAACATAGAAAAATTATTATGTAATTCTAAAACTTAATAATAAAGTAAACTGTTTTAATTTAAAGAAGATTAATTTAAGAAAAAAATTTGTTTCTTTCTTATTTGTAGTGATTTTTAAAGTACACATTTTTAATGTTTAATATTTGCAAATGTTGCTTGAATCTCTGCGGGATGATGTGCTAGCGAAAAAATGGTAGCTACAACGGTGTCCAGTATAGCTTAGATTTTCGCAGAAAGGTTCCCAGAACTGTATGTGAGAAGCACTTAAAGTCAAAAAAACACCAAGAAATGAAGAAGAGGAATTATGCCTCATGTGATTGGAAACCATGCCTCATCACTATAATTCCATTGCATGCATTGAATCTTAACCACCATTTTTTGAACGAAGGTGATGACCAGCTTTAGTTGACATAGATGCGATTGAGAATAATGTGTAATTTAAAACAGTTTCATGAGACATTATCATTTTTCGTATTTATGCAGAAAACTGATTTTATTCAATCATGTAATTCACTCTGATCAGCACTCCTAAAATCCTAAAATTGCATAATTCTAAACAATTAATACTTTTGGATATTAAAAAGTTGTTTCAAAAAGAGGGTGTGTTGGAATCGATGGGCATGCATCTAGGGCTGTAATGTTTTGTAACTATTATTTTCAAAATTTTTTTGCTTCTTCTCTTTCTAGATCGTTGGGTTTGTTGTTCCTGATAGGCTTTATCAGATCTGTTATCAAGCCTTTGAAGTATCTTCTGAGAAGCTGGAGATTATTTTCAGCAGTCAGTTATCTACAAATGTGGTTGAGCAAAAACTCTTATACTGTCTTCCCCAACTCGGAATGTCCTGAACCCTGCATTGGTCTCCCGATGTTTGAGTTCTCAATTCTGACGCATCTGATCTTCCCGGAGATTGTCCTCAGGATCTTCATTTCATATACTCTTAACTTTGTGTGTTCGCGTGCATCAATGCCGTAAGTCATTTTTGGACGAATAATGTTCGACCAAACAGTGTCTCGTAGGCTGCCTTTTTTGGTCTTTTACGAGACCGGGAGTGCTTGAGATGTGCTCAATCAAGTAGGAAAGTTCTTTAATTTGTACGACAGGACTGTTGGTGACTAACAACTTACATCTTGTTGGCTACCTTGCTGGCATCGTGCTTTTATCGTCTCCCAATCACACTTTATTAAATGCTTTGGGCAACTTTATTGATGTGTTTAGAACGGTTGTGTTGGGTTGGGTTGAGTGAAGTTGGGTTAGGTTGGGCTGGGTTGGGTAATTATCTAGACAAGTTTTTTCGTCTTTTTTAAATATAAGGACTGTTGTGCTATTATACCATTTTATTGATATTTACGACTGCCATAGCACCCTATTAAATAGCTGGATTAATTATTCTGTTAGTTGTTGTTCATCTATATTTGAGCAATTCATTACGTATGGTGTCCGTTGCGGAAGATATCTTATTGTTCAGTTTTTCAAAGTTTTTCTTTGACTTCTTCTATTTGGATAATCGTTCTTATTCTTACAGGTTCACTAACGTTTCTTGCCTCTTCGTTGAAGTGGAATATCTTGCTCCTTATTATTAGCATGGCAGAGCTTAAGATGATGCAAGATCTTCTATGTACTGGCAAACAAATTAAATATTGCCTCAATCATAAATTATCGTACCATTCACCTCCACCGAAGTTCAAAGTGGTGGAAACAGGCTTATTATTTGTAGAATGCCGTTTAGTTTCCACAACGCAGCTGTCTGAAACAGCACATTGATCCTGTTGTTGGGGTTTATGAGGAAAAGAAAGTTTTTATTTAAATAGACGATATTGGAAATTACTGCAACGTTGCAAGAATATAAAGGCAACGCTGAAGAAGGAGTCCAAAAAATATGAATAAGATAAACTTCTTCTGCCTCTAAAATTGTTAAAGACTTTTATTGGATTTTAAGCATGATATCTTGTGTACACAATTTATCCAACAATATAGCATGAATTACACTCTCATTACTGAATAGTTCCAAAAAAAGAAGAACGTTTCTGATTATATATTTATTTTGAGATTATAAAATTAATTTGTTTTAATATTTGTTTTCTATCTACATAATTTCCGAGTAACTTACAATTATAACTTATAGTATTTTGGATTTAATAATTCACAACGTAATAAATAATAAAATAATCGTTATAGAATAAATTATTATAAATAAAATATAAAAAAAAATTATTAAACGTTTATATACGTATTTTCTAATATATAAGCGACTACTTTGTGAGAGAACTGATATTGAGCAATATTTTGAACCATATTCATTCTTTCTTGCCTCAAGTTATAAAGAATTGAATAAAGATCTAATTTAGAACTATCTTCAGCCATTTTTATAGCTATATCACATAGAATTAACGACCCCGTTCGTCCAACACCAGCACTTAAATCAACAAATAAAATTTAGTTTAATTAAAATATGTAAATTTTGCCATGATATTTACCTGCAATGGACGACAATTCGCCCACCATTCTCTTCAAAATCGTTCATTAAATTTAATACTTTTTTTACGCCTTCCAACGATTCTGCCGTTTTGTAATCCAACCATCCTTCATAATGAATTTGGGTTAATATTCTTTCCTCGTTACTAAATGTAACTTTTAAATGCCTTATAGTTAGGTCTTCTTGAATTAAGTTCGAATTTGTACATGTTATTTTAAATGCGCAACAATCGAAAGTCTTATCATCGTCTGGCCAATATTTATGACATTTTATCTTAAAGTTAAGATTTAAAGTTTATTACAAATTAGAAAATATTTGTGATAAATATACTTTATCATCTTCTAAAACTTTAGTTAACATAACTACACATGAAACATTCTCTTGCCAAATCATTCTCCAAAAGTCATGTACAGTAGTTGCCATTGGTCCTTGGGTAGCTATGTATAAAGGTTTCCCTCGATATCCTGTTATATAATTTGCATTTATGTAACTATCGTGGACGTTCTGGTATGTTGAATCCAATACGACTCTTGTTGAATCATCTGAAAAATATGTAATCAGTGAGTATAGTGAGTAATGTTACTTTCAAGCAAAATAAAAATCTAAACTGGCTTCAAATTATCATCCAAGATATCGATGATTTTCAGAAAATGTACGAGAGAATATTAGAAAAGTGAGAGATATTAGAAGAAAAGAGAGATATGTAACTGCGCTATTTTGTTATATTATGTATTATAGCCCCTCGGCCGCAAGCGGCCTTGGCTTATTCTATACAAAACAGGTACACAAAATCTAAGGACCATAAGGATTTTGCTGGAGAAAAAGTTCTGGAGCAACTCATATTCTCAAGCGACCACGGCTTAACTACATGATTTAATCTTTTTGATTAACTTAGCCGAGCCACTGCGGTACGTGTAGCGTCACTTTGTATTGGTGTAGGGTATATTGTAGCGTCTCGGCCGCAAGCGGCCTTGGCTATTTCTACTCTCAATATAGCTACACAAAATCTAAGAACCATAAGGATTGTTCTGGTTGTAAATTTTGTTACATAAACACATACATTAAAATAAATTTATAATATACTTACAAGCGATGATATTTTTATATCTATTTTTATGTATATGCTCTTTCATACAACCAATCGTATGTTCTAACGGTTTTAAGTTATCTATCGTCTAAAAATCAATAAAAAAATTAAAATGTATAAAATAAAAAAATGTTTGTTACCAGAAATTGGATTAATATATTTTCTGATCCATCTTTTACATAACTCCCAAAATCTTTCACATCTATCAAACAACTAAATTCCGAGTTATTATCTTCGCTCTAAAATTAATCAAAAATTAAAAACTACATTGCAGTATATCATTTTTTATTTTTTACCATTTCCAATGCTGTATTTTCACTTCTATTTGAACCCATAATTCCACCCAACAATGTATAAGCTCTTGAAAAATACATCCACGATGAACGAGATGATGTTGAATTCTTTTTAATTTTACTAAACAATAAAATATTTAAAAAAATCAATGATAATCGCCAATATTTTTAATCTTACAAGTAAATTACTGCAACGAGAAAAATTAATAAAATAGTAACAGGTCCAACAAGCCATAAAAATAGATATGAACGGCGGATTTTATCGTAATTAATTTTATTTAATCCCAGAATTTCACAAATTGGATTCGAAGCTGAGGTGTTTTTTCTTATATCAGATAAAAAGCAGATTTCTTCGCCTTCAATAAATTCCTCGTAATTTAATGTAATGATGGAACACTTCAACGCTTTCTCTAGTTCTTGTTTCGACACGATTTTTTTACAAGAATTATTTTTTGGAAGCCATAAAGCATCTGATGTGTTTTCAAATGAAGATATAAAAACAATTGTGGCGTTAACAGGAGAAATTGAGGGATGTTTTATTGATTTGCACGATATTTGATCAGATTTATCAGAAATTGTTTTAATTATTCTCACTGGAAAAAAATGAAAAATTAAATTTTATTACATTAAAACCGAAAAGTATTTACCATTTCTTGTACAATCTGTTATGTCGCCAATAAAAGCTGGGTTATTCGAGTCGACTTTATCCAGTATAATTTTTAAATCCATTTGGACATCTTTTTTTAAAATTGTTTCCAATTTGATTTGTTCCCAAGATTTTTGCTAAAATAAAATTCGGTAATTGCAAATAAAGTAAAGTAATAATAAAATTTACTTTTGAATATGTTGTAGTAATTAAGACATTTTTATTACTATCTATTATTTCGAAGGATAAAGCACATTTCGTACAGTAAACGAAAATACCAACGCAAATTCTTTGTCCTTTTATTCCTTTTGCAAATGGTATAGATGAAACGTTACTTTTTTGGGCGACAAAAACTCCATCTAAAAATTAATACATTTTTTATTAGCTTTTTTCTTTAATGTTTATTAGGAATTTATCTTACAAACATGTTTTTTCCAGTATGCGATATGTCTGCTTTGTACAGCAATATAAAGTACAGAATTATCTGTTATTGTCCCAGTTTTCACTGTGCTAGAACTTTCAGTGTCAAATAATACAAAATGTGAAGTGTTGCTTTGGAAGTTAAAGTGCTTCCAGTGTGATATGGGACCATTACGTATTGATATTTCAATGCCCTTTTCGTAGTCCTGTTTACACAGCCGTACAAAAGTATTATAATTATTACCGTCATCGTTAGGGTTCGTAGGATGTACAATAGAAAAATGAAAAGATGAGTTCAATTTATCATGAATTTTTTTAAATCCACCACTATTAAAGTCTTCATTACGCACTCTCCATTTTCCTGGAGCATTACTTGGACTAGCTACGAAAATATGTTTAACACTTATTTTGTAATTATCAATCATCTTTGTTTGGATTAGTACGGTGTTGTTTGTGTTATATTTTATAACGTAGTCATTTTTTAATTCCTCCAACAATAATAAAGTCCATTTAGACGTTGATAAAAAGATTGTATGTTTTTTTGTATGGGGTTCCTTTTCCATTTCTGGATGTTTACTACAACTTTCATTTCTGTTTCCAAAAACACCCTCCACGTATGACTTTTCTAATTCTTTTTTTTTACATATTCGTGCAATGCTTTTGGACTCATTTTTGCTTTTCGTTACCCAACCACCGATAACAAACCAATAACAATTAGAATTTAATGGATCCATACCATCGCAAAGATAAATGTGCGCATCTTTTTCTATTTTAAGTTCTAGTTTTAATTGTAATGGTTGATTTACTTCCGTAACGTTATAAACATTAACAAAATTTATTCTTCCTGATTCAATTATATTAAAATCTAAAAAAACAACTTTCTTTTATATAATGAGCTTCAAAACAAATGTGTTAACCAAAAGAAGTATAGAGAAAATGATTTTAATGTGAAACCAAAAATTTTTTCAAGCAATTTCAGTCTGTGCTCTAGTGCGGAGCAAAGAAAGCGAAAAAAGGCAATCGTTCTAGTCTTTAAAGTATCTTCGGATTTCACAGAGTTCATTTGAAGGTTTTTCATTTATAAGTTCATCCTTAACCATCATTGGTTCCCTTCCCAGTTCTTCCCCAAATCACCCTTCAATATCTTGCTCTGTGGAGGTTACTTCTCATTTTTATGGCATCTGTTTCAGCTTTGCAATAAGGAATTTGGCCGCTATATTCCATTTAGCATCTACTTACACAATTCGAAAAAAAAAAGGAAAAATGTGTAAGAATTCGGATCAAATTGGATGTCAAAATGCAGAAAAATTTAAGAATGACATGGGGATATGTTCACAATGAACATGTAATCTGATTGGTGAGAAGTACAGAAGAAAGTTTGGAAGATGATTCAAAATCAGAAAAGAAATGTGAATTTATACATTTAGATTGGCAACAAGCAAATCAAGCAATACTCCGCTTTAACTATTGTGGATGAAGCCAGAGGTTGTTGGGATGTAGTAGGTTTTAGATACGTTTGTGCAAAGTGCTGCCTGAATGACAATTGTTCTGACGTGTAGCCACAAAGCATTGCTAAGTACTTAATCCAAACAGTAAACATTGGTCGCCACCACTTTTTTCATTTTAAATTAAACCACAGAATTGGAATATGAGGATGTCTACAGATAAACCCAAAACATTAGTGATGTCTAAGGAGCCTCAAAAATGTAGGCTGGAAATAAAAGGGAAAGACATCGAACAGGTGATGACCTTCAACTACCTGGTAGTTGAAATTTCAAGCAATTGTAACTTATACAAAGAGGTAAACATTTTGGAGAAACAAGTATATTTAAGTACTTGCAAGGAATACTTCGGTCAGTGCTTACTTACGGAACAAAATAGAGAGGAAGAGTAAATATAACCCAAAGTACGGGGAGATTGTAACAGAGGGGCTACCGAAGTACCGAAGGAATGAGCAGATGTGGTAACAAAGAGAGGGTCAATAGATATTGGACGGAGCATGAGGAGAGAGGTGTAGACTGTTTTTAAACCATTTATTGGTAGAGTGTGATGAGTTGAGGGAGGAGATGATGGACTGGTGGTAGGTGCTGGGGGAGAAGACGGAGGGAGGAGACGTAAGGCCTCACAGGGAGGAACAGATATCAGAGCAGATACGCAGAAAACAAAGCAGAAACTTAGAACAGTAGAAATGAAATCCCTCAGATCGATCCTAGGGCTTTCTGTACCAAATCAAATAGGTTATTGGCAAGATAGGAAGCGCTAATGGAGTCAACATGCAGAGAAAATGACGAAAGACAAGAAACCACCAAGAAGTAGGAGCAATCGTAGAAATCATTATCCGTTGAATAACTGGAAAAATTCTAAACGTCGATCAACTACCTTCATATTAAAGTGCACATACAGCCGATAGTTTAGTTGATCGCCTTTAAAGTCTTTAGGAATTTTGATATATAGCGGTTGGCATCTTTACATTTCCAAATTCAGATTGGTTACATCTTTGAATCACCTGTATTTGGGTTGGAAATTAGAATACTTTATACTACTTCAAACTTTTTTAATTGTCGGTAGCAACCTTGGAGTCATTAGTAATTAATGATATGTAAAGGTTTATAGAAATGGTAGAAGTACGTCCGTAGTTATACAGGGTGTTTTAAAACAACGTTTAAATATTTATAGGGCTAGTGTTACAGTAGAAAACAAGTCGAAAAGTGTTAATCAACATGGGTCCGAAAATCAACCGTTTTTGCGATACAGGATGTTCAAATTTTTTGGGACTCTACGTTTTTTCTTTTAAACTGTAACTACTACAGGTTTGATAATTGGCAAATCGATACAATATGAAACTGTCTCTTTTTGAGAGTAGTATGATGTTTCCATTGCTTCCAGTTAGTATAAGTTATTCCATTACGAAACGTTATGCCATTAGTTTGGCCAAAATTTGGCCATTACAAGAAGTAGGCTTTACCTTACGTACAATCTGCTAAGATACATTAATTTGACGTTTCGTTCAAATTACGAAATAACCAAACTCCAGTAATTTGATTTTGCGAAACCTGAAGTGAAATCGTTTGCAATGGTCTTGTATTCAAATGCTGAACTGAGCGATATGGTGTTTATGTACGGCATATATATTTATAAAAAATTTAAATTAGGATGCCAATGTAAATGCGAAGAGAAAGTTTTGGCAAGAAATTTGTATAGAAATATAGCCAAAAGTGGTTGTAGATCTATGATTTTAGTGTAATAAACCAACCAGTTAAATTATCGAGTTAGTACACAGATACAATGCTGAAAATAGTTGCTGAAAAAGGCCACTCAAAACCTGTTAATTCATCAAACCTAAACTTGTGTCGACCAAGAGCAAAGAGGGCAAGGGCTCTCCTTTTGAGCTTCAATTTACAACAGAAGTCCTTGCCTGGTACACCGACACTTCAAAGACAGTTGGATCGGGAGTAGGAATGGACATTAGTGGACCAAATAGACTCGATATCAAATATTTGCACAATTACAAAACTTTTTCTTTATATACTTCGTATATGCAAAGAAGGAAAAAAAATATATCAGAAAGCAAAGCATACACACAAAAAAATGATGTCATTGCTTATAATGACGTATCGCATATTTATTACTTTTAAAAATAAGAGCAAGATGAAAAAAAATTCTTTGTTATAATAAAAGTATCGATTTGAAATAAAATTTTCTACAATACAACATTTTCTTTTGACTTCTTTCAAATTAAAAAAAAAAGACATTACCTTCCCATCTTCTATCCGTAATAACAGGAAGATTATAATTATCTGATTTATCGTACTTCCAAGCACTTTTGTTATCAAGAACATCTTTGCAAGCTTCGTTAGTTGAAATATCACAGAAAAAATTTGTATTTGTTAATTTAATCAAATCAATTTGATGTTTAAAACCTAAATAAATTTATTAATTGTATAGCTATAAATTAATTAATGTAATTTATAAAGCTTCTTACTTTGTACTGGTTTATTATTATTGAATAATCCAACGGCTGTACTTTCTTTTTCCTCAGAAATCACACAATAAACTGAAGTGCCATCACGTAACAAATTAAGTTTTAACGGATCATGTTGAGTCTTGGTTAAAAAAAATAGGGCGTGTAAAATAAAAATTACTCTGTATAAAAATAAAATCAATTACAATCATCTTTTTCATTCCTTATTAATTTTTATACTTTTTTAGAAACTTACCTAAAATCGAACATCACTGTTTCACTGTAATTAACATTCTAAATTAAAACGATTTTAATTTCCGGGAAGATATTTTGTTACCTAAATTAGTAACCAACACAAACCTACGTCGATATATTAATGCAAACATCTCGACTTTCAACATCGAACATTTATTTCCACGATTTGTTATCAGTAAGTAAATATTTATTTTCGTAATAGGTGACAAAATAATTTAAAGCCTCTTTTTTAAGATTTAAATCGATATGTTCATAAACACGGTTGTTTCTATAAAACAGATGATAAAATGTTTTTTCGCAAATCCCACAACTTCCGATGATTCATATTCTCGTACTGATTGTACTGATTGAGGAGTAACCGAAGCAGCAATAATTTATTTATTAAAAATAAAAGCAATACATATTCTTTAAAACATTATTAATATTTTTAATTGTACTTAAAAGTGTAATTTCTTAATATTTATAATTTATGGTTTAAATCACCTTTTACATATCGACACTTCCTCATCTGTTGTGATGTAACATAGGACACATGTATATCCATGACGATGACATCGAATGAGAAGTTTGAATATGTTGTTTTAAACTAATAAAAAATAATATAAAAAAATTAAATCTATAAAAAGTTCTTAAACTTACAAATAAAAAAACGATCCTATACAACCCAATAAAATAATAATTGGTAAAATAAACCATAAAAACGAACTATAATTACTTCTTGGTTCATTTATTAAGACTTCACAAACTGAGTTACTTTTCTTTCTAAAAGACAAAAAGCAAATTTCTTCGCCTTGAATAAATCTATCATAATTTTCCGTGGTGATAAAACATTTTAATAAATCCTCTAATTCCTTTTTTGATACGATTCCTTCACAACAATTATTTTTTGAAAGCCATAAAGCGTCTAATGTATTTTCAAATGAAGATGTAACAACAATTTTGCTCTTAATAGAGGAAATTGAGGGATGATTTATTGATTTGCACGATACTTGATCAGATTTTCCAGAAATTGCTTTAATTATTCTTACTGGAAAAAATGGAAACTAAAATTTTATAAATTAAGCTGAGAAAATATTTACCACTTCCTGTACAATCCGTTATGTCACCAATAAAAGCTGGATTATCCGAGTCGACTTTATCAAGTATAATTTTTAAATCCATTTGGACATCTTTTTCTAAAATTGTTTCCAATTTAATTTGTTCCCAAGATTTTTGCTAAAATAAAATTCGGTAATTGCAAATAAAGGTAAATAAAAATAAAATTTACTTTTGAATATGTTGTGGTAATTAAGACATTTTTATCACTATCAATTATTTCGAATGATAAAGCACATTTGGTACAGTAAACAAAAATTGCAACGCAAACTCTTTCTCCTTTTATTCCTTTTGCAAATGGAATAGATGAAACGTTACTTTTTTGGGCCACAAAAATTCCATCTACAAATTAATAAATTTTTTTATTACCTTTTTTCTTTAATGTTTATTAGGAATTTATCTTACAAACGTGTTTTTTCCAGTATGCGATATGTCTGCTTTGTACAGCAATATAAAGTACAGAATTATCTGTTATTGTCCCAGTTTTCACTGTGCTAGAACTTTCAGTGTCAAATAATACAAAATGTGAAGTGTTGCTTTGGAAGTTAAAGTGCTTCCAGTGTGATATGGGACCATTACGTATTGATATTTTGGTACCCTTTTTGCAGTCGTGATTACACAGCAGTATAAAAGTATTATAATTATTGTCATGATGGTTGGGGTTAATAGGATGTATAATAGAAAAATTAAACGATGAGGTTAATTTATCATGAATTTTTTGAAATCCACCAGTAAGAAATTGTTTATTACGCACTCTCCATTTTCCTGGAGCAATACTTGGACTAGCCACGAAAATGTGTTTAACATTTATTTTGTAATTATCAATACTTTTTGTTTGGATTAGTACTGTGTTGTTTGTGTTATATTTTATAACGTAGGCATTTTTTAATTCCTCCAACAATAATGAAGTCCATTTAGACGTTGATAAAAAGATTGTATGATTTTTTGTATGAGGTTCCTTTTCCACCTTCGGATTTTTACTACAACTTTTACGGTCATCTCCAAAAACACCCTCCACGTATGACTTTTCTAATTCTGTTTTTTTACATATTCGTGCAATGCTTTTGGATTCATTTTTGTTTTTTGTTACCCAACCACCGATAACAAACCAATAACAATCAGAATTTAATGGATTCATACCATCGCAAAGATAAATGTGCGCATCTTTTTCTATTTTAACTTCTAGTTTTAATTGTAATGGTTGATTTACTTCCGTAACGTTATAAACATTAACAAAATTTATTCTTCCAGACTCGAGTATGTCGAAGTCTAAAAAAAAACAAAACCTACCACCGAAAATTTTAATTGAAATTATTTTTACCTTCCCATCTCTTATCCGTAACAATTGGAAGATCATAATTATCCGATATGTCATATTTCCAACCACCCTTGTTATCAAGGATATTTTTGCATTCTTTATTAATCGAAATATCACAAATCAAATTATTCCCAATTAATTTATTGAAATGAATTTGATATTTATAATCTAGACAAATAAATAACCTTCGAAATAAACTCATTATTGACAAAACAACTTACTCTTTATCGGATTATCATTTTCAAATAATCCAACAGCAGTATTTTCTTTTTCCTGAGAAATCACACAATAAACTGAAGACTTTTCAGTTAACAAATTAAGTTGTAAAGATTTACGCTCGCTTTGAATTAAAGTTAATGTGGTACATAGAATCAAAATCGCTCTATATAAAAAAGAAAATAATGAGGCTTACTATTTTTTAAGCATTTTGAAGGGCATTACCTAAAAATGAACATCACTGCTTATAACTGTTCACTTTCACAAACTTTAGTTGTTGAAAATGGTATTATTATTCTATTTCTACAATTTTATCGCTAGATAATATTTTACTTTGTGTCATGTAAGTAAACTTTGCCTAAAACGTAAACATAAATGTTAATTGAACAAATAGGTTTTGTTCAATAAAATTCGTTCAAAATATCGATTTATATTAATTTTTATATTTTAATCGAGTTTAAAGCAAGAAGACGAATCAAGTAGAACCTAAGGATAATGAATCTTGTCACGTAGAATACTTAAGTATGCGAATACAATCAGCTAAAAGGTCTAAATAGATTCTTCCAGCACCAAGACATTCATAAATATACAAGAAGACAGACAACAAAGAAATTAAAAAGTATTTATGATTAAGTAATTACAAAATAAACAATGATCTTGAGAGTCCTTAATGTAATAGTTAAGAGAGGCGCTTCATATGGCAGCGACTTAACCTCTTTAAACCCCAGTCTGACTGGTCAATCAAAAACGGATTCAGGGATATGGAAAATACGTATTTACATCTTTTTCAACGATTTTAAAAACTTAGACTCTTGATAATCTAAGATATTTTTACTAATATCTCCTAACTTCTTTCTATCCTGTCGGTAGATTATTTAATAACATATCCATTAACTAATTGCATTAACTAATGACTAATCCAAAGTGCATAATTGTTTTTACAGTCCATTTTCTAGTTATGTTGTTGACTCCGTAGTAACTAATCATACGATCAATAAGATGTATAGCACCTATACAGTCATTGTATTGTTCGATAATATTAAGTCTGGGGATAGAAATGTATTTCTGATCTTTCTTTCATCATTGTCTCAAAGGTTCAACTTCGAGTTTTGTGGAAGCTATCAGTATGCATTTTTTGTCATGCCATTCAACCATATTTACTTTTTTCGTCATTTCTCACAGTATTGCTCATTAGAAGCAAAAAAAATGTGTTTCAGGCTTCAGGGTTTCTTATTAGGGCGTTATTTTATTTGCTTTAGGGTATTAGTTTTCCATATTAATTACATGTATTAATAAACAACGCGGTTTTACTCTAAAAGAGACGTTCACAAGAAAACTAAAGCCAAAAACCTGAATGTACATTTAAATGGATGCTGGGTTTGAAGAGGTTAAAGCACAAGTAATACTTACAATAACAATAAAATACTAACATGGATAGAAACAAGAAAATTACAAAAATCAAATAGTATGAAAAAGAAAATACAACCTAAATAGGAACACGTAAAACTACAAAATGAAAGTGTAAAAGAACTGTATAAAAAACAAGTTAAACACTGAACTGATCAAAAGCCAACTGATAAACTTGCATATAAGCAAGTATCAGAAATTGTACGAAAAACGATTACTACAAGAAAGAATGAAAAATGGGAGAAAACATGCTCTAGACTCAATACCAACCTAGATTGAAGAAAGAGAAAGTTGGAGAACACAAGACAGATAGAAGTTTCAAAATACAGATAACAATCAAATAAATATGTATAAAACTAAAACTAAAAACTTCCGGGTTATGCCAAAAGTTAATTATTTAAATTATTCAAAAGTGCAATAAAAACTAAAGCATTCCATTTAAAATAACAAAGTTGAGGTCTATTTTCGGAGGACCGAAAATGACCACGATCTTGAAAATACTTTAGATCGAAAGATTGGTATGAGCTTCCCATATAAGCTAAATTTCAGAAATGTTGATGCAATGGAACAGAAATAAGGTGTTGCAGACTTTTTGGCGGACACTGTATACTGTTCTGTTTCACGCCAAAATTCTATTAACGAGTTGTATTATTGCAAATACGTGGTCTGCGGTACATTTATTTCATACTTTATTGCATATCTTCAAAAGTAGTAGAGATCTCCCATATTTTTGACGATAAATCAATTTTGAATACTAATTTTTGTCCAATTTCAGGAAACATTAAAGCATCTCCGATCTTTATAGAACCACCATGAGTTATGAGCAAGGAGCAACATCTAGAGAATCTCATATTAGTAGTTCTTTCCTGAAGACGATTCCATCCAGGATTTTTTTTATGTTTTCACTACAAACTAAGACAATCCAGAATTCAAACCTCTGATTCACCTTTCCAATGATACTTGAATCTGCAAATAATTCTGTTATAGATTTCTGGAAAAGATGGTGACGCAATTACCAACGTGTACTTCAACAACTATCAAAACGGACAAAGAAACCCTATTTATTTTAAAAGTTGAGTAGCAAAAGTCGATAAGATAAGATATAATATACTAAGGATTAATGTATGTTGACTAAACAAAATTGAAAGGCTCGAAATAATTAGTTAAGAATAAAGATAAAAAAGAATAAATCCAATCTGAAAGTGTTTGTAAGTAGAAGACAAAAAAAAATCATTTTTGACATTTAACACGATTTATTTCCTGCAAAACAATCGATATAAAATTATTACTCTATGAATTATTTTTTTACATAACTCGTTTTCATTATTTTCGGACAGTTACAAGAATAAATCTATTTGCCACATTATTACATAATATAAATATTATATTTTATCGTTCATAGTCCAACAAAAAAAAATTAACAAAAACACCTAAGCACTATACATTTACAGACATGTGTGAAACGGTTTCGGCATTTTCCGGTTTTCTATCTTGCTTTTCAGATCCGCTCTGCCATCCACTATCCATCGTTCCATCGCTGTGACATGCTTGCGTTTGGACTTCTTCATCGCCGCTATTCGCTTCGCTGTATAACAAACCAACCGGATTTCCACCCAAATTTTGTATTAACGTTGAAATATTTGTGCCGATATTCCTCCTTGGCGATTGATTTAAATTTAAATTTAATGATTTCGGGGGAATATTTTTCGGACTAAAATTTCCTTGATTAAAATTATTTTTTCCTGAAAAATAATTTTGTCCGAAATTGTTCAACCCGGAAATGGTGTTGGTTAAATTACTACTTTCGTTATAATTATGTCTAAACTGTTGTTGAGATGAGTTTTCTTGAATCACTTCGTATTGTGCATCAGGTGCTAAAAATTCATCATTATTTTGAAAATTTTTACGTTTATCTTGATTTTTTTCACCACCAGGAAAGTAATTTCTGCAACATTCAACATTAGGAAATGTTGGCGTTAAAGGTGATAACCCAACATCTGTTGTTTCAGTCATCGGTGTTTGTACACTACTACATAAACTATTTTGAGATAAATCTTTTGGTAAACCACAAGATTCACCAATTTCCGGCATTGTTAATTCATCTGTGTCTGGTAAAGGAAATGGTAATCGACTTCTCGTTGACATTTGTCGTTTTCCCAAACGATGAGCAAGATAATCTTCAGCGTCTTCGCTATTTGGTACATTATTATCAAAACTTTGTTCTTTCTCAGGTGATTTATGCGAGCATTGCAAAGAAATTAATCTAGGTTTTAAATTATCTAAAGCTTCATCATACAATGAAGAATCTTGTCCGTCATTTCTTACAGAAATATTACAGCAACTGCTCACATCAGCAAAATAAACCTCAGATTCAGTTGGCTCAGTTTTTTGGGGACTTTCTTGTTTTTGAAATGCAGCGTTTTCAACACCTTGTAATCTAGGCAAGAATCTTGGTTGTGCTTCGCCAGAATTTCCACCTTCTTGAAGGTTAGGCTCATGATATTTATGTTCCTCCTCATGTTTTGATTCTTCTGGGAAACTTTGCACATTTTGCACTCCAAAAACATTTTTAACATTCGTCCTAGAATTTGTTACTTGAGCTTTAACAGAAGACATATCAACCCTCTTCTTCATTTTTCTTACCGGAAGTGTATGAGAAACTCGATCACAACTTGAAGTGTCAGTGCTTTCACTGTTATCATTTGGTTGATGATGTCCTTCAGCTTCCGTTGTATTCTCATAGTTATCTTTACTTGGATATTGTCTGCTTCTTCTAAATTGAAAATCCTGATTTGTTCGAAATTGATTTTCTTCGTTCATTTGGCAATGATTTTCATGTGCGTGATTGTGATGATGAACGTGATGATATCTTTGAGGAGATTGCATGGGAAGTCGCGCCGGGGAATTTGGATTTGAGTATGGTGGAGGTGGACCCCAAACATAAACACCTCCAACTGGACGATTATCTAATACGCTATATGATCCGGTTGATGAGATGGGAAGCGTTGAGTCACCTCCGGATCGGTTACTAAAACCATATTGACTATCTGCGCTGCTGATACCTCCTTGGTACGTCAAGGAATTGTCTCTGAAAAAAATTGGTTTTAATTAGTTATTAATTAATTTATTAAGACTACTAACTTTTATTGATGGTGTATACCTTTGTGATTCTTGGTTGGATGAATTTCCTCGATTCCATGGTAGTTTTCGCCAATTCCATCCGGTTCTTTCACGAGTTTCAGTAGCTGGATTGGTAGCTTCTTCTCCTGGATTTGGGGAGTAAAAATTTCCTACACGACCTGGTGTCCAAAATCTAAAAAAATACAATCACACAAAAATATAATCATTTATTATGCTTTAGCGTAAACAAGTAGATAAATAAAACTGACACTCCAACATCGAGAAATTAGTGTTAAATATGTATTTTCAAATCCAGAGAATGTAAACACACCCAACTAATAAAACGAAATAATAACTGACGTGGAAAGAGTTGGAAAGGTTTATCAGTTGGGACACGAAGTCCTGTCGTTGATGGATCAAATCAAATTGATATAACATTCAGAGTATGTTGTTCCAATTCGAAAAACAGCAAAAAAATCAATATGAACATCTCGATGTCAAAAACAAAATATCTAACAATAGCAAAGGAACCACGCCGTTGTCAATTGGCAGCGTACAAGAAGCTGCCAGAACAGGTGATGAGTTTAGACAAAATATGGGGTCTAGAAAGATGCACAACTTGGCAATTTTGAAAGTATTCAGAGCTGAACTAGTGGCTAACGTAGACGAATGACTATTGGCCAAAATTACTCGAAATCGCTGTTACAACGGAAATTAATGTTATACAATTTAGTGCGTACCGAGAAGCTATGCCTGACAAGGAAGATTACATCCTCCAGAAATCTTTTAAACCAATTACTCTCTGCTTTTATTTATTGAAATTGTTAGATATGTCAAAAGATGCCACTACAGGCACTCATGTCTACAATCTGGTCCATTAAAGCCTAATCAATATGCTAACACTCACTGGGATTTAATGGTGGTTTTAATAAAACTACCATCTCTAGAACTGATGAATCTTTATTAGAGCATAATATTCCATCTGATCTTTGTAGCTATATTGAGACCGCTTTAAGGAAAGAAATAAATTATGTAAATAAAAAACTGGTGAAGCTACCATTCAAGGAGCAATTACTAAACTTATTCGCAACCGAGAATACTATCTCCAGTTTTATGGAATCTCATCTTGCATAAAGCTCCTAACCGGTAGAAAATTGTTGGCTATGAAGATGACCAAAATTTAACAAGTTGCAGATGGCACTAAATCAAATTGAAATTATTTTCTTTTTATACAAAAATGTAACATGAGCAGTCCTATATTACTGATGATCGCCAAAACTCTACTTAAACTGTATACAGAGGTTATGTAGATACTAAGATTGAGAAATGATGGAGAAATTCGTATAGAAAACAGTGTAAATAAGAGTTGATCTTGCGTCGGTTAGAGCCAGTGCCGGGGAGCTGTCAGAAAATGTTGGGTTGATCCCCAAAGATATGGAAATAATTATATGGGGTTATACAGCGATAGGGCAATGACAAAAAGACCGAACAGGATGATGGGCCAGCTTTGGGGATGGGGGGATAAAACTTTTGGGAGGGATGTTGGAAAGAGAAAGGTTATGTTTGAAGACTTGGTGAGGAGCGCAATGATGTACGGCGCAGAAGTATGGGGATGGAAAGAACAAAGGATTTGCTGGAGGATATACAAACAAGGTATTGGAGATGGGTATTATGGTTGGCGAGTGAGATTTCAGGGTATATAGTGGAGAAAGAGGTTAAGGTGATTGGAATAAGGGTGGAAGCTGGGAGAAGAGCACTGAAGTACGAAGCATGTATAGAAGGAAGACCACATTGCAGGATCCTGGGAGAGTGCTGGAGGGAAATCAAGGAGAAGAGGGTGATATATGGTCAAAAAGATAGGGAAGGATATTATAGGAGACTGGGATCAACAACAAAAGAGTGGAAAGAGGTGAAATTTGAAGAGAACTGAGGAATAGAGACATACAGAGGCAGGAGAGAAGGTCACAGATACGGGAAGTGAGATATAATGAAATGTATGGGGAGATAGTGACAGAAGAACTGCCAAAGTATCTATTGATGGAAGGGGTCGCGCAGGAGAAAAGATTGGTGGCCAGATTCCGTTGTGACAATGAGGAGAGAGCGAACAGGTACTGGGTTGACGATGTGGAAAAGTGGCGTAGGTTGTGTGGAGAGGATAGGGAGATGCTGGAACATATGTTGAGAGGGTATAGCGATGGACAGGAGGCAGATTTTGGGAGAGAGCAAGGGGTGGATGAGGTAGGTAACTGGGGCAAGGAGCAGAGGGTGTGGAGGTAGTGGAAGAGGGTAGAGAGTTTAGTGTGAACGACATTTCCAATATCCACCATGTTTATAGACAGACCACTAGAGATCATCATTCGTACATATTTAGGGGATGGACACTGATGGTTCACCCAGATGGAAAGGTACTGGGACTATAATCCTGCCTCATGGCCGTCTTATTCGACTTTCTGAATACTTGTGCCATCGTAAAACACGTGAAAATAACAGCTATTAAATTTATATCCGATATTATGGATAATTCCAACGTTTTGGAGAGGCTCCTTTTACTGCTATTGATAAATAAGCAGTTGCCATATGGCAGTAGAAGATGTTCCAAGCACAATCAAGGACATTCAAGGACATTACGTTAATTTCTTGGGTAATAATCATACTTATAGAGTAGACAAAGGAGATGTCCACAGAGCACCTTGTGCATAGACCCTGAAATCATCACACCTATAGCTACTCTTCTCGAGTCGATTAAGCGGAAAAGGTACAAAACGTTTTTGAACTGGTGGGATACATCTACGCGTTATCAGATAATTGTTAAAATAGCTTTTAGCATTAACAGCTAAGTCATTTGCAGGAGGTGGTAAATTTGTCCTTCATATACTTACAGATATCCTTGTAAGACATTGTAAGATAAACAAAAAAATTTTTATCACATGAAGCTTGTTAATTATTTCTTTATTGAGCCTGCGAGCAAGAGAACAAGATGGTAAAACCGAGGTCGCTTGCAGCTGAGATAATAACATTATGACTAATTTTAGGTTGCTATGATAGTAATCACTGCGCCCAAATATATGTAGATATGGTGAAGTTGTAGATCTTTTGATTGATTAAATCGAGGTCGCTTGAGGGTGAGGCTCAGTGATTAATATCATATCAACCTAAAACTGGTTATCATATTGCAGCGCATCCTCGGGTTCATCACATACGGATGTAGATCTTTTAATTGAGCTGAGGTCGCTTACAGCCGAGGCTCAATGATTAATATTATATCAACCTTAATCCAGTCATCATATTGCACCGGCTCTGCCGCAAGCAGCTTCGACATAGTCAATCGAAAGATTTACAAATAGTAATATTCTTAGTAATATACTAATATTCTTCCAAAATCAATCTATACAACCCACCTCAACATAAACAACATACTGATAAGCCAGAAGTAATCAAAAATTGATGTAATCGAAATTTCAGTGAAACAAGAAGAAAATATTTTTAGATTATTTATTTTGGAAATTATTTATGGAAGCCAAATTGAGTGTGGTGAAAATATTTAATCTCTATCTCCAATAGTGTAAAGAAAATAACCAAACTTGTTGACTTAAAACCAAACACCTTGAAAATAATTTTCGGTCTGACAATAAGATGTAAATGATACAGAGTGATAGTGTAATCAAAAAGTGTACAACTTGGTTCTATCTATTTTTATATGACATCAAACTAATATCATTTATTTGAAATACTAGTAAGATTAAAAAATGTATTGAAATTTTCACATAGAATTTATCCCGTGGTTTAATAATAGAGCGGTTTTAAATCTATAACACAATAGAAAACGTACCTGTCCGTTGAATGGTGACTATCCCATGGATATATATGGTGTCCTGTAGGTATTGAGGGATACCTGCATTCTTCACAACAACTACAATAAGTCGCTGGAGGCATCGGGGGTCCACGCATTGATCCATGTGTACTAGAAGGTGCAGCACTGTGTTGTTGGTAAAAAGATCGACAACGTAACTCCAATTGTTCCCAATACATCTTTTTCCTTTCATGACTAAAAAAGAATTCAACATTCTTCAATTCAGCGTGATATAGGGAAAAACCGTAATTACCTCAACAATTGATAAACCAACATACAAGAAAATATACAAACTAAAATCCCACTAACTGATAATCCAAACATTGCACGTAAACATGAATATAAAGCACCATGAATAACTTCGCAATCTGGAGTTGAATCGAAAACAAATCGTACTCCTTCGTCGGTTGTTGCGTGTGCTTCAATGACTACTGAGTAACAAGTACATGTCCTTGTCTTTTGAGTGTATACACATTCTTTGAGTGCTTGTAGTCGATTCATATGGATTACTGTTGTTGTGATTGTTACCAAAACGCATGTTAATGCACAAACTAAGCAGCATAAGCCACATACTTTAATCTGAAAGAGATGGATTGATGATGAATGGGTTTTTGAACGTTTTTTTTTGGCAACTTACCAAATAACTGTATCTATTTTTTCGTCGTGCTAAACTCATTACACATAATCCAGTTAAAATTAACTGCAAAAGTAAGATTTAGTAAAAATAAAATTTTTGATGTAATAATTAGATTTTTTACCATAGTGGCAGGCACGAATGTTGGTATGGTTTCAAAATATCCTAATGTTGAAGTGTATGATCTTAAAAGGAAGTAAACTGCTAAGAATAAGGCTCCTAATATAGTTGCCATTCCACCGCAAATGCAACACCAAAACACATATTTTCTAATTCCTCCACTACCAGGAGTTGCTTAAAAAAATATCAAAAAATTAGTTAATTTTAAATTATTTTTTAAGAATAGTTTCTTATTAGTTTACCAACCAGGATTAATATGTGGAGGTATTGGTTGAACTGAATGTGGTGGTACATGATACTGTACAACTTGCATCACAGGATACCCATGCATTTTAAATTTAAAAAAAAATCACGAAATTATTGCACTAATTTTAGTTTCTAAAAATTTTCACGAAATAATTAATTTTCAGTTCCAACTTTTATACATTTCATCCCCTCAAAGGACAAAACCATTCTAATAGCACCTGCACTTTGCATTGTGTACACACATCGTGCAGCAAAAAAAACCTCTTCACAACATAGCGGGATGTGATCTCGGAGTCAACTGAGATTTTGCAGAGACGAGAGAGGTAGATTCCCACCCCTATTTTAAAGGGGGTGGGATTAAGGCGGTTTTCTCGACCCATATCATCTACCGCTAAAATAACGTTTCGGCTACTTAAAAATATTTCGTTTTTAAGAAGTTATTTTAAGCGATTCCGAGTCGATGACGTTTTAATAATTTATCACGGTGAAAAAAAGATTTGTTTGGAAAAAATGTACGTTACGGCACTGAGAAATCTCGTTTTCCTACATAGCCATTTCTCTCTGATAGTCAATATTTCTATCCCCCACCCTTACAAAGACCAACCCTTAGGATATAACACGATGACGGCCAACAACCCATCCCTGTTCAATTAATATTAACAAGTTATAATTGGAAGGCAAGCGCTATGATTAATTAAAACTTGATATAGGAGAGTAGTTGGGGTGGTTTGTGGTGATTACTTTTTAGAATCTTATTAAGGTTTCAATTTCATCTGCACTGGGTTAATGGAGAGGATTTATTAAATTTTTATAATGGAAAATGTGTTATGATGCTTAACTTTCATTAAAATATCAAAGAATAATAGCATCAACTTAATTTAATCCTCTTTAAAGTCATGTGTTGGTAATTTCACTTCACTTACTATCTCTTGGTGATGTCCTAGATGTTAAAGTTCCCCCACCATCTAATCTAGGTCTTGGTGGTGGCCTCGGTGGTAAAGCAGGCGGCAACGGAGACACTTCAATCCTGTCATCAGCTTCAATTTTCCTTCCGACAACGCCACCTCCTTGATTATTACTTTCAACGACGACATTTTCCACGCCCTCCACATTATCCTGCAGATGACAAGTGCACTTTGGCTGTGGTTGTTGCTGTTGCTGTTGTACGTTGATTTTCGGTGCGTGCCCCGATTTTGGGGAGGCGTGAACGTGCACGTGAACAGCTTGACTGATGGGAGGATGAATATGGCTGGTGGCTGGGGGTGGAACGTGGGTCATGAGGACGTTATGATGATGATGGGTGCAGTGGGTGTGAGAAGTTTCCGTTTTCGTTTCGGTCGAGCTTTTATCGGTGGTACACGGGCAAGAATGAGCGTGCGAGAGAAGAGCATGATCGCTCGATTCGCTGACTTGATAGGCATGGTCTGAGGATTTTTGTATATCCGGAGTTGGAGACGACATGGTTCAGTTTCGTTTACATCGTTTCTTACGCATCTGAAAGTACATGATTGAGAAAAGAAATTGTTAGAATTGAGTTGATGCCAGTTACAACTAATTAAATTAAGCAGCTTGAGTAGATTGGGATGGGATGGTGAAATTACCATCATTAATTGAGATAACTACAACATATCTTAATACACAATAAGTAACATCATGTTCACTGATAAAGCAAGTCATAAAGCTAAACAATTCAATAAAATTCGTCTAATAAATAAAAATTTATCCAACATTTTGATTGGCTGAAGCTGGTATGTTAACAAACCGTTAAGTTAACTTACAGCTAACTGAACTATGTAAAGCAGGGATTTATGACCGCCTTAATTGCTTAATTCATTAGATCTTCAAGATCACCTTATATACAACGCGGTATATGTCATTATCTTTGACTGAAATTTAACAAGTTTGTCTTTTTTTAATAAAGTTGATTTTTATAATTGGAAAAAATTATAATATCGGCCTCTTTAGCTCAGTGGTAGAGCACTGGTCTCGTAAACCAGGGGTCGTGAGTTCAAACCTCACAGGAGGCAGACATTAATTTTTGCACATTTGGAATACTTCAAAACATAGTACCCTAAACATCTTAAAATATCGTTTAGTTTCAATTTGAGGTTTTCATTTTTTAATTAAAACCTTAAACATGGTGTGAATGTTTTGACACATTTAATAATTCTCTTTTAATTTTGATTTTTTGCAATCATACTTTACGTTTTAAAAGCTCATTCAGGACAGCATCTTCGAAACAGCCCGGTTTACAGTATTCGGAAGAATGTGTAAAGATCACGGTCACAGAATTGCCAAATTACAAAAAGGTGTTCTAGAAAAGTTGTTCTTGTAGAGAAGTTGGTGATCATTGATGAGGATCAAACAGCTTCCATTTCGTGTACGTCATCACCTGAGGTAATATACGCCAAATATAATGAGTTGGTCAAATCGATTTCTATCTATAGTGATAAAATAATGGGCTTTGAAACTTTGAGTTTGTTACCGCAGAGAATGTAAGGCTTAGAACTATGGTCGGTGACCTAACTTCGCGGGTCTGGAGCATCTGGAATAATACTCCAGATTAAACTATTTCTGAAAAGAGAGGTGCAGATCTTTGTTCCACATTATCAAAGACATTTATGCAACACACCATCTTCCGTCACGTCCACCTGCTGAGAATGAGGACACAAAAACGTTGTAGTTAAATTCTATTACTGAAAGGTTTTTGAAAGGTATGGCAGTATATGGAATACTCACATGGGGTGCATCAAGAGAGTCCGAAGAGATTTTTAAAAGGCAAAAAAAGGCAATAATGATTTTGAAGCAGCTAATATACAACGAAAGCTGTAGAGGACACATTAAGACTATAAACATTTTAACAATACCATCATGTTTTATTCTCGCTTGCCTCCAGTATGTACAGAAACAAAAAAAAGAAACATTGGTGAGAAATAAAGACTCGCACAATAATTATGACACGCGTTTTGGAGATAATTTATTACCACCTTTTCACACAGTGCAGAAATAAAGCATGTTTATATACATTTCAATAAAGTTATATGTATAATGATTTACCATTGAGGTTAAGGAAACTGGAAGGAAAAATATTTCAAGTGAAATGAATGTTGATAGAAATGAACTTTATTCACTTGATTCTATCCAAAAATGCAAAATTACAGATAAAAATTAAACGTATTCTGAAATGTTTATAAAGAAAGAAGTGGTTTTAAAGAAAAATGTTTCAAATACAAGTTTCTTTATTAATCATGGAGCATTTTTTGGCGATATTTGCTTGTTTGTGTTGTTTTTTGTTTCGTTGCTATGGCAACCAACATTGTTATTTTAAATGGGATGCATATGTTTTTTTTTTGCACATTTTAATAGAGGATAAATCCCTGTACGCAATGAACATATCAAATCATATGGTTGTATAAGAAAAAAATCGAGAAAAAATGCGTTCTGTGAAAATATTAAATCAGCAAATTACAATCAAAGTAGCTGTCGAAATAACGCCGTTGATAGCTTTAAATGTCAAAAAATTGACAGTTTAAACAAATATGGCGCAATTAAGCGAACGACAAAGAATCCAAATATTAATAATGTATGGGTACGGTAATAGAAAACGCACTCAAAATGAAGTTTGTACACTGTTCAATAATATTTACTCGAATACACAAATTACACAATCCACAGCATCCAAAATATTAAAAAAATTCTTTAACACCGGAAGTGTTAAAAACCTTCCAAAAAGTTAATGGCCAAAGACAGCTACCAATGACCATACATTATTAATTATTCATAATTGTTGAAACTGTAATTTTTTTGACATTTAAAGCTATCAATGGCGCTATTTCGGTGCCTACTTTAATTGTAATTAGCTGATTTAATACTTTCAAAAAACACATTTTTCTCGATTTTTTCTTATACAACCATATAATTTGATATGTACATCGCATAGAGGGACTTATCCTCTATCAAAGTATGCAAAAAAATATATGCTTCCCATTTAAATAACAATGTTGGTTGCCATAGCAACGAAACAAAAAAACAAAGCAAACAAGCAAATATCGCCAAAAAATGTGCCATGATTAATAAAGAAACTTGTATTTGAAACATTTTTCTTTAAAACCACAAATGGCGAAGTTATTGGCTATATTCCAGACATTTGACACACCCTGTATATATTTTTTTCTTCCCTGACGTATTAAATATACCATGTTTTTGTGTATTTTAGAAATAAAGATTGTTATATTGTTGAAGTCAACTGAAGCAACTTGTAATAAGGGTTACAAATACGTGTGGTTGAACAATTACATCATTCAAGTACGTCGTGATGATCAATCGAGAGCTGTGGTAATCAAATCAGAAGCTGATTTGTTAAAACTTTAACTTTTGGATCGTTGACATGGTCCTGCTGTTCTAATTTGATGTCCTGCAGAGTCATTTTGTCAATGTTGTATCAGTAACCTTGTCACGGGTAATTCAAAAATACACTTCATACTCGTTTTTACGGAGCTTTACATCTTATTTTGTTTCTTAGAATCTCCAACAATTCTAAACGATTAAAACTAAAATTTCTTAAGATACCCAAGAATCTATTTTGCCACACTTGAGTCAATAGTTTTGAAAAAGGCAATTATATTTTTCATGTTCTTTAAGACTACAGCTGCTAGTTTTCATTGAAAACAGCACCAGTCCTGTTATAGTTATCTTGATTTGAAAACTGTATATGTTTTGAAATTGCATTAGTCTACTGATGACTGGAAAAAGGACTTGAACATATAAACCACAGTGGTAAAACTGTGAAGGCAAGAAATATTACCTAATTGCAAGTAAGTTGATAAGCTCATTAATCATTAATCTAGTTAAACTTGTGGTGATGTGTCTAATACATTTGAATTGGTGTAACAATGAACCATGTTTTCATTGTTGAATTTAGTGAAAAGTTTGATCTGTTTGTCAAACTTAATGCTGGTGATTTCTTTCCATATGCAAGGAAGTGTTTTAGCAAGTTCAATAACACAGACAAAATATCAAATTTTAAAAACATTTCATGGTTTTGAAATAAGAACAGAACAAGACCATTTTGTTTAAAGACTGCCGAATAAAAAGATGTTCATCATAGCAGACCACGAACTGACAACCGAAAATTACGAATCCATAATGTTATCTACAGTGTTTAGTGTGAGTAAAAGTGAAAGGGGGTGTACAACAAAATGTGTCTGTAACGACCAAATGTCAAATCTGTCGTTTATTATTTCATCACTGATGTAAAATCACCAAGGCACACGATTTAACAGTACGTGCAAATGATAAAACTTTATTATTAAAATGAGCGTACGTTAAAGTATGTTTATGAAAGTGTACAGGAGAACCCGAGGCAGTCAATTTTACGTCAGGACTTGGGCCTGCAATCATATAAGATTCAAGTAACTCAGAATCTGAGTTAATGACCTTAGACAACGCCTTTTGTTGGCTAAGTGGGCTTTGGAGCGTTTGGAAAAGGACCCCAATTGGCTGAAAAAACATCTTTCAAGTTAACAAGCAAAATTTCCGTGTATGGGATAACGCTAAGATTTCACTTTTCAAGAAGTTATCGAATTGGCTATTAAAATCGTCATTGACTCAATTATGAGATGCGTGGTCTCAAGTTGGTCTGGCATTGTCAAACTGTGTTGGCCTCATATCGTTCTATATTTGAGGCCTTTAGTCAATTTCTGCAATGAGACTGGTTACTACAACTTCTTTCCTAGGGATCGGAATAGGTACTGTAAAAATTACTAAATGCATTTGTGGAAAGAAGTTATCTGGTTCTAACAACACAGGCATGCTTATAATTTAGCTGACATTTTGCCAAGTAACATACACTGTTTTTTAGATTGATAAGTATTTTGCAACTTCTTTCCAAGGTAGCAGAATAGGTACTATGAGAACTAAATGCATTTGTGGAAAGAAATAATCTGGTTCCAACGACACAGGCAGGCTCATAATATAGATGACATTACGGCCTGTATACTATGATATATTCGAGAAGTAAATCTGAGAATATCAATAATAATATGTTTTATAAACCCAAGTATGCAGATGTATAAGAAAGTTAATTATATGTATACATATTCCTCTATATCTAAATTACTTCTGAAGTTACTTTTTATATGCACTAATTGTTTTGCAATATATCATTTCCAATGTCATAGAAAAGGCTATAACGATTTAGCATCGATAAATTCATCATCGATTTGCTCGATGTGACGGACTTCTTTGGTTCTTCTGGATTCTTTTGAATTTTCCAGTTATTAAGATCTGCATATCTTATATGCTACAATCTATACATATTTCACAACTTTATATTTTCAAGTAATTCACGTCGTCATCAACTAAATTGTTAACAATTAGTTCGTGGAATACTTAGAAGATACTTAGAATTCAAAATTGCTACAAAAAAAAATAACAGAATAAAGTATTATAACAGTGGTTGGTTAACATGATGGGATTATCAATTAAAAAAAGAGAATGCTATTTCAACAACATATTTAATCATATTAAACCTTGATTAACGTTCATAAAACCACACTTAAGTATTTTTTATATTTTTTTTTATGGTAATAAGAAGGATTTATTATTATAATTGTTGAGGTCATATAAGCGTAGGTAACAATGTTCATCTTTTCACATTTTATCTGCGTGGGAAGACACCGGTAACTTAACCAAAAGTAATTTTACCTGAACAATATTCTCGAAAATGTGGGATTTAATGGGATTTAGTGGTATTGTAGTCTTTTTAAAAACCTACCATGTCTTATAAAGCATTAAACCCCATAAAGAATTTACTAAACTACAACAAAAACGTTACTGAACTACCTGATTTACGCAATATTTCTTTCTCATCTATTTATATCTATTTTATCTTCATCTTAACAAAAAAAAATCTTTTGTATTTCTACCCTATATTCCATTCTTTTATATTTCTTTTTGAAATCGCTAAAAGATCTGTTAGCAATAATAGGGCGTTGACTCTCATATAATACATTCTTGGTGCAAACTTGAACTACAGAAAAGTTGAGTCAAAGAGGAAGAACACGTTCTCGGTATTCTCTAATTCTTCTCTAATTATGGTTTTAATTACTTAATTGGAGCGTTTCCTGGATGGAGTAATAAGTGTGCATTTTAATTTCCCCACATCTATATTCGTACATAATAACTAATTAAAATTATTAACATCATATCATAATTAAAAATTTTAATTTTACAATTTAATCACTTCCAAGACCGCGTAATTTTAGTAAGATTCCGGTGCAAAACTCGTTTTCAACTTTAAAAGCGACCATCGCGTGTGTACTTCTTCAACGATACTTTTTAGAAGATAATTGTTATATAAAAAAAATAAACTTACTTTTAATTTAAAAAAAGATATGTATAACTTTTAAAATTTGAAGATTTCTTGAAAAAGAAATTTGGTATCCATTGAATGTGAAAGAACATGAATAAGGGTGGGCACTAAAATACACAGCTTGTTTTAAAGTTATCACAATACTTGTTTGAATCACAATGTAATTTTATTTTTAAATTCACGATTTTTTGAACTTTTAACTTTTGTGGGATTATAAATATAGTTGAAATGAAAGTTTTGCAAACCACAAAGTATCTTAAGGCGTAAGATGCTGTACAAGAACCGAACGGAACTCAAGGTTCGTTTGGTATTGGAATGTTGGACGCCCCACCACAAAGCTTGATGTGTCGGTTTAAGACCATACTATACCATTTTGCTTCCTTCGGTTGGCTTCAGTTAAACGTCCAGTTCTTGTATTTTAACAGTATCCACTTAAAATCAATAGAAATAAAAAGTTTTTATAAAAATAATGTTACAAAATTATTTATAAATATTAATAAAAGGTTTAAATTAAATTTTCACGAGTATATTAATATTTATTAAAAAATTAAAATGGTCTCTTAAGTACGGTTCTGGTTATTAAGTTTAAGTTCTCCCACTCCTTGTATTATAGCAGGTTAACATTTTTTTTGAGTTCTGCTTATTACAGGGCCATGTCGGTCCGGGTCACATAATAAATTATCGATGCGAGAAGAACCAATTACAGCTTGTCAAAAAATCTTTCAAAAACTTTGCAAATTTATTATATAAATACTTTAGCGGATTTAACAGTAAATAATAAAAAAATATTGTGGAATTTGTTCACTTTCACCAATATTTTTACTTTTTCTTTATTTTGTGTCATCATTAAAATAAAAGGGAAAAAACCTTGGAGAGTTTCTTTCTTCATATACCGTTGAAATCTTTTATTGGTTGGGTTGCCTATATTTCTTAACATAATATAATTCTAACTTTATTTTCTTTTTATATTTGAATTATACTTATTAAACTCACTTTTGTTATTTTAATTAATCGTTAGGACGTATTATTAAAATCTTGTGTTAATTAGGTTGCATATATTAATTTTTAATAAGCTGCATTATTAGTTACTTAACCATAATTAGCCTTGTATTATGTGATTTTTATGCTATTTAAGAATTGGATCTTGTTTTATATAGGCGTTTACTTAACACAATTAGAGCAAGTCTTAGGTGATATAAACGAGATTTCTGAGGATTAATATCGAACGAAAGGTAAGCATGTTGGGTTGCAGCAATAGTTTCTCGCAGCTTATGATATACTCGACTCGTCGAAGCTTTTAAAGCTAGTAAAGTTAATGTAAACTACATGTCAAAAAAATTACGTCTGTTTGAGTCCTGTTTATGCACTGTCTAATTCTACGAGTTATGCTCTGATCAATGGTATCTTGTGGAATCTCATCCCAGGCTTGCTGTAGATGACAGCGAAGTTTCTGCAAGGTGATAGCTGCTGGTGGTAAACGCCTTATATATCATATCCCACACATGCTCGATCAGGTTTAAATCTGGAGAGCGAGCAGGCCAAGAGAGAATTTTTGTTCTTTCTTCGTGTAGGAAGTTCTGACAGATGTGTCATTCTGTCTTTAAGACTCATTTGTCTAAGGCCACGATGTTCACGTTCGTTAGTCGCTCGAGGACGTCTGCTGTCAGGACGCCGATATTGGTTATGTTGTTCAGACCACGCAGTTTATACTCGAAGCACTGTTGAAGGGTTTCGATTCAATCTTCAACCAATTTCGCGAAACGGAATACCTCGTGCTGGCCAACAATCCGCGGTCTTCTACCTATTCTGGGCATGGTTAACAAGCGAAGAAACAACTTTCACTCACCAAATAATATTTACTTTGTGATGCAGTTTTTAACTGTCCTGTTACAGATTGTCTGTTTTACAGCAAAAAAACATATAAAAACTTACAATTCTTTGTCTATCGATATGATGATTTTATCCATTTTATGCATCCAGTTGTTTTGTCACAGAATAACCAGAAATGACACTGACGTCGGTCGATTCGTTTGATGTTGGCGGCATCTGGTTTTATTACTTTGGTTTAAAATCCACCATCTTATCGCGAGGAACCATAGGTGCAACTTAAACAGAGCAAACTTAATTTACCTCCAATAGTAGTAATACCAAGGGCGTCGCCAGAGAGGAGTACAGTCGCCAGAATATACATCTCGAGTACTGAACAACTATCGATTGGGATGCGATATTTTGATCTAAGGAATATCAAGAAGTATTTTTCGGATTCGTTAAGCTTGATGCTTTGGATGCGAAATGTATTGCAAAAGCAATACATGAGTTTTTGGCAGAAGAAGATCTTGATCCAGACTAATGTGTTGGTTTAGAATTTGACGGCTGTGCGACGATGTCCGGGAAAGAAGGTGGTGTGCAAGCAATCTTACACAGAATATATAAAAAAAACTTTGTTCTTTCACTGCTCAAATTAACACAAATTAAATCTAGTCATTATTGATCTAAATAGTCTGTCTGAAATCCCGAACACCGAAGGTACCACCAAAGATATTATTACATTTCTTCAAGAATCAGTTTTGAGACGCAACTTGATACCAAATATTTCCAGGCTTTTCCTATTATAATGGTGGCCTTAGAAACCTTGTCACGGGAAGAAAATAAGACTAAATAATGCGACTAGAAAAATGCGTATCAGCTCCTTGCAGCAGCTTCTAGAGTTCCGTTTATTCTCAGCTTTATTTTGATAGCCAAATACTCGGCTATGATGGAACCTGTGGTAAACGTGCTCCAATCCGTAGCTTTAGATTCAGTTAAAGTAAACCACCGTAACGGTCCAGAAAACGTCACAGATGAAATTATTAGGGACGCTACTATTGTTGGGAGACAACAACATCGGAACAACCATCCCACAGCAAGTCCCTCAGCATTCCCAGCCCCTCCAATCGAGTCTCAGAAGACTCGATTATTATTTCTCTTGAAGTTCGCTTTTCTGATCATCGTCTTTTTCCTTTTCTAAATTACAGCCGGCTCAAATGTCAGACATGCCCTTTGAAGATCTCGTACAAGCTGGTGAAGTCTTTTCCCAATTTTAAAATTTATCAAATATGCACAACGAAATCGAACTATGGCAAAAACTATGGAAAGATAAACCTGACTCATAAGAACTAAGTGTTGTGGATGTCATAAAAGATGCCGACATTTTTTTCCCTGAAACGAGAAAAGCCTTTATAATTTTGGTCAATTTACCCTGCACGACATATACTGTTGAACGATCTTTTCGCAGCTTGAGAAGAATAAAAACCTGGCTTAGAAGCACTATATCAGAATGTCGTCTCAATGGTCTTCCCATGATGAGTGTGTTTAGGAACCATATTTTTCAGAACTTTGAGGGTTTTATTAATAATATGGTTGACCAATTCGCTAAGAAGCCACGAAAATTGTGTTTTAAAGAATTTGGTCTGTTTTTTTTTCATTTTTTTAAGAACCCAATTCATCCTTCTGTTGATTGATTAGCAACACTCGATTTTATCTGCTACTCTTAGCTACTGTAAGTCAATTGTAATGGAGTACCCAACTGTTTGAAGAAGTTTTTCGAAACCTTTTCTTTAAAAGTTAAAAAAAAAGTTGTTACCAACATTTTCACTTCATATTAAGGTTACCAATTCAAACAGTAAAATGTTAAGTAGCTTCAGCACAGAGGCTTTACGTAATTTCAACAGAAATTGTGTTCAGATTTAATCAGTTTGTGAAGAAAGTTTGATCTAATGAACAATATGTAAGTATGGCAAACTACCCAAACGAAGCTTACTCTCGATTATGAAATAACATAGTTTTTCAAAATAACATTTTTCTGCGAAAATACTTAGACTACTGTACATATAATAATAATTATCATTATCTCTGATTGCCTAAAACTGAGATATTGTCTTGCTTTCGAATCTGTGGTGTTTCCCTAAATCCATTTCGCGTTATCATTATAATCTCTGCCGCGGCAGTAAGGCAGATCGGTTTCTCCTCTAGAATCTTCTTTCAGTTGACATCTTGTGGTAAATTAATTGTCAGCAACATGATAATACTATAACACACACTATAACTTATATAGCTATCTTCGACCTGCTATTATCCCTCACAACACGGTTTTTTGCGTGGGCGATCAGTTGAGACGAATCTGGTTGCGTTTGTTCAATACATTCAGGATTCTATGAATGATAACTCTCAGGTGGATGCTATCTACACCGATCTGACAAAAGCTTTTGACAAGCTTCACCATAACATTCTTATGGATAAGCTGAACAAGTTTAACCTATCTAACGGGCTGTCTCTATGGATTTCGTCCTATATATCTAAGAGATTTCAAGCAGTGAAAGTAAATAATTTCATATCTAGTTTTACTGATGTTACATCTGGTGTACCTCAAGGTAGCCATCTTGGACCTATTTTATTTCTAGCCTATATAAATGATGTTTCTGAGTGCTTTCATTATTCGAATTTTTCTCTTTTCGCTGATGACTGTAAAATTTTTGCTAGCATCAGGTCTGCTTCTGACTGTATTCGGTTGCAAGATGACATTGACAGACTTGATTCTTATTGCTCACAAAATTACTTATTTCTAAATCCTGATAAGTGTTGTCAGATCACGTTCAGTAGAAAGAGATATAATGTTAACTTCAAATATATGATAGGTCCGCATTATCTTACTCAATCCTCTTCAGTTAAAGATCTTGGCGTTGTTCTGGATTCTAGACTACTCTATCGCGATCATATTACTTCTATCGTTTCTGAAGCTACTAAGCGCCTAGGATTTATCATTAGGATTTCTCGTCCATTTACAAACGTCCGCTGCATTACTTCTTTATATATGGCATACGTTGCTAGCGGTTTAAATTTCGCTTCAGTAGTATGGAGTCCTGCCTATAATATTTACATCGACCTTATTGAGGGTCTACAGAGAACATTTACCCGTTATCTTGCTCACAAATTTTATCTTCCGTACTGCCCTTATTCCCAAAGATGCCAGGTGTTTGGTCTAAGATCTCTCTGTGGCCGTCGACACAGTACGGACCTATTGTTCCTGTTCAAACTAGTTAATGGAGTTCTCGACGCTCCGGTTCTTTTAGAGCAGATTCACTTTAATGTTCCTTCTTATGCTACTCGATCACCATTTTTGTTCAGACTACCTGCTTCTGGATCTAGTGCGCATGCCGGTTCACCTCTGTTGAGACTGATGCACACTTGCAATGTTTATTGTTTCAATGTTGATTTCTTTTGTAATTCAATGATGTCGTTTAAAAAATCCGTTTTAACTTTAAGTATTTGTCATTAGTTTTTTCTTTGTAAAATTAATTTACTCGATCGAAACACATTCGTTTACCATATTTATATTGATTTCTTGCGGGTGGTGGGGCGGAAAAGAAAGCAACAGAGCAACAAAGCAACAAAGAAAGCAACATAAATTTGTCCTTTCTTATGGTCCTTATTTCTTATATGCGCTGGTATCACGAAATGTTCCTCTGCATTGTGCAGGTTAGTTTCCATTAATCGCTTGTCTCTATGTCCGTGCAGGCTTCACACCCATACAGTAGCACCGAGTGAATCACTTCCATCAGCAGTTTGCAACTGGAGTCAATCCCTTCTGGAACACCATCTTTATAGAACTTACAAAGATGACTTTGCTACCCATCACTACACCTAGATATTTTACCCTTCTTGTGGTGATCTCAGTTTCAGCTTTTTAGTTTCAGTTATTTGTTCGTTGCTAACGTCAAGCTGTGTTCAACAATCCATGTTAACATAGTCCTCACGATTCCATTTATTTTAATGCACAGCCCATTGAAATCACTCGATGGCAGTTGTAAATGATGTTTGCGTAAAGCTTCCCAGCAACATCCAACATATATAAGTGGCAATAAGTCGACAGAGTTAGTGGAGTTGTCTTTTCCAGTTTTTGTGAAATATCGCTTAGATAAACATTGTACACACCAAGGAAGAGGTTGGGTATAATTTTTAATATCAGTTTCAAGGCCTCAACGTGGGCTACTCTGTTGCGCCAAGTAAACTTAAGGTTCTTCATTGAATTTGCAGCAGCAAGGAGCTCTTCTTAAGAGAAAGAGTTTCCTTTATCACGTCCTATCAGATCTAGTTCTACAGAGGTAGAGGTTTTTCATTACTATTTTATAACCCAATTCCCTACGACCGGTTTGCCATTTTTTTTTTCAGAATTTCAACTATCTCTGGTCTCCGATGTATCTCCACTAACACATCGAAATCCTGTTGCTTCTCGGTGTTTTTTTTTTGTCACACACTAGTGTACCAAATTTTAGCCCCAATTTCCATCATGTTGCTTTGCCAATGGACCAGCCTTGTCATTTCCAATAACGATAGCGGAAGTTTCTTCGTTTAGTATAGCGGCGTTTCACCAAGTATCGGGATCAGCTCTAGGTGTTCAGTAATTGTGTAGTTGATATAATAGTGGTCGCTTCCGGCATATGTCTTCAGTATCATCCAGCTTTGAACTCGTCTCATCATGTTTTCTGATACCAATGCTAGTCGGGAATGCTTTCTGTGTAACATAGCCTCCAGAAAATTGCTGATTTTTCTATATTGATGAGAATTAGCTCTGTTCTAGCGAGTCAGTCCAATCCATCCGTCACTCGTTAGCGTTAAGTAGATCACAGCTTCATGAAAAACTAAAGCATTACATGGAGTCAAGATATGAAAACAACTTAAAATAACTATACAAACAAATATATAAAACCTGAAAATTTTCCAATATTATTTGTCAAAAGTACTTTTGATTACTGAAATCGTTTCAAACCCAATTTTTCTCAAATTATTTCATCGCTTAATGTATCATTGATGTCTTTTGTTAATTGTGTTGCCTACAGTTTAATAATTGGAAAACAAGCATATATAAAAACGCTCTATTATTTGGTATTTCTAATTATTTTCGGTACACACTTTTATTTATATATTTCAACAATATCTTTTAATAAAAAAAAGTAAAAAACTACAAATTTACTTCCTCTCGTTTTATTTATTTAGTTAACATTCACGAAAGACGAAAAGACCAAAAGAGCAGCTGCAACCGTTGGGCACGTGCTACCGGTATAACGTTTCGATAAGGGAGAAACATGCGTTGTCCACGTGTGCGTGAAACACAAAGAATACCTTTCTAACCGAAAATCAAAATGTCATGCAACCGTAAAATTTTTGTTTAATCCGAAAACCGTTTTTATAAATCATTGAAAGCTTATTGCTAATGATATTAAGAGTTAATATATCAAGTTAAAACTAAAATATCATATTTAAGTATGAAAGGTGGAAATTTCAAGATAATTTATCCCCTTTGGGAAAGCTTTTTATGCTTTTTAATGTTGATTATTTTCTCCCCTGACAGAGTAACTACCATTAGCACCAACAATGTTTGGTGCATGCTTTGTGTATTGTATTGTTCGTCCACTTAAAATGCAAAAGGGGAATGATTCCTGATTACCAATGCATCAAAGAATCCAAAGGCGTTCTTTTTTAAACCCAAAAGTATCTACATTAACCATTTTTCTTTACTTCTAAGAACTTTCTAATCTTTTTCTTCAATTCTTGTGTATTATTTTTTTCCTGCAGAAGTATTTTTAAACAAAATTATCATTTATATCAAAAAATCTCCCTCCACAAAGTCACACACACACGATACGTCTATGTAATCTACCCCATGTGGAGTGTGGAACGACTAAACACATGCAGCTGCCGTTTCAACCGTTACGAAACCGTAGAGTACAGTCAGTTTAACAACGTCTCTTCGACGGTAAACTTAGAATAAAAACTCTATACGAATTAAAATCCAGAAAAATTAGAATAATCTTTTAAAGAAAATGTCTCAAAACCAAAGAAATTATTATTCCAACCCGGCGTTTTGTCAACAAAGTGAATATTTTCAACAACAACGATGTAAAAGTCCACAAAGAACAATTCGACAATCACCAGTTGGTGCCCAAACGAAAATGAGAGTCCTCGATACTTCCGTTAATACAATACAAGATGATTTTATCGACGGTTATGAAGAACAAGAATTTTACGAAGAAATGTTGGTTGATGGTAACGGATTAGTAACAGAAAAAAAAGTGGTTGTTGTGTCTTCACCACAAGAAAAGTACCATCAAAAACATAGGTATGAGTACATCGACGACGGATTAGATGAAAAAAAGAAAAGGTATGAATACATTCCAATGAGAAGACAAGAAAAGCTTAAACGCGAAGATATTGGAAGATATGCTTTAGTCCCAGTTGATGAAATACAAAATAAAAATCGTTATACAGTGATAACTGAAGAGGATATTAAAAAAAGTGATCGATACGAGTATATTGAAGAAAGACCACCGCCTTATCAACAACAAAGTAGTGTTAATCTGCGAGTTTTGTCACCACATACACAACGAAGAGGTAATCCAGTTGCAACTCAAAAGCTACATGAATTATTATCAACGCCTAGGAAAACAATTAATTCTCAGCAAATACTTAATATAAATCCACAAACCCCTCATAAAGCAATAACCTCACAGAATTTAAATCGAAAAAATATTTCTCCAAATCGAGAAAATGTATTTATCACGCCTCCAAAACCAGAAAAAATTAATAGAAATGCACCAAGAGCTCAACAAAAATTAAATTATTCCATTGGAAATAAATTAAATCAACAGCCTTTGGATAAAAGACATAATACAGCAATTGTAGCTCCTATGTGTTCCAGCCCAATTCAATCAGTTTACAGTGAAACAACATTTTCACAAAAATCGGAATCTTGGATGAATTTGAGTCATAAAGCACCTGTTAGAAACACTTTGGCGGTTGCTGCTTTTATGATGCTTTTATGTGGTGGTGTTAATTTTGGATTATGTCTTTACATGATTTCAATTATGGGACGATTATATTATTTAGATTTTGGAATTGTGGCGGGATTTGCTTGTTTTATACTTGGATTGATGGGATTTCGAACAAGAAATTGTTATTGGTTACCAAACAGAAATTATATTTCAGGTAATATTTTTGTTATACCTTACTATTTATTTAATGAATTAATTATTTTTGATATTCTAGGGTACATTGTCCTAAGTTTATTCAGTTTATTAACATGCAGTGGTTTACTCATACTTTTATTCATGCAACCGAAACAAGGGACGCCCCTCGCAGACATGACTTCCGGTGCGGTTTGTTGCGTTTCCGTTTTAACACTTTTGCTGGCGACTGTAGGTCTCATTTCAAGTTATTGCTGTCGAGTGCCGCCACCGGATAACAGAGTCCAGCACTGCGTCCAAGGATTTACTGTTTAAAATGTTAGATAACTTCTTAAATTTTGATTAAAAGTCCAATTTTTCTCTTATTAACCGATCCAAAGTTATTTTATAATAGTCATAATTTATTTCGATTGTAAATATGAAAAAATAAAATAAATATTTGTAAATAATAGACTGAAAAAATAAGTATTTTGTAGATCTGTAAGAAATTAATTTATAAGTTTTTTTTATTAATAAAGGATTATATTTAAAAAATCGTGGATGTTTTATTTGCAAATATTAAAAAAAATATTCTAAATTAAACTTTATATACAGGCTGTTTATTAAACATGTGGCAAAAATGCAATTCCTTTAATAATTTTTGAAAAACCGGTTTGCATCGAAGATACAGGATGAACAAAAATTTCAACCACATTTTATTACTAAAAATTACAAATATAAGCTTCCTAATCTACAATAACTGTTGATAATGACCACTTCCAGCTAAGATGCAAGAATCCAATCTTCATTGTCTGCCGAACCATTTCTAAAACATCAGGATCGTTTTATTGAATTACAGCCAGCAGATATATGATTTCGCAAGTCTTTCACATTTTCTACTGGAGTAGTCTAAACTGAAGATTTAAGATGCCCCCATATAAAACAATCCAGGTAGTTTAAGTCCGGGGATCGGGCAGGCCACAAGTGAGGTCCACCTCAACCAATCCAGCGATCTCTATATGTTACTGTCAAAAACTCACGAGCAACTCTACTAAAATGCGCTGGTACACCATCGTGCACAAACCACATTGAATTTTGTTGTTACCAGTTGTACATCCTCTAGAAACTGATGTAACGTTTCTTCCAAAAATTTGTAATACACTTCACCGGTAAGTTTTCTTGGTAGAAATACTGGTCCAACTAGCATTGGCATTGGCTTTGCATGCCTTTTGAAAATTTAATTACATCTGGTTTATAACTTGTTGTTTTAAGTTTCAAGCACGACTCTACATTTTTATTTGTTAGCTGACTTCTAACTTTACTTTTTATTATATTCATGCAAGAGAATGTTTACTCGTACGAATATGTCGCCCCGAAGATCTTCAGCACTCCATATGCCAAGTTCTTCATCTCACTGTAGCATTCTGGAAGACTATTCCAAGTTCCATGCGCCGAATATGAGGGCCTCAACTCGCAAAATTTCTTTTATAGCTGTTCACTTGTGCCGCGCGATGTCCATGGTTTTCTGGACTTCCAACTTGCTTTTAAGTTCTGTGAACTTTCCACTACACAAGTCTTTGGTTTTCAAATCTAACAATTGCATTTGAAGCGTCAATTCCAAACGTCTCAATTTTGATCTCAATTTGCCCAAGAGCCATTGACAGAATGCTAAAAAAGAAAATCAGCAGGTAGAAGTGCTTGAATGGTATAGGTACAACAAATAAATTTTAAGAATTTTCTAAAAAGTCCATTACTTATATTCAAAGTATTTGCAATTATTCGAGTAGAAATACCTGGTTCTTCCTCTATTATGTTCAACACATTCTCTTCCAGTTCTACCGTTCTGACTGTCATTGGCCTATTTCTCCACGTCGTTTCAATGAGCTTGTTTCATGAAGACGTTGATGAACACTTCAGGAATATTACAGTGGGGAAATCGGTCAATGTATATCGACCTAGCTTTCAATGAGTTACCATCAACAAGCCCATAAATAAAATGCATGTTAGTCATTTTGGAGTTTGTATAGCGATTCATGACAGAGGACTTTATTAACTATTGTTGATAACTATTGTAATAATAAAAAAAATATCGATTGAGAGATGTATTCAATTAAAATAACTAAATGTTAATAATAAATAAACTGTATTAAATAAACTTGTCAATAGACTTAGTAATCGGAATATTGTTAAAAGATACTTTTATTTCGGCTACATTAGTAACTTTAAAAATTTTAAAAATGGTTCTGCTGAAAATTTTGTTTTGCCCTATATTTTTTCAACAAAGCAGATTTTCAAAAATCGTTGAAGGGCCAAGTATTCTTAGTATAGCCCAAAGACAAAGAACCCTTGAATTTTTGCCGCATTATTAAGACATTATTAAAAAAGAGGTTTCATATACATAGGTATTTTAACAAGAAGAATGTACTAACTTCAAAATATTGAAAACTTTTTACCTTAGATCATTGATTTAAAAACCAAATAGAATTTGAAAGATCAATTTTTAAGATCGCTGGAAATTATGTCTAAAAACTTTCAAGAAAACAATTTAAATCATTAAAAAAGGAAATTAGAAAATTCAGCAACATGTTTCCATGGGGAGGTTGTATAATAAGCTTGTTTCCTACAACCCTGTCAAACCTGTGTTACACAACAAATAACTGTTGATAGCTGCCTCCACAAGCGTTGGATAAGACTCCATAATAAGGTATTATTTTCCCTATTTAATGCTAAAAGTAACTGCACGTTTACTGGTAACCTCTCTCTTGAAAAATTCTAGTCCACGTAGTTTTAATATAGTAACCAACTTCAAGAATATGTAATATTACCGCAGTATTGGTAGTCCACATGACATCTGTAACACAAGTTTCTGTATACTATTTAATGTAACAGTGGCGATATCCTGAAAAGTGTCGAGAGTATTGACGCAAATGATTTTCTCCTCGTAGAACTAGATGGTTGTCTAGAATTTGAAAAAAATACCTAGGAGAAGATGTAGCTCTTCGGTTGTGCCTAGATGTAGAGAATTTTTCACAGCAATATAAAAAGCGTAGCAGATAGTGAAGAAGTTGGTCTCTATAAAACGTTTAATCAATATATTTAATCAATATACTGTAAGGTTCCATAAAAATGAAGTACACCTCTTTGACAGTATCCCCTGGTATTAGCCCTTTTAAAAGTAATATTGCCAGCCATTAAATTAACGATTTTCTATTTAGGCATTCTTTTGTATTCTTATCAAATCGCCTTCAATATTTATGAAAATTTCCAAACCGAACTGTTTAGAGCTCTCGGCTTCCTGACAAAGCTGATTCAGAGAGTGAACAGCTGTGGGTGTAAACCTGGAAAGACCCTCTATGTGATGTAATAATCCTTCCAATCTCCATTATAATGGTGCTTGGGCGCACACAGTTAACTTGTGGATTTGATAATTCAACATATCTTACTTGTAATCTAAACTGTAATATTTCGTTATTTATTCTGAGCAATATTCCCTGTGATTCCCCAATGTTAGAGCTAATGATCTGGGCAATCAAAGCGCTTCTAACTAATAATAATATAATGGTGCTAATCCTCGAAGCCAATTTAACGAACCCTCTAATTTATACTCTTCACAGATTTACTTTTGACGCTGCAGTTGATATATGGTTGGTATTTCGATGAGTGATGATAAAACATTCCAAACCTAAAAGGTAAACAAATCATTAGCTATCTATGTAGCAACCTTCTTTAGTAAGTAAATGTATCATTGCGGATCTAAAGAAGCGTAAAGCTTTGTCAGATAAGAAAGCTCACTACCAGAGATGACGATTCTTCACAAAATCTCCCACTAATTCTTATTTTAAACTCAAATACTTTGTTATTATAGCAATGCCAATCTAGGACTAATTTATGAGATTTTTTTAGTCTGTCACAGATTGCTTATTAGAGATGTATTACCTTAAAGGAGATAGTCATTGAATATTCTTCAACATCACATCTTCTTGGACCGAGCTAACTTTGTATCGCAGAATCACCTAGATAACACTGAAAGCTAACCCAAGAAGTGATTTGCCTATGATGACAAAAAAAATTAAATCAGAAACCTTAATCAAAATTACTTTGAAAATGAAGTCTAAAAATGATTTGGCCGTTATTCTCAAAAATCTCATAAATTTGAGTACGTATTAAAATTACAGCAATTACAACAAGTGCAAATAAGTTCCTTAAAGTACTCCAGTGTACAAGCTCAAGTCCGTGTATTTAGTATTTAAAAATCTAAGGTTTTTGGATTAGTGCTATAGCTTTTGAATTGTGTATAACTTAATTAATAATAATTAACGTAAGGTTGATTCTGAACCTTGAATAATTAAATCAGGATTACTGCTGAAGATGAAATCAAAATTGATTTTGCCGTTCTGTTATCCTCAAAAATCCCATAAATTTGCTCCTTAAATCACTCCAGTGTACAAGCTCAAGTCCGTGTACTTAGTTTTTAAAAATCTAAGGTTTTTTCGTTAGTACTGTAGCTTTTGTCGTTATGCTCTGCTTTGATGTAAGTTGCACTGAATCCAAACTCAACTCCTACCCAACTCTTAAGAGAAGCGATGTTGCTACTTTGTTGGGTTTTTTTCTTAAAGAATGGCGGAATTTAAATCGTAGTAAAAAGGTGCGATCAACATCAAAGGAACTGACATCAGTGTCCTTTCTGGTTATTCTATGTCTAGGTGGACGAGAATAATTTCGTGAAACCACCTAAGTGTCCGTTCTTTCGGTTTTTCCTGCACAGCTACCATGTATCTCTCAGTCTGTTCATACTTACAGCATTGAAGGGCATGCGGATTTTTTCTTCATTCTTGTTTAGCCATTCATTGTGTCTTTTTGCAGTGTCGAAACGATACATATTTATATAATTGGCGTTATTCTGTAGCAATAATCTCCATTGAAGGTATTTCTTAAAATCTGGTCTAGAAATATCAGTGAGACGAAGGTCGAATCATTTTCTAAATATATAACTAATCACGAAAGAAACACAGGAACATAATTAAGATGTAAACCGATTATTTTCTAATTGACCGGAACTAAAGTCGGTATTAAGATGTTTAGATTAAGTTACTTTTCTGATGTGCTAATAAGGTTGAAAATGTTAAATAATTAACTCAACCTTATTTTTGCGATTTATATGTCAAATTAAAACTAATAGATGGAAATAAAGAAATTTTGACGAAAAAAATTTGAAAGTTACATAAGCAAAGAATGATTTGCATATAAAACATTTTCTGACGTCATTTTCAAGACATACGTTTTTGGCATTGTAAGCAAAGATAAGAAATTAAAATGGCTCATGTGTTATCGAACTAAAATGGAAACTACATATTTGGACAGCTTTTCTTATGACTCTTAAGTTTTTCGTAGAAAGAAATAAAAGATAATTGTAAACTTTTGAAGACGGTTGATGTCGGTTATCAAGTTAAAAGATGTTGTTTTCTTTAGGAAGTACGGTTCGTTGGTCGTTGACCATTCAAACGGGCATAGGAATGTTCCACTTGAGAGAAACGATCCAGTGAACGTCTGCTGCGAGCAGGTTTTCTGTTAAAAAAACTCATTTCCTCCGGTAACTAAGAACTACACATAAAAAAGTTCTTTACTGTCAAATGTAATAAGTTATGTAATTTTCACTTTTAATTTTAATTAAAATTATATAACAGGAAAGATATATTTTTAGGCGTTTTAGGATTTCTTTAAATCATAGTATAAATATATTAACAACTTTTAAGAATTTTTTTAGTTAATACTCAAATTTATTTAGGTTTAATTTGGGGTATAAAACCTTTTTTAATTCTTAAAAATAAAATTGTAACAATCTTTTATTATATTTATGATTATTACTCCCCACTATCCTTTTTAAAACCGACCTTTGAGTATTATTGCAATAGGTAGGAGCAATGCGGTAGTTTACACGTTTTGCTTCTCTCGAACCATTCAAAGCTCTTTCGCTCTTTAACTTTTAAAACAACATAATCGTAACAGAAAAATTATTAAAGTGTATTTATTTTTGTGATCTACTCACTATCTGAGTTAATATCGTAAGTATTATTATAATGTTTGATTTTTTTATAAAGAATTAAATTTAAATAATTAGAAATAGGAACAATATTTAAAAAGAAAACTTGATTTACATCTTTCTGTATGAAAATGAAAAGTAAAAAATTATAAACTCTCGCTTTTGGTTATTATCATTATAATTTCTTGTAGAAAGTTAATTTTAAAATGCGTTTGAACTTAATCCACCTGAATAAGAACTTTTTTAGTCGGTGAGAATGAGACACTTGATGCAGATTCTAATTATAAAGAAGGGAAAGTTTAATGAATCTTTAAAATCAACTTACTAATTTCAACTGAAATAAAAAAAAATAATAGAAGCGTTATTTTGATGCAAGTTTTACTCAAAGCTTATTCTTAAGAATTCAACAAGAATCCCGATACTTATTAATTGCATTAAATTATCTTTATTTACTTACATGAAGTGTGTTTGGATATCGAACACCACTTGAAATTGAGTACTTATTACTTAGATTACTTCTATTTAAGATTGAATATAACAGTTTATGCAAAACATTGCAAAAAACCTCTCAAAATTTATTTTTAAGAAACCCATTTTTGTGAAAATCAATAAATTCTGTCACTTTAATTTTTAATTTTAAAAATAAAAATCAAAACATTTCTTAATTGTGCTAAATTATTTTTATTTGCTTACATGAAGCGTGTTAGATATCAAATACCACTTGAAATTGAGTACTTATGACTTAAATTACTTTTACCTAAGATTAAAGATAACAAATTATGCAAAAAAAGAATCGATTTTTCTTTCAACACGATGTAAACAATTAAAATCATTATGAAATCTGTTAAGTCACCTCAATATTGCACCAATTATGCGTTTAATTAAATTTGATGAAAAGAAAGCGTAACGTAATCGAGAAGAAAAAATCTATTGTTACTAAGTTTGTTTGTTACTTTTTATTTTCCTTGTTATTGTTTTAGATGTGAATTTTCTTCGACGCAAGTTTTGTATGGTGTCAATAATAATGGAAAATATTTTTAAAGTTCGCGTAAAAACCCATCCGGATCCAAGAGGACAATATCCTTCAGAAAGAAGATATTCAGCTTCAACAGTTTTAGGATTAACATGTTTTCATCTTTTCTTCGCAACGTTATCATCGATTTTTGCAGTTTTAGAAATTTATAATTACTTAAATTTTAATCAAAATCAATTTATGGATGAATCATCGCAAGAAACCGATAGTAATGCTTATAAAACATTGAACGAACATAATATTTGTTATTCGTTAACGTCGTTTATTTTAACAGTCGGTGGAATTTCGTGTGGAATCAGTGGATTACTCGCTTGGAAAAAATGGTACATTGATGCCAACGTAAAATGGTTCTTCTTATCGTCGTGTTTATCAATTTTTACATCATTAATCACTTTAGTTTTTAATACGTTAAGCATTGTTATACATTTCGAAGTCCAAATAACAAAAGGATTCAGTAATACTCTTGGAATTCATCGTGTTGCTGTTCAAATTGTTATAACGTCGATTTTTGAATTTATATGTTCGATTATTTCGGCTACTTTAGGATATTCGGGAATGAACGCAACCTATCCCGACGATATCGTTGTGAGACGAGGAGGAGGGGGACAAGTTGAGATTAACACAATTTTTAAAGGAAATAAAAAATTAAAAATCTCACCGCCGGATATTCTTAACCATTTTCACGTGGGGAAATATTTTCCTAAGAAAAACAGTGCCAATTTACCTAGGATTGAAAGTTGTGCGGAATACAGGGAGAGGGTTGATAAATTTTTAACGTCGTCAAATGAAAATGTTTTGGACGAGAAAAAATTATGAGATCTTTTCAAAAATTTATACGCCAAAGAGTTATTATGTTTTAGTTTTTAAAATAAAAATTGGTGAAAACTAAAAAAGAAATTGTTTAAAATTATTTCTTTGAAGACGCACGGGTAAACCCGAAACTTTCTAGTTCTAGATCTAGTGTTATTAATTATTAACCCTAGTTTTAGCTTTTTTTTTCAGCGCTAGATTGCTGTTTGAGTACAGTAAAGAATTTCCTCACCTGGTTTCTTAAGTTGAGTGGTTTTCGTTTAAATTCTTCAGACGTTTCTTCAACATAATCTTTATATAATCATGCAAGTTGTGCCGCATCGCCCAAAAATGATGGAGTTCAATTCTGCAATTTCGAACATATTTACAACCGGTTAAAACACCTATAAACTAAGTATAAGTGCAAGGTTACATTTCTCAAATTTATAACAATACAGATCGTCTTTTAAAAAACGTCGGAATAAATAAGATATGGTATCTTATTTATTATTCGGTATATTTGATATTTTGCTTATCAATATGGCTCCAATGTTATGATTATTTTGCAGATATCCTCACATACCACTACTTAGTAAACAGTAGAAGATAAAATAAATTGACGGTGAGCAAAATATGAACTAGCTTGTAAGAACATTTTTTATAGTTCGTTTTATCTCTATTTGGTTTACAAATGCACGAATGCAAATTGTGCGTAATGAAGTGTAACTTTTTTCGCCAGAGATAAATATTGGATAAATTCAATTCAATTCAATGATAACATTACAAAATTTTCTTTCCTGAATTCATTATATAAAAAAAAATGAAATAAAAATTCAACAGTAAGTTCACCGATGGCCTGAATATGGATAATGTTCCAACATTATCCCAAAGAATCTTTACTAACAGTAGTTTTCACGAATTTCATATATAATTAGGGTGTTTAATTTGAATTACTACTTTCTGCGTTATTATACCTTCGATACATTCAAACATTAAAGAAGTTGAAGAAACTTCCAATAAGGATTCAAGATCAACAGACTGTATTTAACCCTACAGGTAATAATTTTAGGACAATGGCCATTTCAAGAATTCAATAACAGTAATTAACATATTCTGAAGTTAGCTTGTTAGTTCCAGATTTTGATGCCAAAAGGAATATATTATCTGCTTTGAAGAGCTCTTCATTAACCATGGAGAAAGAAATTTTCCATCCCTACATATAATGGGTTGAATTAAGAACCTATGTGTTGTAGATGACATCAACTGGACCACACTTTCCACAGTCTTATTTTCTAAATGGCTTAAAGTTTTTCATAACTCCTATGTCACCAGATTTTCTTTTTGTAACTTATAATACCAATGATATCAACACTAACCAAGCTGGTCCATAGTGTCTATGTGTTGTAGATGACATTAACTAGACCACACTTTCCACAGTTTTACCGTATAAATGGCTTACAGTTTTTCATAACTCCTATGGTGCCAGATTTTTTTTTTGTGACTTGTGATATCAATGAGGTCAACACTAATCAAGCTGCTCTGTAGTGTTTATACTTCACTTAGTCCTATTGTTGTCAATAATTATCTGTGCTTTCTTTTTTCATCTTTAAAAATTTTACCCTTACTACACATAGTTGATAGCAATGGCTTTATCTTAGCAACAAAATTTTGAAGAATAAATGTGTGATGACCAATTCTTGATAGAGTTCTAATTTATTTTTTTAAATTGTACCAAGCAGTGTAGGATTTCATTTTTCCAATTCTCTAAGTAGATCATAGGCTATCATAAAAAGTTGTCAGTTGTCACATTTCTCCCTGATCCTTCCTACCCCTTTATCATATCCAAGACAATTCGGTGTCCCTGGTTGCGTTCACACAAATCTTCTATTTTCCCGAAGTATATTTCTTCATTATAAACATACAAAGTTTATTGCCATAGGTTGTCCAAATCTTAATCCCATATCTTCCTAGTTTAAAAAGAGTAATCTTCCACGGAATATAAGTAAATAAACTATTCCTTGACAGTTATATTTTCATTTGCGCATGCATCTTGTAGTATGGACTTAACTTAGACGTAACTCAACAAAAAATCTCTTTCTTCCTCTTAATAGAGATTTCCCCTGTTCTATCGCCTATTTCTGTTCGTTCTGTTCATGTGATGTCGATGTCCAGGCGTCAGTCCATCGTTTGGAGAGTCTTTTATTATGCGGCTTCTCTACTTCCAATCACGTAGTCTTTGTCGTGTTCACTGCACGAAATCTTGTATATCCGATATATCTAGGATATCCACCCAGATATCCTTACGGTTTTATTCGGTTGTTTACTCGTTTATAATATTTTTATTGCTATAGATAATTAATGTACATGACTTGTTTTATAGTCTTGTTTATTGTGAGCTTACAACATATGGGATTCATATTTCCATGTTATAGTGGTTAGCCGTCTGGGGGAATTTGTGAAGGAGTCGCTGCAGATTTTCTTTACTGTCAGCGTTAAGTACTGTGTCATCTGCGTAGCATAGTATCTTTGTCTTTTCAAATTGTAATATATATCCTCCTTTTGCTTCTTTAACATTCTCAATGATTTTGTCAAAATAAGGATTTTGTTCAAATAAGGATTTAGGCTATCTCCTTGGCCGACACCTGATGCAACCTGGATTTACTCTGTTAACTCATCATCCAATTTAATTTTGTTTATACTTGTTACTATACATGCTTAATATTAACGTTATTCATTTAGAACTGAATCATTTTGTTTTAGGATTTTAATCAGAGCTTTTAATTTTACGTTGTCGAAGTGATTCATCAAATTCTCTGGACTTTTCAATTATCTGGCATAAAATAGAGATTGTGTCTACAGTGGAGCTGTTGGTTTTGAAACCCTGTTGTTGTTCTGATATTTGAATTATATTATCCACCATCCATTAGGATCACCCATCAGCACGAGTTGATGATGGATACACCTCATTCGTATTCACGTATCCCATGCTGTCTATGTTGTCTTTAAGCTTTTTGTGTATTAATAAACCGACACCCAATTGTGCTCTTGCGATCATCGGTCTTCCGCTATAGATCAACACATAGTTGCTTTATTTTGTGAATCCGCTTCCTTTCCTGATTGTCTCTGATATAGAGCAGATATCTCTTCGGTGCCTATACAATTATGTAAAATAAAATAATTTAATACTTTTTCTGGTCACTATCTATTTAATGTCTTACCAATTTCGGCTTACGCCATCATCACAGACGTTATAATTATGTACCTGAGAGCTAAAGGGACATAGGTAAGTCCAAAATGACTTAATCATAGAATAGCCAAAACTGTTCTTCAAATAATAATAAATTGAAATAATTAATAATTCTCATGCTCTTACCTCACAAATAAAGCTCGGAAATATCGGTATTTTTTAATATTAATTGTCTGTAAATAATCATTAATAGCATATTTTTATCAAAAATCTTTATTTTTACAAAATTATTGGACTTACTACATTTTGGCTCTAAAGAATTCTTGAAAATGATGTTTTAAAAAACAAAGTACCTAATGTTTCTCGTCGAATTTGAAGTCAAACAACGCTAGATAATTTAAACTGTTCTCCTTCATTACTCTTTTTTCTTAATATGAATGGTGCTCTTAATGATGAGTAAAATGTACTAAAATTTTTAAAATCTTCTAGACCCATAGAGAATACATCAAATGGGGGTTGTTTACAATTACAAATAAAATTAATCCAATCATTGCAAGTAAAAATTGTAAATGGTTTACTTTTCTTTTTTGCACGTTCAATAACGCTATGCTGCCAATCTACTTCCATATGAGTATGGCCTTGTAATAAAAATTTATGATTTATAACCTGAATGCTGGGAAATACTTGCATTGAATACATGTATATTACAATCATCATCATATTACAGTTTTGTCCAGCACAGTTATCAATCCAAAGTGTTAATGTTTCAATAAGCTATTTCATTATCACCTTTTACAGCTTTGGTTTCATCCTACATCATACACCAAGTGTTTTTAGTACAAGGATAACGAAGATAAAGATAACGATCGATAAAGTGTTTATAAAAAATAATTTATACACTCTGATGTTTTTGTTTTCAATGAAGAAATTATATAGATTTTGTTGTGTACGCACTTTTGTAGATAGAGGGTGTCTTGGTCTACCTACGTCGTTTTATATCTTTAGTAAAGACGAAAGAATTAAATAATTGCCTCCCAGAACTTGCACTCCCAAGAAAGAATTTTTTTCTAAAAATCATTATGATTATTATCTGCTGGTGTTGATTTTCAAATCTTAAATAGGCAGTTATACACTGCTGGCACGTTAATTAGCACACCCTTGCAAATTCAAACAGTACTATCCATATATCGAACTATAACGGCATTTTAACATAATTTTTGATTTGTTTGTATTGACTTATACTGTATCGTTTGTAATGGCTCCGTTGTAGTAACATTTTATCGCTGCTTAAATTGTTATACGTCTGTTTTCGCAAATATGTTTACTATAAGTTAGCATTTTAATTAGCACATCCTGACATTGGCAATGTCCGTTCCATATAAAGTTCGTATTGATAGTTGAATTTGAAGAAAAACCGGAAAAACGGAAGATTCCCTAATTGTCCGACAGGTGCTCAAAGATCCTTCCGTTACTTCTTCACAGATAAGAGCCAGAATGTAGCAGGAACATGATGTTAACAAGTAGGACTATCAGACAACGACTTCTGGAAAACAGTCTCCGGGGATGCTAAAGTTTAAGAAAAATCGAAGATTTCGCTTGGTAACCGTAAAAAGCGCTTGGAATTTGTAAAAAGCCATATTGAATCTCTTCCCCTTTTCTGGAATTGCATAATTTGGAGCGACGAATCTAAATTCAATCTATACAGACCTGATGGTAGATGTTACGTGCGACGTCCTCCAAATAAACAGTTAGAGCCAAAGTACACGTCAAAGACAGTGAAATTGCTTCGATTTTATGCACTTTTAACTAGATGCAGTAGGGTGTGCTAATTAGCGTGCCACATGGACTTTTTAGTTTTTTATTTAGTACGAGTTTGTTTTTAGTAGACAAATATAACTCACCTCGTTGTCTCCTAACTTTTCGTATATTTTTCTTCCAATTATCTTCATACCTCATTCGTTTTTTACACTTTAATTTAGGTTTTGTGGTTAAATCACTTTCTATATCTCAGTCAGATGAGGAATATGACACTAATTTGACAAACTTTGCTTCATCATTAGTTTCCATGATTATCAGAGTAAAATGATTAGAAGACAGAAATAAATTTTTGGCTTAAAATGTCAATAACTTTTCAATTATTTTTCAAAGCACACTACACACACAATTTTGATGTCTAGATTAATTTTGGACTATTTTGCACTAAAAACTGATTAGTTTAGTATTATGTACCAAAATACATTAATTTTGATGAGTTTTGCATGTAAATACAAGGAGGAAACCAAGCTTCATACTTCAACGCCTCCAACATCCAAAACAGCAAGATTGAACATGGTCAAAGATCACATATATGTTTTTTCAATGGTGAGGGAATCGCCCACAAAGTTTTTGCCTCAAATTCAATTTGTTAATCAACACTTTCACTTCCAGAGAGGTTCTGGAAAGGCTTTCAAGAACAATAACATGTGTGAAAACATATTTCTATGATTCGTATAATATGTGTCTTTGTGATTTCTCTTCCTAATTTGAGTTTCAGTACTGTTATGAAGATTGTAACTTTAAAGCAGATAATATTGAACTTTAATTTTATTCGACCGTTTTTGTAAACAATTTAAATTCCATAAACATTTATATTAGAAATTTTAGTGGATGAAATTAGTTAAAACAACAATATGTGTCAAATCATCTATTTTTAATCAGATTACACATTACAAAAAATAAACTGGGAGGAGCAGAAAAAAAACTAATTATCCACACATTAAAGATAAACTAAATTAAATTACAAACTAAATGTTTTGTACTCTTAAATTTAAATAATATAAACTAAGAAATAACTATCTAATCTAATAAGAAATTTATATTTGAGCACCTTTCACAAATGTTATTTATAACCAAAACAATGTTTTCATGATCACTTTTAATTATTGATTCAAAAAATATGGGTGATGTAAAGCGTCTGAAGCTGTGATTCTTTTCAATGGATTGAACGCCAACATTTTCTGAACATAAAATTATAATAAATAAAACTTTCAATTTAATAATTTATGTATTTACCGTTATTAAATCAAAACCTTCTTCACATAAACTTGAAACAACTTCACGCAAATTTATTGTTTTGTTGTTTCCAAATGAGCTGAATTGGAATGAAACTTTTTCTTCTGGCCAATCATCCCTTTCGGGAGTTCCCAACACTTTAAAGATTTCTTTTAATTGTTGAACTTCAGCAGATCCACAAAATAGAGGTTTTAAAATGTAAAGTTCAGCTATAATACAACCAACAGACCAAATATCTACAGGGGTTGCATATTTTAAGCCTAAAAGTACTTCTGGAGCTCGATACCATAATGTAACAACCTAAAAATTATAATAAAATGATTTTTAATGATTACTTTAATCTTAAAATTATTTACAACTGCAGTTAAAATCATGTCACAATCATAAGTTTTTGCTAATCCAAAATCAGCTAATTTAATAGTTCCTGTTTTTGTAACAAGTAAATTTTGTGGTTTTAAATCGCGATGAACAATTCTTTGTGAGTGTAAGAAATCAACTCCATTTAAAATATCTCTGGATATCTCTCTTTTTCGATTTTTATCAAGCCCAGTTTCTTTGAATTTCTCCAAATATGAAGCTAGATCTTCTTCCATATGTTCAAAAACTATGTACATGTTTAATTCTCGATCAATTCGCCTTCCATGACAAATATCTAAGATTTGTATAACATTTGGGTGGCCATAATTACTTAAATGTTTTAATAAAGCAATTTCTCGCATTGTATTTGATGGTATTCCTTCTTCTTTTAATGTTATGCGGACACGTTTAAGTGCCACAAAAGTATTTGTTGATTTATTTCTGCCCTTATAAACTGTTCCATATGCTCCTAAAAGAATATTGTTGTTAAAGAAATGAGTTAATAAATTAAATATTCTTACCAGATCCTATAACATTCATCTCTTCATATTTATGGTGTATTCCAATTTCATCCATTTCTTCCTGTTTTCTTTTCATTTACACAAAAATTTCGATAACTAAGCATTAAAAAAACAAATAAAAAATGCATGCATAAAAGTTCGATTTTTATTGCTAAAAAAAATGTCATTGAACTGGGATTTAAAAATTAAATGTCCAATCACGATTCATTGATTGATTTTTTTTTTGTTTCTAATTCAATTCTATTTAGTTTCAATAATAAAACAAAAAAATGAAACAAAAATGAAACAAAAATCTAGAAACAAATGCGAACCGAAACAAAAATAACTTTAGTAAAAATTGAAAAAAACGTTATCCTTTTTTTTTGATATTCTTATACCCAAGTAACAGAAACACGCGGATTGTTAATTTTTTTTAATGTTTAAAAATATACCTTTTTTCGGATAAATTTTTTTTATTGAAGATGGTTGTTGACGAAACGTGGTCGTTGAAGTTGTTTTTATGATGAATTGTTGAAAAATTAACAAAAAGAGTTGGCAAAAATGTTAACGGACACAGAACCTGCGTACCTCGTTCGGATGAATTTACTACCAACCGTCATTTACCCAACAACAGATGGTTTTCAGGACCGTATCAAGCTTAAAATCAATGATTTTTTTGTAAAAAAACAAATTTTCCAACAAAAATAACCTTTTTTAAACAATCACAACTTAAAAACATAATTAAAACTCAAAAATCAAGTTTTATTTCGCACAATTTCGTAAATAATTTATGAAATTATTTAAATTTTATCATTTCAGATTAATTTCGAGCTCTTAACAACAAGATAAAATTAATATTTTACTTCCCGGAATAACTAATTATAACTTTAATAAACTTATTAATTAATGAATTAAAAAAGATTATTTAAATTCTGCGTTTAAATTTAAATTTGACCTATTTTTGACTGAAGGTAAACATTGAAAACAAAGTGAGTATTGTTAGTGACATTGAAGGTTAAAGAAAGTTTACCAAAAAAAAATTATAAGAAACCTTGATTTGAAGATGAAGGTCATTTCTGTAATCGTTTCTTGTATATTTAATTAATAATGTGATATATATAATCAAAAAAATCACTCAAATTTTTATTTTTTTTAAATAAAACATAAAAACACGTTGAGTTTTTATAAATATTATTCATTTTAAATTGAAATAGAACCAATATAAGTGTAGGTTTTGTAAAAACAAATCAATTTTGGGTTAAAAAAAGAGAAATGATTTTTTTGATATAGCAACAAATTAACTTTATAATAAAATAATTTATGGTTGTATTCAAAAAAAATGGGTTATACAGATAGATATAAAAATAAAGTTGTTTTCATTTGTCCTTTATTTTAATAAAAGAAATTAATTTTTTTGTTTCCATTTAACAATAAGCGCGAATAACAAAATGGAGGAGAATTAAGATAGCAACTAACTTAACAAACAGAGAACTGCTCCAGATATTTTTACTATCCTACCATAAAAGGTAATCAAAGATAAAGTTAAGCAAACGTTTTCTAGATGGCACAATATGTACAATAGAAATTTTATCAAGAAAGGTTGCTAAACGAAATTTCAGACTTTTTCATTTTGAAAATTTTAAATAAACCATAAAAAAATTATAAATCTTTCTAACCTTTACATGCAAAACTTACCGAATTTACAATATTGCTAAAGATACGTTCTTACTCGTGTAATCTAGTCAGAAAGAAACCGTCATGGTCGCTCAAAATTAAACCTAAAATTAAGCCGAAAAAGATCCTAAAAAATTCGTTCATATTTGAGTACTAAATAACTATCCTAGGTAAGGTAAACATCAAAAGCTCAAAAGTAGCAAGAAGTGATAAAGATAGATCCAGCTATATTGCTTATCTTCTTATCTGATATAATTTAAACAAAAGTAATCACAAAGTCAAGTTGTGGACTTGACCTAATTTCTTTATAAAAAAATGTAAACTTTCTGATAATGCAATAATGATCTCTTTAAGAGAATTAGTTCCTCATTTTCTCGCTGGGTAGCGTTAACTTCTTTTAACTTGACGAAGCATGAACGAAGAAGCTATCTTCTTCTTCCACCGTTTGCCATTCCATGTATTGTAACCAGTTAAAGATTAAACTAAAATTAGAACTAAAACTAGAACTAACACTAGAAACTTTCGGGTTTTGCCGTGCGTCTTTTAATAAAAGGTTTGACGTTTCGGATGCCATGTTGCAACCTTCTTCAGAAACTGGTTCGAAGTTAAAGATTGTGCTTTTTTTCTGTTGTGCTTTCATGAGTTGCTTTCTAGAGCAGTCTTACATTCATCCCTGTTCTCAGCCATCTTGAATGTGCACGCCAGACATTGACCCGTGATATTTGTGATAAGGTCCGTGTATCTTTTAAGCGATATTCACGTGTCCAAAAAATTTTGCAATCTTTTTTCGGTTTAAGTTATTGTACTATTGATTCGTTAGTTCTCCTTTGTGTCCACGGAATTCTTAGCATTCTGCGCCAGCACATAGATAAAATATTTTATTGTTAACTAATTAAAGTCTACAAGTTCCAATATACCACAACATAAATGTAATTCAATATACAATATTTACAATACAAAATAAACCACTTATCTTCCATTATCAACCCAACCAAACCCAACCTTCTCTCTCATCCATCCTTTGCTTTCCCCCCCCTTCAAAAATCTGTCTCTGGTTCCTTTCATAGCCTACACCACCACTCTGCATCGTCCGCCCAGTATTTGTACGCTCTCTTCTCATTGCCACAACGAAATCTGGCCACCACCTTCTGCTCTTTTTCATTCCCCTCCTACACCAAGTATTTTGGAAACCCTTCTGTCATTATATCCCCATATCTTTCCTTGTACCTTTCCTCCCTTAGCGGCGTTGTACCTCTTGTTTCTGGACGTCCGTATCCTTGTCGTCTGCAAAAATCTCCATTAGTTGAGCATTAATTTTCTTTTTGTGTGTTGTTTTTAATGACCAGCACTCCGTAAAGAAAGATAGCGAAGACCAGGCTCCTTACCAGCCTCATGTTCGTTGTCAAAGAGATTGCATGACTTCTCTATATGTTTGTTAGTCATGGATTCACAGTCACAGATTCCAGTCGGGCATCCCAGAAAGATTTGCTTATGTTAGAACCTTCCAATCAGTCCTCCAACACCTGTACAACATCTGTCTAAAGGAAGATTTTGTAGGAGATTAAAAAATACAGAGAACTCTTTTGGCATTTATTAGAATAAAATTATAATTCTTATATGACCGGGTTTGATCGTGTAGATTAATTATTACTACCAGCATATAAGATAGCTAAAAAGTCAAGAACATTATAGCTAAATATTTTCTACCACAATGTTATTGGATGCATCGAACACCTTTATTAGAGGGAGTATTTCAAGAAGCACTTGTTGATGTTGAGATTGGTATAAAGGTTAAAGGGGTTTCGATTAAGAACATCCGACACGATTTTGATTTTGACAACTTAGAAGGGTTACAACAGTTAATTGATGTAGAGCGATAAAGTTGCAAATCAATGGGCATGAATATAAACATAAAGAAGACCAAATTCATGATAATAACAAGACTTCGATCTAAACTCGAGATTGAGGTTCGTGAAATGTTACGTATGGTCATTGCTTATGTTTGGAGTGGAATATACCGCAGAATACTAAAAATCCACTAGACTGCATATTGTGACAAATGAAGAAGTACTCACTCGAGTAAACAGAACGCGAACTATTTATCACAATTAAAAAGAGAAAAACTGCATATTTGGGACAAGTCATGTGACATGATAAATACAAATATCCCGAATTAATAATCGACGGAAAATTAAAAGGGCACAAATTGGACGGATTGGCAGAAAATAGATGTCCTTACATCTGAAATGTTCGAAATCAATTGCACAATATCTAGGCATAATCCATACTGCTAGCAATGGAGAACAAATACATAATGTGATCGCACACATACATTAGTGGATAAGTATTGCAAGAAGAAGATACAACTTCCATAACTTTATTTTCTTCTTACATGGGGACTCCACCACAACTGCTAGACCTAGATTATGCAGATGACATATGCCTGGTAGCGCATACTTTTAATGATATGCAAGCGCGGTTAGAGAAACTGAGTGAACACACCAAGATAGCGCGCTTCGAGATAAATGTTTCAAAAACGAAATCGTTAAGAATCAACAGCAACAACCAACGAAGGTTCACAAAAGACTTATTTAGGCAGCGTAGTAATCAATACAGAAGGCGCCAAAAAAGCGCACAAACAAAGCCAGAAAAATCCACATCTAACCAAAAGCAATAAAATCGGTATACATCAGGTTGTATACAGGGACAAACTGTATAACAGTATAATCGGTTCTATGTGGAACCGACAAGGATGTGTAATGTGGAAAACCTCATCAACTATAGATGCAAAACTGCAGGTTTTCACCAACATATACCTTAGAAAAATATTAAAAATTAAATGGAGAAGGATGAAATGTAGGAGGTGTGGAGACTCTCAAAGCAAACCCAACTCATTGTCAGACGAAATGGAACTGGATTAGACACGCGCTACGAATCTGAAAATATTGCGAATACAGCATAGGATTAGAACCCACAAGTACAAGAGGGAGAGCGAAATCCAGGAGGACGTGGCGGAAATTCATCATAAAAAAAATAAAGGCAACAAGAAAATTGTGGCTGGAAGTGAAACAGATAGCTAAAAACCGAACACGGTGTGGTTCATTTGTCGAGGCCCTATGCTTCAACCCTGGACTTCTGACAGTTCCATAATTTCTGTCAATTTAATTCAATCGTTATGGCAACAATTAGCTGTTGACTCTTCACTAATACTCACTTTAGAAATCGATATCTTCGCAACCGCTCGATGAAAAAAATTGCGGTAAAGGTTGTTGTACTCACGAAACATTTCTACGTAACATATATGAATTTGAAATTTTCTGCTTTCTTTTTATTTCGAGGTTAATGAAAAAAGTAGCAGATTTTTGAGGATGCCGGCAACTTTGGCCACTTTGTAATTTTTCTTTTAAACTATCCGACTATTCTTAATAAGGGGCATATTTTATGTTTTCGATATTTCCTATAGTTCGCGGTTTAGTAAGATGCGGTTATGTTGAAAACGGCTGGGTGGATTTTAACGCGGTTTTAATCAAAATATGTCAAATAATTGCATTTGTCGAATCCCGTTATCTACCCGAATTAAAAATTAAAAAGAAACAGAAATAAGCCATCCCGGGAGAGGGGGTTTTGTCTAATCGGAAAGAGTAGTGCGTTCCATACAGGACGTCGCGCCTTTATTTTACCTACATAAAGAAATAAAAACGCGACGTCCTGTCTAGAACACACAACAGCACCATCCTTCCCGATTGGATGAAACCTCTTCCTGCACGTCTTAACGTTATTAAACGTTTTAATAGTTTCTAAACCTTCATGACAAAAATAATAACTTTTATATTTATGAATAAAAAAATTATAATCATCAATTTTCTTTTCAATTCAATTTCAATTAATTTAATTAAAAAGTACTAAAATTCCCAGAATGATTCATAAAAGAGAAAGCAACAAACCCGGAGAATTTCTATCCCAGGTTAAAATGGGCGTAGAATATAAATAATCTCATTTTATCGAATTCCACCTCTACTCTCCTTTAAATTCTACATTCTGTTTACATTATTATTTAGATTTAACTCTTTTATATGAAAATTTTAAACATTCTTTGTGTTTAAATTATTTGATTATTAATTAAATTTAGTTTGCAAGGAAATTGTTATTAATTCTTTTATTATGTTCATTAATCGTTAAAGAACATACTGATTAGAACTGAAATTGCTCGTTGAAAGTTATCGATCTGTATTAAAACGATAATTTTCGCTATTAGAAGTTGTTAGAACTTTATTAATCCGTAAATCTTTACTTGTTATTTAGGTTAGTAGGGTTTATTGAGATATTATTTTTTATTATTACCTACACATTAATTTCATTAAACAACATTTATTGAAGAATCAAAATTGAAAAGAGACAAAAATAAATTTCTTCTTTCTTTATTTCCCCACTATTTCTTCTTTGCCGTAGAAGAAATCCGAATGAACACTTCGTTGGCTTCGGCATATGACGGCGACGTCACGATGGTGGTAGCCCGTTAGGTCCTCTTCGTTAACTTTCTGTACAGCGTAACCTGAAGCCGTGAGAGAGTCATTCTTCGAGTCACCACTTTGAGTTACAGTGAATACTTACCTAAGAAGAAAATTCGGTGTTAAAAAGGTTCGATTTTGAACATTGATCTTTTAAAGAAAATTTCGGTGAAGATATCCTTCTTCAGTGTTCTCATTTTTTGGTGTTTGTGGGTTAGGAAGAGTAAATCAGGTCAACCTTTTAAACCTTTCATCGAAGAAAAAGAAGGAGAAAATAAGAAAAGAAGACTTTTCTATTAAAATAAAATGTTTAATTTGAAGATAAAAAGTGTTTTTGTTTAAAAAGCTTTTTTAACAAAAATTTTTAAGAGATTTTTGTGCTGTGACAATTTCGTTAATATTTTTAGTGATGTTTCAAATTTTATTTTATCAACCTCTTTAAAAAGTGATTGACCTTTCAATATGGCCGTCATCAAAGTACCTCTTCACTTGCTTCTTCACCTTACGGCACCGTTCTTCTTCTTGCTTCTACTGCTGCCAACGCGGACAACAGGTAAAGTGTTGTTTTAAAATCCTTAACAGCTTCGTGATTTCTTGAAAAGACGAATTCCCGAGTCGTCGAAGTAGACGTTGAAGAAGAAGAAATGAACGCGGAAGGGTGGGGAAAAGAGGGGTCACGCACACACTGTAACGTATACTTCTTTTTACAGTTACATTAATGGGTCGATGGCTGCCTTGGCTTTTTTAATTGTTACCGGGGGCGCGTTACTGTATTTTATAAAACATTAAATTTATTTGCTCAAATGGAAAATTTTAACGAGATCAATAAATTAATGAAAAACACCAAGAAATTACAACAAAACTTACTTTTCCGTTTGAAATGTTTTATTAAAGATGAGAAAAGTCATGATTTCGTAACTGTAAAGATAATTAAATGTTTCTGGAATGTAAATTACGATTGAAGTTAATTTCACTCCAAACATGATTATCTTCAAAAATAACCGAGATAACATTAATTAAAAATTCGAGATTATCAATTGTATTGATTCACTTCCGGTTTTTTCCGTTATGATAAACCGGGTGAGTTTGTACTCATTTTAAACGATTTTTAATTTTCTTTAACATCTTTAATTTATTTCCTCAATTAGTTTGTTTTTGAAGGAATAATTAAATTTGTTTAAAAAAATTATGTCAATTGAATTTGTAATTAAATTACTTCTGCAATGAGAACGTCTCGAAATTTGTTCCAAAGTGGATTAGTAGTGAAGTAAGTAAAGCTTTCACTCATCTACATACTAATTAAGAAAAGTTTGCAAACATTTAGGACTATTAAACTGAATTTAGGAATTTATGGAAAAAATAATGTTAATATTCTTTGTTTATCGTTCTTTTTATATTTTATAGACAAATGCTTCTGGGTTATCCTAAATTACTTCATATCAAAAGCCTTGACTTGTTGTGACCTTCGTCGTTCCTGGTTCTACTTCTTCTGTGATACTGAGGTTCAGCTGTCTTTCTATCGCTTTGAAGGTGTCATCCATTCTTGATATATGTTCATTCTATTCTTGTCTAAAGCTACACGCCTTATAGATATATATAACGTGAAGAAGAATTCTTGCAGGATATCTTAGGCATCATTATGAACTAACAAAGAAATTCCTTACATTTCAGCTTTCCATAAAGTTATTAGTGCTCAAGTCTGGAAGGTGATGAAATCTATGATCACAAAGTCGTAATACCAAAGCTTTTTACTCAAAAATAAAACAGTTCCCCCCAATTTGGACCCACTCACGAATATTTAGGATCTTGTTATCTCTATACTTCCTTCCCAAGAATATCATTATCCACGCTTAGGAAGGTGAAAGACATACTGGTAGGTGGTCTCATCATAACGTACCATCTTCCCATTGTACTATTATTATTATTGCTGCCAGGCTGAGGGGAGCGGCCCCTGAGATAACAATAGAGGAATTGAAATTACAGGATTGCAAAAAAGACTTGAAGAAATGCCTTTATATAATATTCACCAGAAGTTTACATTTCAACATGATTAGAATGTATGAGCATTGAGTATCCCACTGGTTCTATGATTTCTGTGTTTCTCTTACAATCTATTACAGTATATCCTGATATTCTCAGATGTCTCTTTGCCTCAGCTGTGTCGACTCTTGCTTCCGTCCCACACGTAATGATTAATAGCTGTTTATTCCTATATATTGGGTTGCAAACAGCACCTGATACTCTTGTTGCCTTTGTGGCATGCATTGTGAAGATATCGTTTAGATCCCCATATGTACTGATTTGTATTTTCAGATTGTCGAATTGGAATATCTGCTAAATGATTTGCTATTGCACTACAACTTAGCATCTAATGGGCTTCGTTGAATGCGTTTGGAAGCCGTTGTAGTCCATCTCCGATTCTTGATGATGATGGCGTCGTTTGCATGGCACTCAATCTTTATTATTGTTCTTCCCAATATATATCCATCTACGCCCTTGATTATACTGTCCATTAGCATGTTAAACTCATCATGCAGAAGTTTACATTTCAACATGATTAGAATGTATGAGTATTGAGTATCCCACTGGTTCTATGATTTCTGTGTTTCTCTTACAATCTATTAGAGTATATCCTGATATTCTCAGATCTCTCTTAGTTTCAGTTGTGTCGACTCTTGCTTCCGCTTCATACGTAAGGATTAATAGCTTTATTCCTACATATTGGGTTGCAAACTGCAACTGATATTCTTGTTGCCTTTGTGGCTTGCGTTGTGAAGCTACCCTTTAGAATCCAAATGCATTGATTTGTATTTCCAGATAGTCGAATTGGAATATTTGCTCAATGATCTCCTTTTGCACTACAACTTAACATCTAATGGGCTTCATTGAATGCGTTTACAAGCCGTTGTAGTCCATTTCTGATTGTACGATGATAATTATACTGTCCATTACTATGTTAAACAGTTATGGAATGAGGCTGTCACAATGTCGGATTCCAGCTTTGATGTTGATTTCTGGCCTTTCCCCGTACAGGGTTCTCAGTTTTGTCTTACTATCTGTGTTTAGTTGTTTGATCGTTTCTATGATATTGGGGTGTATATATCAGAAATGAATATGGAGGGAGATCTAGCTGATCAACTAGGTAAATTATTTAACAATATCCTCACCACCAGGCAAGTGGCAAAGAATTGGAAGCAGAGTATTGTTCTGCACAAGAAGGAGAAGCTATATTAGAACCACCATGAAGTTTTTTTGCAATTTGAATTGCAAAAAAAAACATAATCTAAATTACCTATGAGAAAATTACATTATAATTAGAACAGGATCATATAACTCGATCTTAATTACTATAAAGAAAAATCTCAAATTACGATAATTACTTAAAACTGAATTAATTATTCAGGTGCGATTAATTCGAATTGGGCGATTAAGAACTAACAGTTTGTGAAGAGAATTTCGTGAGTACGCTTTATGCAAATTATCAAAGCAACTGTTGCTGCTTGAAAGTCTTATTAACAGCAACAAATAGGACTCGCTTGGTTAATTATCGTTCTTAATATAGATTACATGCTTAAGATAAAAGCGTATACGCCAGTGAATGCCGCGTTGCACACGGAATAACTTCGTAACATTAAAAAAGAACTCAAGACACGTCGAATACCATGGATCCAAGCTATTAGTATGCGTCTCGATCCTCCACGTACTGTTATAAACTTTTCGAAATCCGTTATTTACGACCGGAGGCGTCGGTTTCGTACATTTTAACAGACTTCCTAAAGTAAATTTTTCAAATACTGTTATAAAATTGATAATTTGATGATTAGTTTTAAAATTACATCCCGTTATTAAATCGGACTACTTCTTCCGTAATTTTTATTTCTTGTCATTAATAAAAATTTTGTAATTAAATTATTTTTTATTGCCGTATTTTTTAACACATTGAGATGAAAGTCTTAGGTCACCTTTCTATGAGCAAAATAGAAAGTAAAATTTGCGAAACCCACACTGTTGAGAAGATAAGAAAACGGATGGAGAACAGGCGTTTCTTTCACCGAGATCGTACAAGAACCCAACTACCATCGGTAATAATGTTACGGTTTCTAAACTGGGTGGGATACAAAAAATAAGTGAAACTTTTATTTTTCTCTAATATAAAAAATTCTTTTCTATACGGAAAAACATTATAAATTGCACTGAATGTAACCGTGAAAATCTGTTTAACAAACCGCAAATTCACCATTGGACACAGTGGGAACACAACATATTCCGCGTCAATTAACTGTCGTTGGAGGATAAATCGAAAACGGTTTACTGGTGTGTTCCAATCCCGACGTGGTTACCTTAATCTGCTTAAATAAACTAAAGCCACCGTTTTGAAGCAATTTCTAACTAACTGTATTATGCCACACAGTATATTACGGTCTCATCGAACTTTTTTTTTCTTTTACATACAAAAACGTAACTGTCTTCATTAAGCATATGCTTAGTATCACCAATCTCAACGTTTCATTGTTGCAAATCGTCGAATCCAGGTCTGCAAAACAAACGGGAATAAAGAATTAAGTCACTAGGTTAACAGTACTTTATTGATTTAGATAAATACAAGACCACAAAGAAAATGGAATTAAAAAATCAAAAAGAGTTTAATGGTATTAGAAAGACAAGTTGGAATTTAATACTATTTTACACTCTACTAAGCAGAGATATTCCGCTTTAGATAAACAGGGGTGTTAACAATCATGTTTTCTTAATTACAATGAGAATTATAAATTACGAAATGAAACGCTAGATATTCGAGTTATATGAAATGCTTTAAAAAGTGCATAAACAATAGCTCTTAGTATTGCGACATTTCAAAGTTTCCCGCATTGTAACAATAAAAAGCTCGACATCTCTTAGTCTTGTGAAAGTTCTATAAACGGTTAACTCATAGTATTCGTTTGTTAGTATAAAACGTAATCCGGGTTTTCAACAATTCTATGATGACCTATTCACCTACATTTACCACTACAAAAATATTTATTATCTTTTGAATAAATTTACAATACATATTATTTTAACGTTGTTTATGTTTATACTGACATAAGTATTAATTCATATCCTTTTCTTTGAGAACCTCCAGAAACCACCAGATCTTGTTGATTTAGTACAGAAAAGAAAAAGTCATCGTAGTTGAAATCATCTCTAGTTAACTATGTGTTGATCTGCCATTGGACCTAGAAGCCTTTGAATAGGCAATTTCTAGTAAGCCTACTATATCATGTATTGTTCAATCACTGTTGGTTTTCATATTTAAATCATCTATTATATACTGATAGCTACCATTGGATGTTGAATCTAATCACAGTGATACTGTATCTAATTCTGAAATACTAATCACCAATCATTATGGATACTGGAATTATCCAGTGGACGTATGAATCACTTACTTCTGAGTACTGGAACCAGACACTGTATACTACATTGGATAACTGAGTACTGAAATCATCTATTGAGTTGTGGAATCATCTGCCAGATACTGGAATTGTCTACTAGGTTACTGGAAACAACCATTTCATTTTGGTTCCAATCGTTATGGAATCATCCACAAGACACTGAAACAATCAAAATTGCTTCCTAATGTACTTAGTTCCTGGTGTTTATAGTACCAAGTGTATTTGAGGAGCTTAAGTAAGGGGGAGCAAGAAATATGGAGACGGAGCCCATAGAAGAGATTTCGCATGCTGGAAAGGAGGACTCAAGAATGCGGGACAGGAAGAAGGAAGAGGAGGAAGTAGAGAGAGGATATATGGGGGCTAGATTCAAGAGAATGATGAGCATGATTTCTTCTAGAATGGACACAGAAGGTACAACATCATCATGGATCTCAACTGGATTAGAGAACAGAATGTACCGGATAATTCAAGTAATGTATATTGTATTATAGGGAAATTTATAAATCCTTTCTCAAGTTGGGAAGAATCTAATAAAGCATGGCTATGGTTCAAGGACTTTTTTGCCAACGTCTGGCATTTCCTGAGCGCTGAGATCACTCTTAAAGGGACGTAATCCTAAGATTATTTAATGATTTATGACTTGTTTCTATTTTACTTCTGCCATGTGGAGTTGTGTTTCATGGTAAAAAATACTTAAAGGTGTTGCTTATATATTTTAGTTTGTATGCTTCCTTATCAAGTTTTACGTATACTTAAGACACTGTAGCTACATCAAAATACATATTCATACTGAAACGAGTCAAATGATCCATTTATATAAATCTTATGGTCTCGACTAAAGTAATAATCAAATGACTTAAAGTCGTGCTTACTTGAATATTTCAAAAAAAGTCTATATCCAATTAAAATCTTTCAATGAATAGATGTAGAAGCACATCTACATTATCAGTTAGGGTTGTAAGTAGTAGAATACGTTTCATGAAGTTCCCCTTACCAATGACTGATTCTTGCCGCTCTGAGACTTAGCCAGTTTAAGAAACATTCATTTTGGCAAGCAATCTTAAAAACTTCAAGCAAAATATAGTCGTTTTTGAACACAGATTATTGAAACGTAAGACCTCTCACGTTTTGTTTAACTAATTAACGGCGGATTTCATCGGCTCAATCACGAATTTACTGACCTCTTTGTCAAAGGAACACTTTGAGGTGGAATTCTAACCAATTCTGGACAGTTTCTCTCATTATCAGATTTGGTTATGGTTTGTTGAAGTCCTCATATATTAATCTTTTCGAATAACCCCTCTTAAAAAACGATAATGCCCGATTAGTGCCATGTTAAAGTTTGATAAACATTTATACACCAGGGTTATAGAAGCATCTCTATACATAGACTTACAATTAGTTCTACGAAGTTTATAAAGTTGGGCCGTAAAATCGCATCTAGCGAAAACATTTGAAATTATATTAAATTTGGTAATAACTCGCTATTTGGAAGAAAATTATCTGCTAACTAGTAACCAGTTTGAATTGAGGTAAAGCCAACTACTACAATGTTAAAACGTAAATCATCCAAGTATATTAAAAGAGTCAACTTTCTTTATACACACACCATTACACAATCTTGTAAAGTAGACAAATATGATTCATAAAACTTTTTGTTTTCTTTAAACTTTCACGTCTTTATTATTCCAGGAGCTCACGAATACGCTAACTCTTACATATCTCCAAATTCGGCGAAGGAAGATCACCTTATAAGCCAAGAAATGCAACATCACGTAACGTCAACATCCGGTCCGAGTGAAATTCGTTCGTCAGAAAGTCAAACTGTAATCGAAAATTTATCGAGTGTGTCGATAACCTTTCCCGATGAAGATCCTCGTCATTCGAAAACGAAAATATTTGATGATATTTTGATTAATGATTATAAGAATATTGATCATATCGATTCGAATGATGTGGAGTTATCGGGGAGATTGGTTCAATTTATTCAGCCGTCGAAGACGGTTGATAGAGATTCAAATGGTGGTAGTTCGGGGGAAGACCGAGGGGCTCCAAAGGGCAGATCAGTTCCTCTGGAGCCCCTTCAAATCAACCCAACTGCAACGATGATGAAGGAGGATTTTGTTACCCAATCTCACCAACCGCGACAAGTTAATCCCGACATTCAAGACATAATAACAGGATTAGTTAAACTTTTAAATGGAAAGGTTAATGTTCAAGCAAACACTGCTTTACCACCGGGAAGACCCCCAATTCGTCCATTATCTTCAAGAATTAATAATAGAGGTCCACCTAGAATCACCGATGTTCCCGCTTTACCACCAGATTTTGATTTACCACCTCCACCACCATTAACTCAAATGACACCACCAGCAACAAAACTTCCCACTCCGTATCCGTTTGATATCCCCCCACAAAATACATCGCCGGTAATTCGACCATTTCCAATGGATAAAATAATTCCGGTTGGAAGTAATAAAGGTAGACCACCTTTGTATAGACCTGTTACAATTCCACCATGGAATCGACTACCACCAAGAAGACCTCCACCACCAAACAGAAGACCACCTACTTATAAACCAATCCCACCAAGACCTAATTTAAGTAACGACGATATCAGTATAACCAGCGAGAAACCTGATGAGGATATCTTAAATTTCGATATTGGAACGGAATTAGATGGATCAGAAGGCGATAAAGAGGAAGAAGATTCCACTGAAATAATTCCAGAATTTGAACCAGAAAAGGATGACAATCGCACTGAAATTGCAGATCACAAAGATACACTTAATCATCAAGTTGATGAAATCAACAATATAACGAATGTTGTTGAAACCACAACAATCAAAATAAATAAAAATGAAACGAAATTTACAACTGAAGAACCTTTTATCAATGATACTACAACCATAGAACCATCATCAGTTGAAAATGCGACTAAATTAATGCTGGACGATCGATTAAATGAGACTTCTTCTTCATCAGAACCTATTTTGATTTTAGAATCTTCAATGCAAGATGTTTTACAAACTACAATGAAATCAGAACTACAATCATCATCATCTTCATTATCCAGTATCCCAACAGAAAGTCTTCCATTAATAACTTCATTAGTATCATCATCAGAAACACCTAGTATCCAATTAGAAACTTTTTCCAGCACTTCTTTAACTCATACATCAAATCAAACCGAATCAACTTCTTCATATCCCTCATACAAACCTCGACCTGGTATAGTTTTAGACGACACCGAATTTCGTCCGGGAAGAAATCCACTCGCTACGTCACGTCCGCATCCCCATCCTCATATTCATCAGCCCGGAGATATCTTTGATGTGACAGTTTCAGCTATACAAGGTCCTAGTGGTCAAGGACAAGGAAAGCCTTACGTGATTCCTGTTGATATTGAAAGTATCAACTTGGGATCACCATCAGATGTAATTTTAACATCTCAAGATGGCCAAGGATTCGTTTCAATCGATGGTAAAAGAACTTATTTGAATCTTTTCGGAGAACCAACTTCATCACGGACAGTAATTCATCCAACGCAAGCTTCTAGTAATTCAATTACTGGAACTGGATATGCCGTGGTTGATGTTGATAAAAAACCGGAAGGTGTTCATCATAATATTAAACCAACTCCAAGAAGACCTAGCGGTTATAGTCGAAGACCAAGTCAACAACCACCTGTAAGGATAGACACTTGTATAGTTGGTGATGACTCAACATGTGATGGATCGCAACATGAAATTTGTCGAACGGAAGTTGGAGTTAGTGCTTGTTATTGTAGACCTGGACATGCAAGAAGGAAACATCGAGAACCATGTAGGAAGGTGGTTTCTGTGTTGTTATCTTTGAGGGTTGATCGATTGTATGAAAGAAGAGTTGTATGGGCCAATGATTTTTCGGATAAATCTAGTGTTAGTTTTCAAAAGTTATCTTATGAAACTGAAAAAGCTGTAAGTATATTTTTTCAATTTTTTTTTTAATTTTAATTTTCTATATTGTTTTAGTTGGAATCTGCAATGTCCATGACAAGATTTTCAGATGAATTCCTCAACGCAAAAGTCAACAGCATCTATAAAGGTGATAGATCAGCTGGTCAAGGGGGAGTTTTCGTCAATTTAACCCTACAGCTTGAAGAGAACGGTGAAACATCTCGACCTCAAGTTCGCGGTGAAATTCAAAAGCATCTATTAGGGGTAATCCAAAGAAGGAGTAATAATGTAGGTGATAGTGCTTTGTGGGTTGATAGCCCACCTGGGTCAGTTTCAAATTTGCAAGATTTGGATGAATGCTCCTCACCCGATTTACATGATTGTCATAGTCATGCTAAATGCGTAAATACTTTCGGTGGTTTTAAATGTGAATGTAACGAAGGATTTCGGGATCCATGGTCGGATAATAGACATAGAGCTGGAAGATATTGCGAACAATGTTCGCCACAACATTGTAATAATCGTGGGGAGTGTAAATATCAGAATGGACAAGAATTTTGCGTGTAAGATAGTTATAGTAGTTATTAGGATTGTGTTTATTATTGATTTATTTATTTTGGGTAGATGTTCTGGGAATTATTATGGAACACAGTGTGAACTTGATGGTGAAGTTCTTGGGGTTGCAATTGGAGCGAGTGTTGCTGCAGTAGTTATTATTGGACTTACCTTGATTTGTTTGGTAATGTGGACACGGAGATGGAGTAAGGAACAAAAAACTGGAGTTGGAAGTCCTGTTTTTGGTTATATGGGTGCTAATGGAAGTACAATTAAAGCGCCACCTGTGGGTGCTCCACCGTATCAATTAACGATGGAAGACCGATTAAGATGGGCTCAAATAGCTGATGCAATGGCACAAGCTAACCATTATGCGGTAAATTCAAACACAATTGTTTTTTAAAATTTTATTTTGTTAATATTTTAAAGCCGGAACCAGTTATGAATGGTCCTACTCGCCCATCTTCAGCTGTTTTCGGTTATCCTACATTACCGGTTCATGGTACTCTTCAACATGGATCGATGCACGGTACTCTTCCCCCAATACCACTTCCAAGATTGGGTCTTCAAGCGCAATTAGCTGCGAGAGCTGCGAGTGTTCAAGGGATGCGCCCTTTGGACAATTCAAGTTCCAGCGAAGAGGAAGATAAGACTGATCTATTAGGGAGAAACTTTCAGGTACCCAGACCTAAAAGCAGGAGCAACGCGTCGATTGCTGTAAGTACAAAAGAAAATGCATTAATTTTTTGGCAACATTTTTATTTTTGTTTTTATTATAACAGAGTGGGATTTATTACGACGTCGATTACGATCAAAACGACATTTACAGCAAAACTGGCATGCCAATGAGTACTTATGCTATTGGTAGACCTTACTTCAGGAACTAAATTAAAAAAAAATGTTTTATTTGTGTACATATTGAAATATTTATTGTATAAGGTTGTAATGATTAAAAAAGTTGCAGTTTGATTTGTATTAGAAAACACTATTTACATTCTGATTGTTATTTGTTTAATAGTAAATATAAAAAAATAAACTTAAGAAAAAAATAAGATTTTTTTTTATCAAACACACACCTTTTCCGATGGGTTTTATCAAAAAATCAATAAACCAGCAACAATTTCCATATAACAAATAGGTCATAAAACCGGAAAAACACTATTTACCATTCAATTAGTGGTACTTGTTCCAAACTATCTTCCATAATCAGTAACCTAGTAATTTTTGTATATAAACCTAAAGAAAATCGTTTGAAATCATACATTTTCAGCAGCTCTAACAAAATGGTTCCTTCAAATTTCATCTTAATTTTGGTGTTATTCACTTATGGATGTAATTGCCACATCTTCAACGATTTTCTAATACGAGACAACATCGCATTGTCAAAATGTAAGCAAATTTTAATTTATAACTTATTAGCATTTTTATATCTTTTTTATTTATTAGTGTCGCCATATCAGACAAAATGTAATTCGACATTACCGGGTGGTGTTCACGAAGAGGGTATTTGCAAGACAAGAACCGAATGTTTGCTTACCGGTGGCATCCCTAGAGGCCATTGCGGCTTTCTATCCACCTGTTGCGCCTGTAAGTTCTCTGTAACCAACAACGACGTTACGTGTAATACGTGATGAGATTTCATTATATTTTTTTGTAGATACGAAGAGTTGCGGTCGAACGTCGAACGCAAAAGTGTCATACTTTAGTAGCGGGTTAATCTCGAATGAAGTACGCGAAGGGTTATGCACGTACAATGTCGTTGTGGCTAACGAAAATGTTTGCCAAATCAGATTAGACTTTTTGCAATTTGAAACAACACCACCATCATCATCAACAAATGGACTTGATGTGTTTTGTATTGTTGATAATTTTTATGTTACACCTACTAGCAGAGGAATGCCACAAATTTGTGGTCACAATTCAGGACAACATGGTAAGTTACCCCGTCAGATATAAACGATACTATTGTATTTCTATTTTAAAAGTTTATGTTGATGTACCAAATCACAAGAAAAACATCGAATTGAATATGAAAATTGGATCCAATTCCATTCCACGACCTTACTGGAATATTAAAATCACTCAATTGGAATGTCCAAGACAAGAATCACTTTTACATAAGATCGATAAAGAATTGGTGTACGATTATAATTATTTGGCGCCTTCTGGTTGCTTACAATATTTTACTGAACCCTCTGGAATAATAACAAGTTTTGGTTTTAACTATGATTCTGTTACAATGATAGGAGACCCTTACGTTTCTAATCAACATTATTCTATATGTTTTAAGAGATATGAGAATAAGTGCGGAATTATGTAAGAATTTTGTTTATATGATGTAAATTATTATTGATAACTTAATTATTTTATTAGCGCAACGATTGTATATGCTCAATTACGTGCTACTAATGGCGAGACAAACTGTTCGCCCACAAATCATTACTTACAAATCAGTGGACGTGCAGGATTTATATGTGCAAATGATGGTACACCAACAACAGGTCCCATTGAAAACTTTCCAATCATAGGTAAGTTTTTAAATATAGTAAAACCTCGATATAACGGATTAATAAGGGGAAAAATTGAAAAAAAATTAATTTATACATCATTAAACTAGAGCTAACACTAGCAGTGGAACTAACACTAGACCTAGAACTAGAAACGTTGGGTTTAGTCGTGAAAAAAACTTTCAGTTGTCAATGTCACCTTTAATTTTATTATTTTATTTGTAATCTTGATAAAATAACCTTTAAAGTGAGTCCAACCATGACGCATTTCTCTCAAAAAAACCAAAAAGTTCGAACTTTCAACTATTAATTTTGACATATTTGTCAAGTTCATAAAAAATCATTTGAAATGAGTCCAAACTCGAGATATTTAACTTTGATATTAATGGAGATACTCACTTCCGGGTTGAAACGTCAACGTCAATTTTGACATATTTATCATCTTCATTAAAAACCCTATAAAATGAGTCCAAAGATGACGCACTTATCTCAAAAAACAAAAAAGTTAGAATAAAAAACATTAAACCCGAAGTTAGCAACAATGAAGATAGCAATTTAATTTTTAAATATTAATACCAACCTTAATTTTTGATTTTTTTTTATTATATTTTTGTTTTTATGATAAATATTAAGACATTTTATAAAAATTAAGAATATGTCAAAATGACATTGACATTTCAAATCGGAACTTGCTTATATCTTGAGTAATATTGAAATTAAACGTATCATGTTTAGACTCATTTTAAAGGATTTTTCACGACGATTGCAAATATGTCAAAATTGACGTTGACATTCTTAACCAGAAGTTGGCCATAACTTGAAGATAAATATGTCGTGTTTGTACTCATTTTAAAGGATTTTTAATGAAGATTACAAATATGTCAAAATTGAGGTTCACATTTTAAACCTGAACTTAGTTATCATATAATAAAAGTTTTATAACTGAAGTTAATCTAGTGTTAATCACTTTTCAGCACTTTCTTTTTATTTTTAACATATTTTGGGTCATTTCACATTGATTAAAAAAATCGTCGTTTTAAGCCACATGATAATTCTTGAATTTTTCCCAAGTTTCTTAATATTTCTTTTGTTAAAAAAGAGCGTTCTTAAATTTTAACCTGTAAACTTGTAACACTTCGTCCTTAAATTTATTTTACAACTTTTTAAACTTTAATTTTATAAATTAGTAACTAATAATCTGATTTCGACTTTGATATGTGATCTTTTTTAACAAAAGAAAAAGAAATATTAAGAAACTTGTTTATCAAATAGATAGGGTGAGGGATGTTAATCTATTTGTAGATTCTCTGACGATGGCCAAGGGCCGAAACTAGTTAGACTTAAATTCTATATAAAATAGAAACAGCATTTTGACTTTAGTATTTGTGATTAAATTTATGCCACGACTTACAGAAACACCCTGTATAATCGTAAAACGACTGACCAAGTTTGGCTAAGTCAAGTGATGCATAACGCGGTCCAATTAAAACTAGAACTAACACTAGACCTAGAACTAGAAACAGTCGGGTTTAGCCATGCGTCTTCAGACGCAATATGACTCTTCATATATTCAATTTGGCAGGCAATTTACGCAGTGAAACTAAGAAGTCTAAAAAGGCACTTGAGTACCAAACATAAAGAACTGACTTTCAAGCCGATAGGATTTTTCGTAAAAAAGCATGCTGAATTAAAGGGTAGGCATAAACATATATTTCAGTTGTCACACATAAATATTGCTGCACTGCAAGATTATTACAAAGTTGCTCTTCAAACTGCTATGGCTAAAAAACCATACACAATAGATGAGGGACTAGTGGCTGGCTGTATTAAGGATGTTTGCTTCGAAATGCTGGTAGAGCAGGCCGCTAAGAAAGTGGCACAAGTACCACTCTCAAATGATACCATAGCTCATCGAATTCACGACCTCAGTTCTAGGTCTAGTTCTAATGCTAGTGTTAGTTCTAGTATATTTTTATTGAACTAAAAGTAGAACTAACACTAGACCTAGAATTTTGAACCACATAGTAATATCGAGGTTTTACTGTAATTCATTTGTATTGTTACTAAAGAAGTTTCATTTTTTAGCTAGTCCACCAGGACCTATCCACATTGATTTTCATGCTGAAAGCAATCAAAATTCTGTTGGTTTCAACATCAATTATGAGTTAGTAGCATCATGTGGAGATGTTTATAAATAGATTTACATAATATGTATTTACTGAAATTAAAATATAATATAAACTATATTTATAAAGAATACATTTTGGTTAGTTCGATGATATCCCGCGCTGAGGCGCTGTCAACACCGAACGAACGGTGGTCGCGACGCTATCGACTGAGTCTTCCTCTGCTCTACTGCTCGGGTATCCATGGATACCCGAGGTTTTCGCACCGGGTTCGGGTACAGTCTAGTGCAAAGTCGGCACTAATCGCTTTAAACCGTGTCACAGGACTTTTGTGAACAATTTAGCCCTAACGCCCTCTATGTGCAACTTGTGGAGTAAACGATCATAAACTTTTTAGCCTACATTCATTTTTATGCTTATTTCTTTTTTTCTAATTACCAGAATTTATTTGTCCCATTAAAAAAAAAGTTTTCTTTTTATTAATTAAAAGCAACGAAGAACGTCCTTATTGAAAAGCTTAAAATAAGCGATATTCATTAGAAAGATTAACAAAGATATTAAAAGACAATGGATAATTGCAAAAGCTGAGGAATTCTTTTTTAATTTATTCTTTGAAACAAAAAGATCCAGTTTTTCATGCTTCCAGTGTTTGTGTAAATGCCGTTTCTTTTTTCGTCGAATTTCTTTATAAAGAAACAAGCTTCACTGGCTACTGAACCTATAATATACGTCCCTTCGTCTTTAATCCATAAAAGATGCCCGGCCTGCGCGTACACAAAGCAGTTTTAATTATCATAATCGCGCTAATGCCACCCACCCCCACCACCAACACTTTGTCTACCTGCGCTTCCCCATTTTCCCTCCTAAAGCAATTCGGGCGTATTATGTGCTTTTTTTATTTTCTTCAACGAATGCAGAACTTTGAACAATGCCCATCCCAGCCTCTTTCCCTTCGCCAACCTTCAAAACGAACCATTCGTTCCCTGCTGCTGGTCTCTCGAGCATTTAAATAAAACAAAACGGGAAAATGGATGCATCTCGAAATAAAGGGTAGATATAAAGGAAGGACTTTAAGAAGGAAATCGCTACGATGATTTCCCTTCTTCTACTTACTTTAGGACAAGAAGTATATTTTCAAGGAGTCCTATTTGTTAAAAAAAGATCCTAAGGCTATCGATCGTGCAAACATATCCAAAGCGAGAGAGAGTATTGGAGTCTGTGTAAGCATATAACAAAAACAAATGTGACCGTCGTCGAACGACTAAAGATGGTCCTTGCACCGACGCCTTGATATTAGTTTGGTCGGTGCAGCAGCGCCTCTTTTATGGCTCAATCCGGGCCAAGGTACACATGGGGTGACATTGCGATGTCCTCCTCCCTTCACCCTCGAAGTACACCATACATGCACTCCGTCGCATACAAATATGTTTTGGGGGATGATCCACCTCTACCAATATTGGTGGACGTAAATTGAGTTATATTGATTAAGTCCAATGTAATGCGTAATTGAAAATATTATGATGGTGATTGCATTTATACAAAATTCAAATGCATCTTTAATCTACAATGCATATATTTAGTTTTGTTTTGTTTTCCTGTCCTATTATTTCATTTATTATATCATATGATGAAACCTTTTATAGTTTTTGGAAATCATGCATATCATGAAGGTCTTGTTAAATGATAAATTTCAATGCATTGGCAATTTCTAATAAACTTGCTATAATTCTTATAAAGTCTCAAATTTGAATCATCCACTACATACTGGTGGCACACATTAGACACTGGAACTAATATACTAATATCACTATGTATGCTAGATTTATCCACTGAACATTGACATTACCCGCTCATTACTGGATCTAATTACTGCGTGCTGTGTCTTACTACTGGGTGATGGAAGTGGACACTGAATACTGAACTCAATAATTGACCACTGGAATCATCTATTGAATACTGGTGTCAACTATTGAACACTGGAATCAGCTATTGAATACTGGAAACATACATGGATATTGGCATAATAATTTATAGTAAATAGAGAAGATACACCTACAGCAGAAACAACTACAGACACCATATCCATACCTCGAAGTTGATGAATTTCCTAATATATCTAGTGTCAGAAAAATTCTATAACACTCAGATCCTTTCCCCGTTCTCATTGCTTAATTATTTGTTAAAACCTTGTATTTGTTTAAAGTTACTTGTTCTTAACTAAATTTGTTTCGTGTTTGCCTACTATCAACTCCAACACCTTGTTCCTTACCTTTTTTCGAAAAGGATCTTTCCTTATCAATTACAAACACTTTATCCTAATATACTGGTAGGGTTATTAATATTGCGGTAATTTTAACCCGGAGATGAATTGATTAGCTGCAAATTGTCTATTTCTCACTTTATGCAGCCTTCGTTCTAAAGATTTTGGAAAATTTGTCTATTATTTGATCTTGATATAGGTAACTGTTGCAATTTTGTCGAACGGAATTTAATAAGCTGTGATAATATCTGGTTTTAATAGTGTTGGATTGCAGACTACGTTACCAAATATTATCTTTCCTGGTTCAGGTTCTTATTCAGAAATATCCATGTTATGAGAACTATCGATAGTCTTTACTTATCAAGCAGCGTATTCATTTACATCAAAAATGAACCAATTCGCCATTTCTTTGATTAAACAGTAAGCATAGTTTTTCCCTTCAGTATATTGTTACGGAGTGTTGTAGGAAAGAACTTGTTACGTACTGAAATGGGAATCGAGGGAAATCATTCTCTGTAACGATATAGCTATTGAACAGAGAAATTTCTATGCTTCAGAACCTTGACAATATGTTATCTGCAATAATCGTTTTCGGATAAGCTTCTCCAACACAACCACTATCATCGATGAAAATTTTTTCCTGGTTTCGGCCAATAATCTATAGCTGCTAAATAGTATTTTCCAGAAATGGCATCAACTATTAAATGAGACCTGTGATTAAGATGGGTGAAACAACGAAGGGTTAGGTTTGGATGCGCAGTGTTTCATTTTATTGATAAAGTTTTTTAGAATTAATACAGCCTCCTTTTGTAGGAAGACAAAGTGTGTCCACAGAAGACGAATCTGAGACGAGAAGCAATCTCCGTTGCATCCACAACGCAGACAGTAGAATCAAGTGCTACATACCTCTATGCTCATAATATTACTAACTTGCCTAGATCCTTTCTTTGCGAAAACTATGAGAAATTTGAATTAAGTCTAGGGAAGTTCTATGTTGCAATCTTCTTCGGAAACAAGTTTAAAAGTTTTGAATACTTTGATGAATCAAGAACATTTTGATTCAGTAAATATATGCTTGTTTCAAAACAAATTGCCAAAGAAGAGTCGCTAATCAAGTGCAGTGAATACCAAATCGAAATTTTTGACTTGTTTGGATGTGATACATTTCTTAAATACGAAACAGAACAGACAATCTTCTATGCTACCCAAAAAGATGTAAGCACATCATTCTAAGTTTTTGTATATGATTTAAAGTGTCTTTTGCGATTCTCTTGATTTTTGGATATTTTAAAAGATCCAGAAAAGACATTTATTAGAGCATGGATTACAATCTTCACAACGAAGCGATTGCTGTTTCTACACAATGCTACGTATAGAACTAGGTTTAGAGACATTTTTTAAAAATTATAGTTTGTCAGCAATACATGAGTGTAAATTCTGTGCTATTCTCCTACAGAAAACAAATTATATGATGGTAGGTAAGCCTCACAGTCCACAACATTGGAAATTATTGTCTTAAACTGCAAAATAATAAATTGTGGTGGCAGGTTTTTATATGTCTTTTATTTGTCTAGGTATTTAATGCAGGATTTTATACTTATAGAATTAGAAAAGATAAAAACAAGAAGTACACAACTCTCGTTCTTTGGATTTGTTAGGTTTTATAAGAAACATCGTGCCGACATATTTACTTTTGAATGCTCGCCAACCGAAGCATGAACGAACAAGTACAAATACAGGTTATTTCGGAAAATTTCGAAATCCGTTTCTAACAATGTGTTAGTTCTCCATTATCCGGACACATTTAAACAAAATAGGTATTAAGGTGTAAAAAATACTACTTCTGGCTGTACATGAACCTTAACACAACATTTTATAATATTATGAACTAATATTTTGAAATAAATGTTAAACTTTTTTAAGTTGATCTAACACAGTCGTAAGCAAGTTTTAATAATGGAACAAAATTCTATTTTTGTACCGGGTGATTGCAAAGATTTCAGCAGAAAACTAAAAATATCACTGAAGATGAAAACAAAATTTTAGTAGCAAATGGGTTAATAGACACATAGCATAACCCAGACGTTTCTAGGTTTAGTTTTAGTTATAATACTGAATTAACAAAAAAAAACATGGAGGGGAATGTGTTTATAATCTAAGTATGTCCATATCCTTCACATTTTGCAATGATATTTCGCAAGGTGTAAAATAAGATCCAATGCTGTTGTGTAAGGTAATAAAAGATTAAAACTTGACGACGAAAGATAACTGAGTTAATGCCAAGAAGAAGTTTATCGCAAATACTTTTACAATATTATGTCAGATAAAACCTTATTCCCACAGTTTTCGGTAAGCTATCGCGTAATCTTACCACTTTTCACTTTCCCTTCAACCGTGAGTACAGATAAAACTATAAAACTAATAGCTAGTTGGTTAGTTGATGTTGATTAAAATGTTTTATCTTTATTAAATTTAATTAATTTATTAATTTTAATCAGGCGATTTTTCTATTTGCTAAAAGTTGACCTACTATGTTTTAGAGCTTTTTCACTAAATCTGCAACCAATTGGACGATTACATGGCGTTTCCGAACTGTTATAAAACTAATTGTATATACAATACAAAACAATTTACAGAACGGTTTGAAATTAATCAAAAAAAAACTCGTATGCGTGCAACAGTTTCGAAACGTTCATATTTGCGTTTGTAGAGAACCACATCATAATGACTAACTGTAACGATGTGTACCACGATATAAAACCTAATCATCATTTATCTCGTCTAGTATCATTGGCAAGAAAAATATTGTGTCAATATTGTATTTATTGAAAATTTAATAAATTTCTTTTTGATATCTTCGTTTTCTAATAT